GTGTGTGTGTGTGTGTGTGTGTGTGTGTGTGTGTGTGTGTGTGTATGTGTGTAGCTGGTGGAGTGGCTGGCTCGGTGAGAACACTCACAGTCGTCTATTCTGCCAATCCACTGGAGAGAAGAGAGAAGCAACAACTATCACACCGACACCCTGGTTAGTTACGAATGTTACTTTGTACTTTGTACATTGCGGAAACTGGGGGGGAGCCCGTATGTAACTAGGGTCGCAGCAAGGCTGGCAGCGCGGTGTCCTTTTCCGCTTCTGGCTAGCGTAGACAGCTGCGAGAGAGAGGGGCGTTGATGCTATCCTGGACCGCCATGTGTATAATTAGCAGGAAAAAACGCGGCGCACTCCCGAAAAATGGGGATTTGATACAATGTGGTGTGCATGTCTCGGGCCTTGGCCGTGGGCATCGGTGGTGACGAGGTCGGGAACCCACTGCTGGTGCAACCGCGGCAGAGCAGTTGCGAAGTTACAATTTGCTTGGTGATCTCAATCGGGGATCCGCAGAGACTGCAGATTTCAGTTGAACAGACTCAAGGTATCACTGCGTAGCTTGCTTTTCTTTCTTAGGGGTTATACTGATGTGTGTGTGTGTGTATGTGTGCTCATCACAGATTGACATGAAGCTACAGAGTACAGAGTATACTGTATCTGTACTCAGCATAACTTGTCTCTGCCACTCTGGGCATTTCTATCTTCTCCATGGCGAAATATGGTTCTGCAAGGACCACCATCATTCGTTGATGGCGGGTAACTAGTTGGCCAGGGTAGGGAGGGGTGTGCATCTTGTCGGTGCCTCCGCTTCAGATGTTCTGCAGGCAGCTCACTGGGGTCGTCGGGCTGAGCTCATGAGTGGTCGTGGAACGAAGATTTGGGCCAGAAAAAAAATGGTGGAAGTCATTTCCGCATCTCATGCTCACAAGCGCATCTCATCAAAGTCGGGGCCAGAGGGTCGTGTCACGAACAAGCTGCAATATCGAGTAAAATAAGTCGACACCCATGGCCGCCACTGTATCCGTATGTATGTATAATCGGCTATGAGAATTTCTAGTATTGTCCGGTCCACTCGAAGCCGCGCGGGACGCCATGTCTCCGTCGAGGCAAATCTGCAGATTGCCACGTACTTTCCCGCTGCCTCGGAAGAAACCCATTGTCGTTATTTGTGTATGTACCAGTATTAACCCGTAACTAGTGAAGACAAGTGCCGGTTCATGTACAGAGTAGGAACCCGGTGTCTTGTTTGTACGGCTTCCCATACTTGGGAGACGGCTCCGCTGACGAGGCGCCTCCCGTTCCTCTACCAATGCACGGTCCACGAAGCTACCAAAGTCGTCGGCGAGCTGCATGTGCCACGAAATGTATTCTGACTGAGCGCAGTGTTACCGTGCCGACAACCTACAGAGTGTTACCTAAATTGTCGAACACCTCACCTCGTTGAATCGTTAGGACCTGCCTTGTTACAAGTGAGCCTCGCCCTTGCCTGGCTGGCGTGACCGTTTTCTGTAAACTGTCAGTGTTATTATTGTGTTGAACTGTATTCGCATTGTTCGGGTTATATCGTCAAGCCATGTATAACAAGTTACTGGATACAAAGCACATGGATGGAAAGCGCCCACATCACATCTGCTTAACCGGCGGTCGCCCGGCAAAGTCGGAGGTTTCAATCTGGAACAGCATTGTGCTTAATAGATGCAACTGCCCGTGATATGATCATGTCTCGCACTTGTGCAGAGACTTCTGTGACGTACACCGGGCATCACTCCCAATTCTGCAAGAGTCTGCTCTTTGTGTAACTCCTCAGCATTACAGGGGAACAGGACGCTGTCAGCGTGTCACACCTCCATCCTCCCCCCCTGGCTATGTGGCACAACAGGACCAAGAAGTGGGAGGGTGGAACAGGCTGGGGTACATTTTGGCGGGATGTGGGCAGAGAGATGTCACTGACGCATGCTTCAACTTGCACTGTTACAGGTATCAGTCCCACCGAAGAGACCCCAGGTGCATGGAAATAAAATTAGAATTGCGGTTGACGGTGGAAGAAACAGAGAGAATTTTTTTTTAAAAAAAAATCGGCGGCCTGCTCTTCAACAATATCGAAAGTTGAGGCAGCTTTCGGCATGGGCTGGACCCCCTTGCAAGAATATCAGATCTCTCGGCCTTCGGTACATGCAGTTGTCCGAACACCAACAGCCCCTGTCAAGATGCACTTGGTGGCTTTCTGTGATCAATACCCGTCTAGTGTTTTGGTTTTTGTCGGTCAAAATCTGAAAAGCAAAACATCAATTTCGGCCCTTGCCCAACGGTCCGGGGTACGGTACATCACTCTTTCTCAGCAACTGCTGGGATCTAATGTCGTGGCCGGTTGTGCCCGCCAATCAATTCCCGACAGGTCATGGTTCCAACATAATTGTCATGTTGGTTACTATTCTGACGTGTCTCTTCTCTTGGTTCAATCCTAGTAGTTAACTAGTCAGTTGAGGCAATATGTACATAGGAGGAAAATGCTAATCTAGTACAATCTGGATCCATCCTTTTAAGCCAAGGCAGCGGACAAGGCTTGAGGCCAATTTATTCAATTCAAAGTTGGGGGCCATGTTCTAAGACATTCCTCACCTAGAATGGATAATAGTTAGTTAGCTGGCACAAATCAGAGGAAGTGCCGACCAACTAAGCAACCAAATATCCGAACCCAGTTGTGACTCTAGGGAGTCGCATAAATGATAATTATCAGATTGGTCTAGACGCAGGAGAGTGAGGGGATCTGATCGTGGCGGTGACCACGCAGAAGTCCGATATTGGCAAATGGCGGATTCCTGCCAGATGGGGCCGAAACAGCCTCGTCTTTCTCAGCCAGCAGCGTCTTTCCCGTGTAAAACTACAACGGGACTTCTGTCAAGAACGACGCATGAAAGGGCGAACCTGGCGCCGCGCCACACTTTGCGATAGTTACCCTGACAGGGCGATGCAAGCCCATCCGCCAGAGCGGGAAAGGGTTCGGGAAGATGCGCTTCGGACACTGTCCGTTTGCTCGAGTCGGTAATAGTTTCTGTGCCTGCATACGTGCCCCCCCACGATCTTGTCTGCTTTTTCGACGTTCTGGAATAACCATCACAGGGCTGAGCTGAGTCCAACAGGCCTGTTCGCCCCGTCGTTGCGCCTTGGGCTTTTCCGACGGGTGAGGCAGACGTTGGGTTACATGGCTGTATTACTGCATGCATCACAAGCTCGCTCACTAGTTGTGGGCTTATTTTCGTTTGTTGTCAGTCGAGATGCCTCCTTCTCCTCTTCTCTTCCTCATCATAGCTCGGATACAGCGACGCTTGGGCCTGGGGGCGGCATGGGGGCCGGTGGCGGCGGTGTCGTTGTCCCAGGTGGGAAAAGTGTGCAAGGCGAGCGGCACAGACGATTCGCCAGAACTACAGTAACTAGTTCTTATTTATTCTGTCCACCTGGTGGTCAGAGAGTCGATGCATGGTGGCTCACTGTCTTGGCGATGTACAATTCGTGGCAGCTTGGTCAGTATAGCTGACTACATGACATTCTGCAGGATTGGGGGCCACTACGTCCGCTGCTGTACGATATAAAGCACTATTGATTGGGGTCATTTGTGGCCGGCAATGTATTTGACGACTATTTGGCTCGTGCCATCCTGCTATCTTCAGTCTACATGCCGAAAACCAATTACCAGGGAGGGGTCCTGGAGAATCTCGTGCCATGGTGGCGCGGCGGCTCCAGGTGAGAATCGCTTAACATGCGGAAAAAGTTCCGCACAGGGTTTCTTTACTAGGGCGGGGGGGTGTTGTTATGTCCCGCTTCCAGAGTCCTTCTCCATATATTTCTCGCTTGTTGGGGCGAAGCCAGTTTCGAGGGCGACGATAGGGACGAGGTTGACGCTCCCGGCTCCATTTCATGGAAGCCTGCGACGGCTCGTACACTGATTACCGACTCCGTGAATACCTTGGGGATAAGCATCATGGATGCGAGCTAAAAAATAAATAAATCATACCCACAAGTTAAGCTGCGCCCCAGGGTCCTTTATACACGTCAAAGGGTTTAATTCAGTCACAATGCAGTGATGCTTCTCCGCCAACATGCAGAGGGCATTCGCGAGGTGGGTATTCTTCTCAGGCACTATCGCTTCGAGTACGGGTTTGGCTTGACTATCATACTTTGACAAAGAATACATGATTGACATTATATCATCCACACACGGTTCTGACTCATTCTGGCCAATTTCAGTCCTTCACTCTCGACGAGTCATTTATTGCGCGGCTGCAACTCCATCACCCAAGAGGCACGCCTCTCTAGGTTTGAAAGTGTAAAAACTACATCGTGAACAGGCCCACGCCCGTTTCATTATTTAAAATTGAGTCTTTGCCATGACTGGAATAGATTGTACCAGCGTCTGGGACACTCTGATGTCGCGCCAGTGCACTCATCGCTATATATATAGACACTGGCATCTTCTTCGTCCTAAACACAGACTGAAAAGAATGCTGCATCGCACTGGACTACTTGTCAAAATGCTTCACCCAAGAATTGAAAGACGTTGTTGATATGTGCTTCTTGGTTGGCCGCCCAGCGAACGCCAGATCTCTTCGCATTCGTCGTATATGCCCGTGAGACCGGGGTACACTCGGCGGCTCAGCCCTGCCATCTAATGCATTGCAGAAACATGCTAAGACGACCCCCTCATCAGATCTTCTTGCATATTTTTTTATCTATATTGAATCTCGAATATGTATCACCTTGTTGGTGATTGTTTCCGTTACTAGCGAACAAGTCGTGGCTTCAGCCGCTATCGGGCCTGCACCCTGCCACGAGCATTAGATCGAAGGGACAGTTGTTTAAAAAAAAATTCAGAGGTAGCATTATAGTTCTGTAAGCACAGTCATCTGTTAAGACTGGGAGCCGGGTTGATACGGTGGCCTTTTCGGCCATCAAGCACCATCTACTGCCACCATCTACTGCCCACAGCAGAGAGAACTTCCCACCTGCCCATCCAAAAGACTGCTGTGTTTTTTTTTGTTTAGGGGGCTTGAGTCATAGTTTCCAATATATTTGCTCCTCAATTCTCCACGAAAAACGACCGGAGCTTCCATGGAAATGGCAAATTGGTAGAATCGGCTACTCATGCTGTGCCGTTGCTCTTGGCTCGTACCATACTTCTAAAACGCTACCTAAAGTTAGAGCACCAGGTTGCAACATACCATTATCAAGATGGAACAAAGAAACGATTTTTCATGGACTCCCGCAGGTTCAAGTTGACATTGTCTCGTGTTCTATTCTCTCCTGCTGAATCATGACGTGGGCAGTTCGCCTCCATTCGTGAGGTCGAATTCCTACATCGAATAGCATCACCGCCGTTCCGGCCACGTTTCTCGAAGAGCTAGGTTACGAGGGTTTGGAGACCGAAATCTCTGGACGTCCAAGCTGATCCATTCGCCACACCGCAACACGCATCCTGCCCTGACGCCGGCATCGAAATGGAATAGCCACGTTTTATTTGAAGAAAAGATGGGTTCAAACCTACAGATTGTGATGATTCTCGTCGTTCGCTCCCCGATTGCGACTGGCTGAAAGACTGGCAGTTCTATTTCGCGGAACGAGCTTTCGGGCACACCGCCCAAAGACAATCACGACATACAGAGACACCGTCAATTGCATTATACACAACTGGTCGACAAAACCAATGGATTTATGTCGGTTTGTTGCTAACTATGCGGAGCAGCACTGGCGTCGGAAATAGGCTGTGCACTTGGTCCGCAGCTCCGGTGCAGACAGTTCTTGGGGTTAACAAAGCCATCTCCAATTGCCAAGAATGGGCAAACCCGCGCTGGAAAGGCAATCATAGTGATAGGCTTCGTGTTCCGGAATTAAAGCTACTACTCTTCCTCTAACAGGCTTATTGGTGAATAACTGCCCTGCAAGAACGGTTGACCAAAGGTAGCTCCTGTCGCTGATTAGCGCGGACCCGGTGACGTCGTGAGTAATGAAACATCATACTCTTCGTTATGTCCGCGCCACCACTTAGCTCTTGCGTATAGGATATTTAATAGACCAGCTTCGCCGTTAGGAAAAATCGAATTCACTTCAACCATGGTAACCTGTCGCACCACAATCGGCCTACCACCATAAACCAACACCATCATCCACACTCCACACCTGTCCAGAGAAACATGTCGCTCGCTGGAAGAGTCATCATCATTACGGGAGGCTCCAATGGCATTGGCAAGGCTTGTGTTGAGAGATTCGGTCGAGACGGCGCCAGTGTTGTCATCAACTACTACAGCGACGAAGCTGGTGCCAATGCGCTTGTTTCCTCCATTGGCAAAGATCGCGCAGTAGCCGTGAAGGCTGATGCTGGCACAATGGATGGAATCACAAAACTTATCGACGAGACAGTGGAGAAGTTCGGTCACATCGATGTAGTGATGGCCAATGCCGCCATGATGATGATGCGCAATGTCGAGAATACAACCGAAAAGGACTTCGACTCCATGTTCAACCTGAACGTGAAGGGGCCATACTTCCTTGCTCAGGTAATCATTCCCGAATGCCCTCGTTGTCTTATTGGAGCCTGTGGCTGATCAAACGACAGAAAGCTGTACCTCACATCCGCGATGGTGGAAGCATCATTTTCGTTTCTACAGGCATCTGCCACCATTCACTCGTCTTGCCTGACTACCTTCTTTACGCCTCAACCAAGGGCGCAATTGAGCAGATGACGCGTGTGATGTCGAAGGGCCTGGCTGCGAAGGGCATTACCGTAAATGCTGTCGGTCCAGGTCCCACTGCAACCGAACTGTTTTTCAAGGGCAAGAGTGAAGCACAGATTGATGCCCTTAAGAAGATGAGCCCATTTGGCCGATTCGGCAAGCCTGCCGAAGTTGCCAATATGGTTGCCTTCTTGGCTGGCCCCGATAGCCGATGGGTCTCGGGGCAAACATACTTGGTCAATGGAGGCACCATGGTTTGAATTTGAGCTTGCGTTCATAACCTTTGCAGGTCGAGACTAAATACAAGAGGTCCGAAAGGTGGTTGACAAGTACAATTAATTACCCACCAAGATTAGGGCGAGCGACACCAGCACTGCAGCTCAGTTAGAAAGAAGAGTCGAAATTTTGAAACGCCGAATAGCGTGGAGGTATCTTCTTTGAAGCATGGTGGAAACTTTGAGCCGATGCAGAACATAGGTAGTGATCATTCTTCAGTGAAAATGTTCATGTCATCACCTCCGTGGGCGCTCGCTACTGCCCAGATCATCACGTGCCGGGGGTGACTAAGTGCGTCATTGCTCGGCCCCAGATGGGTCAACCACTAACGTGGCTTCTAGACGATAGTTAGCCGTGTCCTCAGCATCCGACGACCCATCCTCTTTCGCCGAGCTCGTCCGGGAAGTCCAAAATGGGGATATAACAGGATCGCATTGCCTAGTTATTGGATATTGACATTGAAAGTCGTGTGCCAATGCCCAAGATGCGTCTGGGATGGTACGCCGGGGTAAGCTCTCCATCTCTACAGCTTGCGCCTAGGGGGCGCTGCCTTCCAACGACATCCATTAACATAAGTATTTAGGCGTCAACAGCCCTTGCTGGCGCTGTTATCTTCTCGGCTTTTCAGCAAAGGGCCAACTTTTACTCGGCAATGGTCTACCTATCGCAGAGCAATTTCTGCTTGCTGGTGAGTCAAGCTGAGACGCCGCTTTCCCGACACTGATCATTTAACACGAGCTAGGTATTAATCAACTTCACACTACTTATTTACGGAACATTTGTATACGGCATTTCTCAACTGTGCTGGGGAACTCTACGAACCGCCGAAGTCGAGCAACTCACGGAACGAGCCTGGTTCGCCATCACCGAAACATGCTTAGCCATGACCATATTCCGCGACGAGCTTGGGGCGTGGTTTCTTGTCATGTTCACGGCTCTCGTAACAGGCAAGGTCTGGGGATGGATTGGGGACGGACGAGTCGAGTTTCTGGAGCAGCAGCCGCCGGCGAACCCTCGCCTCTTCCATGCTCGTCTGACGGTTTCGCTTCTCATGAGCTTTGTCTATGACGTTTGGATCCTTCGATATTGCATCAATACTGTTATCCAAGAGGCCAGAGCTGATATGATGGTTATGTTTCTCTTCGAATTCGCCGTTCTCGCAACTACATCCGGGAGATCGGGAGTCCGATACATACTCTCCATCATCGAGCAAAAGATGATCCAGACACAGACGCAAGCACGCCTCCTGGAGCGCAAACAAGAAGTCAGGGAACAAAGAGATGCGATAGTACGGCAGCGAGAGGAGGCAGCTGCCAGTGGCCAACCCGCCGAGACCGAAACACCTCTGCCTAACCCCGACGACATTGATGAGATGGACATCGAAGTGCCAGGCTGGGCAACGAAAGGCGAATGGGTACTATGGTTGGATCTCTTCACCGGTAAATCATTTGCACACGCAACGTCTACGAGTTAAGCACTAACCGGCATGGTGTAGACACGGTGAAGCTCGTGCTTTATGTTACCTTCTTCGTCTTGTTGACGATTTTCTATACGTTCCCGATACACATCATGCGAGACTTGCTCATGACTGCAAGAGACTTTTTGAAACGTCTCAACTCAGTGTTACGATACCGTCGTGCGATTCAGGAGATGAACAGGTACCCAGATGCCACGCAAGCTGAGCTGGATCAGGAAAATACGTGCATTATTTGCCGAGAAGACATGCGAGTTTGGGATCTTATCGCCAACCCCGGTGCTCTCGACCGTATTCGCCCTAAAAAGCTTCCTTGTGGCCATATACTTCATCTTGGCTGTCTCAAAAGCTGGCTCGAGAGGCAGCAAGTTTGCCCAACATGCAGAAGTCCCGTTTCTCCGGATCGAGTGCAGCCGACAACCAACCGAAACGCCAACCGCGCTCCTGCGGCACCACAGATACCCAACAATGGACTACAAGGCCCCCAGGTGGGATTTGCCCAGGAGCCTCGATTTGGCAGATTTGCATTGGGGCAAGGATTACTCGACCCACCTGCTCGAGCTGGCCTGAATGCAGACGGACCTCGTAGGCCGGCCAATGCGGAACCTCAAGCTCTCCAGCGCCCGAACGTCCCGAATATACGGCCAATGGAGGAATTCCATGACATGATGAGAAATGAGGAGCGTCGCCGACAAGAAGCCGAAGAGCAAGTGCGCCGACGCTGGCGTCGTGCCATGCCGCAAGATACTGTGGACTCGCAGCCGCAGGACAACCCGTCCCAATCACAATCGAATCAACCACCTTCCCAGCAGGGTACGGGAGCCACGCCTACCCTAGGTCAACCATCTCAGACTTTCCAGCCGTCCACTGTACAGCAGGGCCATCATCAGACGGACCTGCATTACGAAAGAATGCTCTCAGCCTCACATATCAACTCTACACGACAAACTCTGTTGAACCAGACCTCCGCTTTGAGATCGCACAGGCTTAGAACACTTTCAAATATGTACGGTCAAGCCTCTGTCTTGGTCCGTCAAGAAGCTGAGGCTCTTCGTATTTCGAATGAGCAGTTGCAAGTTCTTGGGCAACTTGTTGCTGAGTTCGACCGGCTGGAGGCATCACACCATGAAAATGCCGACAGCCCTCTACCTGGTTCTGAAGCCCAAGCACAGGACCAGATCCTTAGCCAGAACCTTATGGGCTTGCGCAGTAGTAGAAGCGTTCTATCACGTACGCAAAGTCCCGTAATGATGAGACATGGCGCTACGTCATACTCTGCATCAATCCCTGCTGGTAGCCCCGAGCTGCCGGAAGGTGTGGCCATTCCTCCCGGGTGGACATTGATGCCGCTGCAAAGGTTGGATAACCAGCCTCAGGCTCGTCCTGCTAGCACACAACGCTCGTCCAGAGCCTCCTCTGCTGGCCCTGCAACGTCTACGTTGGGCGAGGAGCGCTCTGTACAAGCTCAGGTGCCACAAGCTCCCACGTCGCAGCCATCCCATCGAACCAATGCCCATGTTTTGGAGCGAATCCCTGGGACAAATAACTTTCGTCTTGCTGGCTCAACTGGTGGAGGGCCAAGGTCCGAGTCAGCAACCGCGACTAGCGATGCGCTGGCTGACGCCCAGGCGGGCGGGGTTGTAACACAACAGCAACTTCTGGATCGAGTTTTCGGTCGAGGTCTAGGCAGAGAGTCTGGATCTGGAGCGAGAGCCGAGAACTCGACACGCAGTACCACTGTCACTTCCAGCATAACTGTACCGGTCGAAGAGCAGCCGCCAGCTGCCGCTGTCGCCTCCACTCCAGCAGCAACCCCGACGTCCGATATTCCCAATTGGGGCGGATCTTCGCAGCCCTTTGGTAGTCTAGCAAGGTCTCAGCTGACGGGGAACGGAACGGTCGTATCGGCGAGAGATACAGCTTCTTCGGCTGCTAGTAGTAATGAGTCTCCAAATGATGGCGATCAGTGTGGCAGCGCTGCGTCCGACTCGAAGGACGAAGACGAAGACGAAGACAAAGACGAAGACAAAGACGACGCGGAACACGCCGAAGGCGGCAATTCTGCAGGAAAGGTCGTTACCATGGTGGAAGTTTCCGACGAAGAGGATGACTGAAAGGGCCTAAAATTTGCAACAGGTGCTGGACAGGACGTGAGGCTGGTGAAGAGTTTTCTACAGAGTACATAGCGTGGTATGCCTATCGGCAATCGAATGATGATATTTTTTTGTTGGCTTTCATAATATCATAACGGGCACCTAGGCAGCAGTGAAACTCGAGAGAGATGGTGTGATGAAAACTACCGTAGAATATGGAGTGGGTAATTGTACAAGCTACTAATGTGCGTCTTCCTCTTCCACTCGAAACAAGTGCAGCCCGGGAGGACATGGAAGGAATGCAATGCCAGCGATACTGGGTCCAACTCAGGCCCAGTCATTCGTGATTCAAAACAAGAGGCAAAAACAGCGGCATGTAGTAAAAGAAAAAAGAATGAAAGGAGAATGTTGACGACGAGCAAAACGCAAATTGGCAGAACAGAACACGACGGGAACAAATACAGAAGACTAAAAGTAATAACCCCCGCGCCGCTCAAACATGTCAATCATTATGCACTGAAATGCTTCACCGCATCAGTCTGCCTGGCTGCCGATGCTCGTGGGGCGCTGGAGAGCACTCGTCATGGTCCCAGCTTTTACGGGCTTCGGGCTGAGGACGCCAGAGCTACTCGCTGGCGCAGCGGACGCAGAAGAAGACTCATCAAACATGCCGAAAGACTCGCTGTCTGTACCAGAGAGTCGCCGCAGCAGTTCCTCGGAGTGCTGGGCGGCGAGTTTCTGCAGCTGCTCTCTGGGATTCTAATTCGGTGGTTGCGGTTAGTAGTTTGTCCGGGTTTGGGAAACAATTACCGTCTGGCGCTGCTTACCCATTCAGATTGTGCAGGAACCCCTTCTGCTACAGGGACTGCTGCGTCCTTGTTCCCGGAATCCTCACCGTCGTCGCCCCAGAACGACGGGCGGCGGATGGGTGCCGGTGTGACGGGCAAGCTAGGCCGCTCCACCTCGGTGGGAAAGTCTGTGAGCTTAAGGCCCTGGAATTTGGGCTTCTCCTGGGATGGTGGCTTGGGCGTGGCTTCTCCGCTCTTGGAGGCGGGCAGGTTGGCCCGAGAGCTCGTGGCTCTACGATGCCCTCTGGAGCGCTCGACGTACCGGTTGATCTCGGGCACACCATCCCATGCGTTGACCAGAGTGAAAGAGCTCCAGATGCTCGGGGGTGGCGCGTGATTGGCGGTAGAGGTCAATGTTGAGCCCGCTCCAGTGGCGGTTCTCTGCGTTGCTGGATTGGCTTGTTGCGTCTTTACTGCATCGGCAATCGCTAACTCGTCAGGTGTGGCAGGAAAAGATCGAGATGCCTGCGGCTGTTGGCCCTCCCATGGGAAAATCCCCTTGGGCGGCTGTGTGGATGAAGCAGGACGCTGTTTAGGAACCTCGTACCACATGTTTTTCGGAGGGCTTGGGTATCTTGCGGGAGCCACAAATGGCTTGACATCTTGGGACATGGAGTAATGTGCATTGGGAAAGTTTTCTGCCTCTGGCTTCGAATCTCTCGGGGGAGGTTGTCTAGCAACGTTTAGCACAATCACAACCGCTGATCTAGGTGAAGATTTTACCGCTGAGCATCCCAGCTCTGGTTGCGCGAATGAGCTTTCTTGTCGGCCTTCTGCCGCTCATGGGCAATATCTGTTAGTGGGATATGGACATCCGATGGTTCTTGTATATGTATTCGAGGTAGCGGTGGCTGCTGCTGTTGTCGACCGGGTTGCGTTTGTGGTTGCGCCGGTTCGCCACAGCTAGTTGAGTGGCTGGGTTCATGCTTGGAAATGATTGTTAGATTTTGAGCTCAAATTTTCGGTTCGGATGGTCCAAACCTGTGTATGGTAATGGCGATCATATACCGACCACCACCGGCCAACCATTTCACCATAGGGCGAGGCGCCGTGTGACACATGGCGGCCCTCAGACCAAGGCTTGTTTGGGCCGATAAAATGCACCATATTAATGCTGGATTGAAAATGGCGAAATGCTGGCAAATACTGATAATGGGCCGAAGGTGTGACGTTGTAGGTAAAAGACAAGCGATGCACGGTGTTTTTAAAGTACATGTTCAACAGGCCCTGGTCGGCGCCATCAAAGGAAATGCCGCGCTCCGCCATGGCGAGCAGGGCATAGTAGTCTCCCAGATTGGGCGTCAACACCATGACGCCAGTGTTGAAAAGATCTGGCCATCCAATGTCTGGCGCAGCGCCGAAAGGGTGCTCAATGGCAAAGAGCTCATCCGGGGCGCGATAGGCGACGACATCAGAGTCTACATAGACGATCTTGGAGAATTGGGTCTGCTTCCAGAGGTTGATCTTTGTAAACGCGGAGTCGAGGTCGGGGCGGTTCATGAGGTAGAGGTTCGCGGGGTGCTCGTTGCGGATTCTAGGGACGGGAATAACATGATCGAAGACGGTCTGGAGCTGGGTGATGGAGTCGGCAGAGATACTGTCGAGGGTAAAAAAGACGGCGAGCTTTTTCGAGGTCCCTGCGTCGCGAAGGGAATGCGCCAGAACAAGCGCACCTAAGAATGAGAGTCGAAAATATTAGTTGGGGTCTGTCGAGATGAGGATGTGGTTGTTTGCTGGGGGGGGCTTGCGACAATGACGTCTTTGCCATTGACTGACCTGGGAGATACGAGTCCGTCAACAGTAGCTACGGAGAGCAGAAAGTATTAGCTTCTGGAAACCATTGGTGCACTTAGAATGCATATAGGGGACAGTAGAGTACCATACCGTTGCGTATACTTGCTCTCCGTCTGTGAGGGCCCCCATGGCGATGTCGGCGAGAGCCGGAGGAAAGACGCAAACCCGTCAGAGGCACAGCTGTGGGGTGACGTAGGGACGGTCCGATAGCTCACAGGTGCCAGGCCACGGAAATGAAAGACAATTGTCAACGTCTTGCACGGGGAGACGTTCTGACCTGGTCCTCGACTCGGATAATGTTGTTGCGCCTGGGGGAAAAAGGTGACGGAGAGGGCGGGAGGGAGTGAGGGCAGGCGAGCAGACGACGAGGTGGTGACGGATGACGGACGACGGACGAGCTTGATGTGGAGGCGGAGGTTGAGTGGGGAGCTTTAATAATTATTCGTTTTACTTCTTTATTAGCAGCTCGCTCTGCTACATAGCTGCACCACGAAACAGCAAAAAACAGCTACCTACCTACCTACATACCTACCTACCTATGTACCTACCTAGGCTAGGGTAGGTTCATAGAGGTAGGTACCTACCTACATAGGTACCTAGGTAGGTAACGAATAACACAACCTCGACTGACTGCCACAAAGTACAGAAACAGGTTTCGTGGCTGCATGCCGCCGTAGCCATCCTGGGCACAGTGCATCCGTGGTAATTTCCATCAGGAATAATTGATAGCCCGGCCATGACCTGATCGTAACTAGGTAGGTATTATTGTTATTTGTGACTTCTCAGAATCCTCGAGGTCCACAAGTTGTCTGTGCGCCACATAGGAATGCCTCCAGACGATGGCGCTGTTTGTTGGTAACTAGAAAAAAAACTCGACAAAAGCAAGATGGATCGTGTATCTGCCAGACACCATGCAGTACATGCCATTATTTCTCAGCCATGCGTACAAATAGATAATGCAATAATATTCTCTTACTATGCACCTACCACCCGAGCCCTGCGATGTGTTGCACTATCCTACTGCATTCATCTGCTTGGCACCAGTTATCAGTGTTGGAGGTAATACGGATTCCACGCGTGCAGATAAGGCAAAGGCAGCCACAAACTCCATTGGCATGCAGCCTGAATTGTATGAAATTGGCATATTTCGGATTCAGATTCCATTTGCTCATTATCAATACGTTGCGCAAGATCATACGTGTATTCTATTTTTAGGCTGGGGTGGCCCATGAACAACCTCCAATCAGGTGACGAGGTTGTGATGACAAGAGAAATACGCTCGCAGTAGCCTTTCTCCCCAACAGTGCCTTGTACATCATCACTAAACGCCCTTTCGCGACTCCAAACTGAAAAGTGGCGTTAGCATCACAAATCTTGACATGAACACACAACAGACGAAACTCACGAATCAAGGAACAGCTTCCACAAGATAGAAAACAAAAGCCCTTGAAGGCCGTTGCAAACGATGCGCGTCGGCAGTCCGCGGCCAAAAAGGCCTGCCACGCCATCGCCCTCGATGACAAGTTTTGCTGCTTTGGCTGGCTCCATGTCAGAAAATACCTCGACCGAACGTGTGCTGTGATTCTTACTATAGGACACCTGCGTCTCGTTGACTTGCCGATACGTCTTGACCACCCGGAGCGAGTTTGATACACAATCCGACACCAACGAGGCGGCGAAGCCGATAAACGCGAGGCGCAGAAGCCAGAGGAGAATTTGCTCCTTGGGAGGCTCTTTGATGGCCTCGCTCAACATGTTGTACTACCGAGATGAGAAAACTGCCTGTGAGCCGAATGATCTTTGCGTGGTATGGTTACCCATTGTCCGGAGCACACGTACCGTTGCGAACCATGGGTAATGTCCTACGAACGTAGCTCCCGCAGTCGCGAAAGCTCCCCACCAGAGCGTACCGACGCCGTGTTTCCTTATGCGCCCGCGGAGCAGAGCGGTGCCTCCAGCGCCTTGGACTTGGAGGGTTGTCTTTAGGGTGTCGACCGGAGTGAGGATCATTCTAAAGGCGGCAGCGCTGCCTCCTGTTAGTCTATTGCTATTGCCCTTTTGTACTGCTCTCGGTGAAAAACGACATACCAAAGAGAGGCGAATATTGTCTTGATGAGGACCGGCAAGTCTTTGAGGTACGAGTTGGACTGGAGAAGCGCAAGGATGCCAGCGTTGGCAGCAGTGTCGCCGAATCTCGAAACCGGACCTGTTATAATGTTAGATATGTATGCATTCCTTTTTCGTCATCTTCCCTTCGATGCTCGTCTCATACCTTGAATCAATGCTGCCCCGATACCATCGTAGTAGCGGCCCAGGCCTCCGCTGGAATACAAGGTCACGCTGGCGGCTGAAAATGAAGTCCCATAGCGATACTGGTAGTTCATGATGGTCCGTAGCGGCTAAGATGATTCGTCCAAGTTAAATTCCCAGCCGGCCGAGGAGGAGGCAGGGCGACGTACCATAAGCAGCAGCACCTGCAGCACCATGGCCGCGGCACCGCTTAGGCCTCCGCCGAGCGCCTTCGTCAGCGCCTTTTTGAAATCAAACTGGCCAAAAGAAAAAGCACGGTCATTTCTTGCTCTTGTATTGTGGTTCAGTATCAGAAAACGCGAGCAAACTTACATTGACATCGCTGCCAGCATCGATCCAGCCTCTGACAAAGACGACGATGATGCCGATGGCGATAAGGCCGAGCAGCGCTGTCAAGGAATATGACAGGTATCGCCACGGCTGAGCTTGCTCATCCGTCGCCTGCCCTTGTACATTACCATTATCCTCGCTCAGTAGGGGAGTCTCCTCAGTATCCGCTGATGGTCGCTGATTCTCAACGTCGCCATTGGTAGCCATTTCTTTGGTTGCTGGGCACGGCCCAGCTGTCAAGTAGAGAGGCCGACAATAATCATCAGGTTGAGATTCAGGCCCCCGCTGCCCGCACACGTGAGCTGACAAATGTGAAACCCCGTCATATGATGCAATTGATACGGTACAGGGGGTGATGGTGATGCAATGCGGGTGCATATGGCGAGCATGTCACGGCTGAGAGCTAAAAATCGTCCGCAGGGTCCACTGCCGATTGCGTCCTCCAGAGCTCGGGCAGATAAGAGCCAATCTTGAGTAAGCATTCATTCAGCCAGGAATAGACTCGGTTCATGGCGTGGTAGTATGGCAATATTATCTAAACGGCCACGGTCGCGTAGCCCGCGGTATGCACCATGGTAGCTGTCCGTCCCTGTTTGGCTCATGACCCATGGCGTGTCTCTTACATACATCACCACATCAAGAGCTCTTTGTGACACGGGATGAACTCGTATCAGGCCAAAGTAAAATCAGTCGCCATTATTGGTGCTGGTCCGTCTGGTATGCCCATCCATAAGAACAAACTGTCCTGCATAGCAGCCCGACTCATCTTTCCACATACAGGCGCAGTAGCGGCGGCAGCACTCAAGGCCGAGAACTATTTTGACCACATCCGGGTATTCGAACGTCGTGAAACCGCCGGCGGTACCTGGTACTTGACTACGAATCCTATCCCGCCCAAATTCGACCTTCTCTGACAGAGAACTAGGATTCATGATACAGACCCCGGACCTGTTGCTCCCATCGAGCCGGGGAAGCTACCCTCTGAAATCGACCTGCATCTACCTATACCACCCAGTCTGCCCACGACGACTTCACCAGACAAAACGAATCGATGGGCTTCCACGCCCGTATATGACTCGCTTAGGTGAGACAATGGCATATTCGGAAACGAACGTTCGTCGCGGATAAACACTGACATGGGCGCCGATTAGTACAAATGTTCCCAACATCGTCATGACCTTTTCAGATGCGCTGCTACCTTATGGCCCCTTTGCGCCGCACTACGTTGCGAGGCAGTATGTTGAAAACTACTTTTCATTGCATCAAACGGACACGCTGCTCCAAACAAACACGGCCGTTGAAGACCTCACGAGATCGCCTGCCACAAAGCACAATGGGCAGGGCGAATGGAAGCTGACGCTGAGAAAATACGATGCCTCCCGTCAGGTGGATGAGTGGTGGGAAGAATTCTTCGATGCTGTGGTGCTTGCTAATGGGCATTACGCCGTTCCATATGTACGTCCCGTCCTCCACCATACTTTCCATTCACAGGGCTGACCAAGTAGGTTCCAATGGTGAATGGTCTAGAGCCGTATATGGAGAAGTATCCGGGTCGAGTGTCCCACTCCAAGCGATATCGCAATCCAAAGTTCTACGCCGGCCAACGTGTCATTGTTGTCGGAAACTCCGTTTCTGGGAGGGAGCTGAGCGAGGAGCTCGTGGGCGTTGCCAAAGGCGCCGTATACCTGTCTCGCAGGAGCCCTGCCATCTGGGAAGGCGACGAGCCGCGGCCCGGAATTGTGTGGAAGCCCGTCATCTCCGAGTACAGGCAAGACGGCGCCATTCTCTTTTCTGACGGCACAACTTTGGCCGACATCGACGCCATCATCTACTGCACCGGATACAAGCCCTCGTTTCCCTTTTGGAACCATGAAGCAAATGGTGGGCCCTTGTTTGACTACCGGGCTAACAGGCTCATCGGCAGCTACCAGCACGTCTTCTTCCGCGAATTTCCGACTCTCGGCGTGGTAGGCTTCCCCAAGACACTCACATTTCGCAGCTTCGAGTACCAGGCCATTGCGCTCGCGCGACTTTGGTCGGGTCGCAACGCTCGGTCGCTGCCGTCGCCCCAGGAGCAGCAGCGGTGGGAGGCGGACCGCGCGGAGCGCACCCAAGCGCAGCACAAGTCCTTCCATGACGTGCCGTGGGGCGCCGAGACCAACGACCACCTGCGCGAGCTGTTCAACTTTGCGGGGCTGTCCACGCTGGCTGGTGATGGGCTGTTGCCCCCTCCGCTAACACGAGAGATGGTGTGGACGTATGAGAATGTACTCAAGTGGAAGATGCCCAAGGGCAAAGGACCGAGTGGAGGCAATGATGGCCTTGAGGAAGATACTGTGATGGAGGTACATCGTGATGCTCCGGAAGTTGAGTCCACATCCGGGCCGCAGGAAGCTCGCGGTGAGGTAGGCAAAGATTGGGTCGTCGTCGATAAAACTGAGGGCCGTTTGAAAACTGCAGGATAACTGGCCGCGCCATTTCACTTTACCGGACTATTTCAAGTCACTGATATCATCATGAAAAACCAAGCCTAGAAGTGAATTGTTTGTTTATCGTGGCTAAATGATAGATAAGTTGCGTTTTTTTTTTCTTCAGAAAAAGCTCGTTCGAAAGAAACTCTTGTGCTCTCTCCGAAAGAAGACACAATTGTATCTCAAAGATCCTTTTTATAGAAATGCTCCGGCTTGTGCGTGGTCTCGTAGTCAATGTGGACATATGACCGCTCAATGTCGGGCAGGCTCTCCAGTTTGATCTGGAGCTCCTCAGCGATATCGTGTGACTCTCTCAGTGAGCAGCCGGGATCCATGACAATATCAACTTCGGCAATCAGGCGCGGTCCTGAGTGGTACACGCGTACGGTATCAATACCCTGAACAGCGTCTGAGTGCGTCAGGCAAACATAGGTGATGAGCTGCTGGATTTCAACCGAAGCTGAAACGCCGACCAAGAGCAGAAATTCACCAAAGGCGGTGCGCATCCACACACTAGAGATGAGCAGAGACAGCAGAATAGCACCAGCCGGATCCAGCCACCAGACAATCTTCGAGCCACCAACGCTGGTCAAGATGGCGACGGCGTTGACAGCCAGATCATTGCGATGATCTTGCCACAGAATATTGACTTGGCTATACTTGTCCTTGAGACCCCAGCAGTAAAGAAAGAGGGCGAATTTTGTAGCAAAGGCAACGCAGACAGAGATAATGGAGGGAATATGAAACACCTTTTCCTTATTCTTGGCAATAAGCTGCTGGACAGAGAACGCAATGATAATGAACGAAACCGATGTCATGAGCATGCAGAAGAGTATATTTCCAACAGTTTCGAGACGAGCCTTGCCAGCAGGAAATCGTCTAGGGTCGACTCTCTTGATGGCGCGGTTGGACAGAATGAGAGTCAGGTTGCTCAAAGGGTCAAACACAGCATCGGCCATACTGGTTATGAGAGACAGGGAGCCGGATGAGACGGCGGCATATAGCTGTAAGATGGCAAGGACGACATTGGCAGCAAATGAGCCCCATATGGCAATTCTGAACTTGAGCTGGTCGTCACCGTGCTCCTGACGAGCTTCAGCGCGATGCTCCTCCACCGACTTGAGCATGCGCTCAATGGCAGCATTTTGGTTCTGGTAGAATCCGCGGACTTTGTGTGAGTCGAGCTTGGGGACCGAATTGAGCTTGCCACCATCTCTTTTACGCGACGAGTTGGCTCTGATTTGCTCGAGGTCCGAATCTGTCTTGTATGACGAAGAGAGATCAAAAGGGTCGCTCTCGGCAGCAACACGAGGGAATCGCGAAGTTCGACCAACAGTTACTTGGCTCTCGACGTCGGTGGCATGGGAGGGATGGCGCTCAACAGGATCATCGCCGCTGGTCGGCGGCACAGTCTCTACCGCGGTACTAGACGCATGGCGGATAACAGGTAACCTAGAGCTGCTGCGGCTGGGAGGTAGGTGCTGCAGGTGATAGACTGAAGGATGGTGGGTGATGGTGTTGCTGGCGTTGGGAATCATTGGGCTGCTATTATGACCCAGAGAGAGGCTTGTGCAGGAATCTGGCGGCCGTGAGGCGGTATAGTAGGGGCAATAAGGTAAGACGAACCAACTTGGCAGGCGTGTTGCCAAGCTAAGAAGATCTTGTGCAAGCGAGATGCAACGCAACTAGCCCCACCGTGGTACAGGTATTCCGTGAAACGAAACAAAGAGCGGGTGACTGTGAGGCTCTGGCGAAGAATGAAGATGCAGATACAGGACGTAGCATGCGAGCAGGGCGGCAAGATGACAAGATGGCAGGATATAATACAGGGTAACCAATGTATTGACGGGAATCAATGGCTATCCATGTTATATATGGGTGGATGATCGGCCAGCCAAGAGCGACCGACCATCTATCTCCACCTAGGTACACCGTCTGAACTCAAAGGCAAGCGAGCAGGAACAGAAGTTCCAGCCAACTTTAGCTTGCTTTATTAGCGTCGAAGCACAGCGAGCCGTTGCGACCAGCCTTTATCAGCAAGCTGGCGGTGGACTTCTTACCCAGGTTCGAGGGACATAGGTAGTAGTGGTGCAGTTCCACCCCTGCCTTGCCGTTTCTGTTGCGTTGTCTCCTGCCTGCTGGCGTGGGCACCCGTCTGTTGCCAGGATGAGTGCACTCAATCCAGGACTGAGAACCACCCTCGAGCTGGGCGCCAGAGGTCGGGGCGAGTTCGCTCGCGGCTGAACATGCCCACAGTTCGCAGTAAATCTCTCAAGATGGGTGCGAGTAACTAGCGCCCATCAAAACGAGCAGGCTGTCCTCCAAGCCGGGTACAAGCTGCGGGCGGCCTCCAAGTGCGGGGTTGTGCCATGTTTCGCTCAGGAATAATGAGGCGCGCAAAATTTCCCGTATCAAAGAGAGGCCGAGCTAGTCTTCAATGTTAGCCCGAGGTGGATGTTGAGTGTGGTTTGGCTGGCTTGTGATTTGCCGAGATCATGGCGGTCAATCAAAGTGTGTATTCGGTGCGCCGTAGACTTTTAGGTACCTATTTAGTACTTTTGCAGGTTGCAACTTCGAAATTCGACAACGAGAGATGGGGATTTGCCCGATTTTTTCTATTGCAGAAAAAGCACTGGCCCTCCAGATCCATGCACGATGGCTCACATTCGGTGGGGCATCGGCTTGGTACTGACCTTGATGGCCATCCATCAGTGATGACGATATGTATGCAACCCTGCGAGAGCGAGTGTAACAGATGCTGCTTTATTGAAAGGCTGATAATTGGATAACAGCATCTATTGATAATAAGCTACGATTATACAAAATTAGGCCCCTAGTCTCTAGTTACTAAATTCTATAGGAAACTACTAGAGTTTATTTATAGTATTATAATATTATAGTATTATAGTATTATAGTATTAATTATAGCCTAAAAGACTTTATTTTTTAGTAAGATTTATTTAAGATAGCTATACTTATACTTCTTTTTATATCCTTTCTTATCTAGGTTACTAGCCCCTAAGTAGCTTTTTATTTTTTAACCTTATAATAAACTAGTAAGAGCCTTATAGAGGCCTATTAGATAGATTTTAATTAGAATTATTTATAAAATTTAGGTTTAGTTTTAAGGTCGCTATAGGCGCTATTTGTTCTTTTTAGGGATTCCTACCGGCGTTAATTAGTAATAATAATAATAATTAATACAGGCAAGTCCATCTCCTCGCGGCTAGGACGGGCCACGGGGATTTTGCTTTATATCACGAACGTTTCCATCACCCCGACGCGACACTTACGTGCAGTTGCGGCAGACGGAAGTCCCCAGGGCATATCTTCTTCTGTAAAAAGGCGAAGATGCGGGGAAGGACAGCGCCTCCCTGGTTCGGTCAACGCCAGCACGTTGACGATACTATAGGTGTCGGTTGACATGAGTTCGTACGGCTAACCCGGGAGACCTCGTTTTTTAGCGAGGTCTGCCTAAGATAGCTGTACTTACGCTCCTTCTTCTGTCCTCCCCTAGCCTACTAAGGTTATAGGCCCCCGAGCGGCCTTGCTCTTAACCCTACGACTAGCTAGCGAAAGCCCTATAGAGGCCTGTTTATTAGATAGATTTTAATTAGAATTATTTGTAAGAATTAGGTTTTATAGGTCCCCGTAGGCGTCGTTTGCCCTTTTCAGGGATTCCCCTGGCGTTAAAAAGTAATAAATAAATAAATACGGGCAAGTCTCTAAATCCAAAATCGAATATCCAAGTTATCAAATAGCCGTTGGCTGCCAAATACCCCCTGAATGTAAATTGCATCCGACTGTTGGCACCTCAGAGCTTCGACTCGGCGGGCACGCTCTCCCGGTTCCCGCTGCGAGCGTGCATCCAATCGATAATGTCCTTGGCAAAGTCATCCTTGCACAGATCTGCGTGGATCTGGTGATAGGCGCCTTCGTATGACTTGAACGTCTTGTCATTGATCGCCTGCTCCTGGAAGAACTTCTCGGACGCGTCGTAGCTGCACGTCTTGTCGGCCGTTCCGTGGGCGAGAAAGAGGCTCAGATCATCGTCGAGTCTGATTGACCCGGAGGAAAGAGCGCCCGTTCGGTCCAGGAGCGAGGCCAGCCCCTCGAGCGTGCCGGTATTGTGACACAGAGCATCGTTGCGGTAGTCGTCGACCACGGCCGGGTCACGGCTCAAGTACTCGGCCGGAATCTCATGTTTGAGTTGCTGCTTGGGAAGCAGCTTGCCGACAAGACGACCCATGAAAATCTTGATGCTGCTGGGCTCCTCGTCGGCCGAGAAGCCGATGAAGGGCGCATCGAGCAGCCAGCCGCGAATCTGCTTCACCAGCTTCGCGTAGCTCGGGTCTGCAGCGAGTGTAAGCACCTCACCTCCTCCCATGGAGTGACCCATCACAAATACGGGCACATTTGACGGAAGCTTGTCCTCGATAAAAGCCGCGACATCCGAGATGACTTGGGAGGTTGGACCGGTCAAGCCTCGTTCCGCCTTGCTCGCGGTGGACTTGCCCCAGCCGCGCTGGTCGAACCCAAACACCTGTATTCCAGCCAGGTTAAGCTTGGGGAAGAAGTCATTGTAGCGGTTGATATGCTCGCTGAAGCCATGGACAAATACGAGTTTGGCGGTGACGGGGCCAGCGGGCTGTCCCGGTGTTAGCGGCGCGCCCAGTGCCAAGAGGACGGAATTTGGAGCAGACACTTACAGTCCACGTCTTAGTGTACAGGCTGGTGTCGCCTCTTTTGAACTGTCCTTCTTCTGTGGTGGCCATTTTGATGGCTGACCTCTGTGTGTCTACCTAGGTAGGCAGAGATGTAGGCAGCGCGGGCGCGAGGCAATTATGTATGTGCTCTTTCAATGCGCGCTAAAGCTGATGTTGGTGTTTATCTGGACACTGACAAAAATACGAAAAGCCAGACTTCAGTTCGCTTCTTCCTTTGCAGCAGAATATATGAATGTCCTCTCAGCAATTATAAGGACAAGGACACCATATAGTTGGCTGCTCATCGAGGGGGCAGTATAGCGCCAAGCATGTGACTATGCCATTAATAATATTAAAGCCCCATTCTAAGTGTAGTAGTCTCACCACTGGCAAGCCGGTACTTTGCGAGTAGAGAGGCAGCTTATATATTTACAAACTGTAATTAATAGATATTAACTTATCCGACTCAGACTTATAGAGGTCCCGTTACACTAAAAAAAAAAACATAGCCCACAGCCTTCTCCTCTAATAAATCCCGCTAAACTCGTCGTCGGCTAAGCCGAGTCCTCGGACCATGCCGGCGAGAAAGTCCAGTGGACATTGCCCAACCATAATTTTTATCCCAAAAAGTCATCAAAACAAATAGGAAATCAGACAGAACAATATTTTACAAAAAAAATGTCAAGAAGTGGAAACGGTGCGCGTATTGGACCATGAATGCCAATGCTGCACCCATGCAACAAGGCGTCGGGGATTGATTATCTTTTCTTCTGATCCGTGGTTACACTTTCGGGTTCTTCCTCTTTTTGCTCTTCTGCCTCAACAAGGTCTTCGTCGTCCGTTTGCCTTTCCTGCTCCATGTACTCTGCCTCAGTGATGTGCGCCGCCGTGGCAGCCGAGCGCTTCTCTGTAATTTCGCCACCACTCATTTGCCATTCCATCAATTTGCTGAACGCACTATCCTTGTTGGCAGCGAGCTGTGTGAAGCTTCCAATTTCTGCTACCTTGCCTTCGTTATTCAGCACAATGATTTGGTCAGAGCGCTTGATAGTTGACAGGCGATGAGCAATGGAGATAGTCGTATTGTGCCCACGAAGCAAGCCAGCAAGAGCTTCGTTGACCAATGTTTCGGACTCAGCATCCAAGGCCGAGGTGGCTTCATCGAGAATCAGAATATCGGGATCCTTGAGCAGAGCTCTGGCAATAGCAATGCGCTGCTTCTGTCCTCCAGAGAGCTGCGATCCACGTGCGCCAACCTGGGTCTCCAGTCCATCTGGGAGATCACTGATAAAGCTGCAGTTAGCGCGTCTGGCGGCAGCAACAATTTCTGCTCGAGACGCGTGCGGCTTTCCGTATGCAATATTTTCGGCGATTGTTCCGGAAAATAAGACTGGCTCCTGGGATACCATTCCAATACGACGTCTCAGGGATTTGACATTCATTTCAGAGATATCAACCCCATTGATAGTGATACTTCCTTCTGTCGCGTTATAGAACCGCAAGAGGAGAGAGGCAACTGTGGACTTGCCACCGCCAGAGGGACCAACAACACAGACATTGCTTCCAGAAGGTATCTCAAAGTCGAGGCCATTGAAAATCTTAACGGCTGGTCGCGTCGGGTAGGCAAACGTGACATTATTGAATCTGATGGGACCTTGCGCGGATTTCACAGGCTTCCCGACAGTTTGGTGGATTCCGGGGCGACGATCTTGAAGTTCAAATAAACGACTCGCAGCACCCACACCCTTCATCAACTCAGAGTAAAAGCCGGATAAGCCAAATAAGCTTGATCCTGCAAAGGCTGTGTACATCATGAACGATGTAAGATCTCCGAGGGACATGGCTCCGGTGCGAACAAAGCTTCCGCCAACAACCAGCATTGCCAGAATGGTCATGTTGCCAGCCCAGCCTGTAGAGGCGAAGAAGGTGGCTGCGACAAGCGACTCTTTCTTGCCTAGAGCGAAAATTCGTCGAATTTGTTTGTTATAGCGACCAACTTCTTGAACTTCTCCGACAAAGGCTTGACTGGTTTTGATATTGCCGAGCCGTTCCTCAGCAATCTTGGTTAGTGTGCCAAGATTCTTTTGAATAGATCGGCTAATGTTCCGGATCGCTCGGCCATAAAAGAATGCACCAATTGCAATCGGCGGGAACATCAGGAGCAGGAGGCCAGTAAGCTGGGGGCTCGTCCAGACCATAATGGCAAATCCAGCACCACCGCTGAATAGGGCCCTTAGACCGTCACTTAGATTTTGTGTAACTGACTTGCCAACAATAACAGTGTCGGAGCTGAGTCTGGAGATCAGGTCACCAACTCGGTTCGCATCGAAAAACTCTGCGTCTTGTACGTAAGTGCGGCGGTAGAGTTGTGATCGAAGTCGGGCAACCACTCGCTCGCCGACAATGCGCAGTAGAATGACTCGTCCAAAGTTGGCCATGGCGCCCAATGTGAGTATGCCAGCAAGGCCGATGAAGAACTGGTTCAAGGTAAGTCCAAAAAGTCGAATATCGTCGACTTCTCCCCTTGTGGCGAGATCCAAGATTCTGCCGACCGAGAATGGGATAGACATGGTAACACAGGACGAAATCACCAGAAAGATGAAGGCGATGCCGAGCCAGCGAAGTTCGGGACGAGCAACCTTGATTAATCGCCATATTTCATTTATGCCGGCCTTTCCAGGTTGCCTGCTATCCTTGGAAAGCTTTGCAGCAAGGTTCAATTGAGCAGCCTGGGCAGCACGATCGCTCTTTTTAAATTCGAAGTCAGCTTCGTCATCGTTGGGCTCGTTCTTTGACGAAGTTTGTGGACTATCTTCTTTTTCCGATAGTTGCTTTTGCTGTGGCTGTGGCAGCTGAAGGTTCGTTCTTGTAGAGAAGGGTCGCATCAATCCAATTGCGGAACCCTTATATGTAAAGGCGTTTTGACGTTTTGTGACGCGCTGTAGAAGTGAAGGTTGCGCCGCGAAGGTGTTGTCGTCCAAGGTGTGCGTCGCCGCGTGGAATCGGTACTCCGCTGAAGTGTGAAGAAGGTTTGCGTGCTTTATGATACCGATCGTCTTGAAAGATGAGTTCCATAGACGATTGCGTGCTGTGCAGACAGCTCCCTGTGAATGGGCCTCCAAAAATGTAGTCAGTCGAGGGGCTACAGCCCGACGCAGCGCTCCAGAAACCATCCTGACCAAATTCGGTTACTCTGGTCCGCACCGTCCCATTGTCGGATTGTTCAGACAGCACCAGGGTCTTTTCTGTGCGTCGACTGGCGTGACTGAGCTGGTTTGCTTTGAATATTATGGTCGTTGAAAACATCCGAAGCGGCATTTCCTGCTGACGAACCCAAGGTCGACTGAAAATTGTGGTGGAGCTACTCTATTAGCTTCTGATGCCAGGTCCGCCTGTCCGCCTCGGTCGGAGCAAGTTAGCCGTTCCGACCTCCCTCTTAAATCGCCAACCCGCATACGGCTATTAAACTGTTTAAGATTGTATCTATATGGGTATGACATCTTCGGCAGGACGGGGCGGCTGAGGTAAATTACACCATCACTTTGCGTTCCCGTACAAAATGATTGCGTTGTGAGTCGCTCAATAAATTCAGTCATACATAGGTAATACAGAGCCATCTAAGGCGACATTGCTATTATCCTCCGTCTTTCAGCATTTCAGCAACATCATCGTCAATGCCATCGTCTCCTCCCATATCTGGAAATTCACTATCGTCACCGACCCTCCGTCTTTTATTTGAACCGTTAGAGGATATGGCGATTGAATATGTGGTACCCAGTCTAGCTTTCCCCTCTTCTGGCATGGTTTCTGTCTCGCCGATCGGGCTCAGAGGCTCAATCTCTGGCGGTGGAGGTGTGAACTCTTCCATCATCGGCGGTGTAAGAGCCTCCATCTCCGGGCGGCCTGGTTCCTGTGCCGGCGTGCTTTCCTCTCCGTTGGTTTGTGGATCGCTGGTATCGGCTGGGCCAAGTGCTCGCATGATAGCTAGCTCCACTTGTTGCTTCTTATCTTCAATCTCTGCCTTCCTGGCTGATAGCTGCGACAGCGCGTCATGGTCTATCTCAAGCTCAGACCTCTGTCCCTGAAGCATCTTTTCTAGGTCAGCAATTAAGCTTTCCCTGGTCGCCACGCTTTCTCTAGTAGCAGTTTCTGCATTGGACAATGTCTTAAGGAGGCCATTGAGGCGTGCCGCGAAAACTGGTGCTGACGGTACGGGAGTGGATGGATCTGTTTGCTTCTCATACTCTTGGTTCGCGGATTCGATAGTAGATTTGAGCGGCACACGCAGCTTTTGGACCTTTTGAAACCCAGAAATGAGCGGAATAAACTCGTGTGGTGCTGTTGCTGCCGTGTTCGAGGTAAATGGCGAGTTACCAAACCCTGGCCTGGTTGTACCTTTGGCCTTGTCTAGCTCTATTTGCTATTAGCACTTATGCCTCCTTGCCAGGCTGTTTGGGGGTAGCTACCATCCAAGCGCGATTCGATAGCATGTTGTATAGGAGCCTCGAATATATTCCGATCTTTCCACACGTCAACCACGCGCCGTAATTTTCCGTGTATTTCAGTCGGGGCGCCTTTGTATGCAAGCGATGTGGCTTCGGCAATTACGGGCGAAAAGGCAATTATGAAGTCTTCTTTTCGCCGGATTCGAGATTGCTGCGCAACTTCTATACTCCGATGTTTTATTAGCTTTACTAGTGGCTTTGTGCTCGGCTGGGCGCGCCGTACCATTTGCGAGGTAGACAAGACTAAGTCTTCTTGTTGCGGACGAGTCTTTTAATCGTTGCATCCAAAGCGCAACGGTTCGATCGGCATGCCGCCTAGGTTCGAGCGAATTAGTACCGTATTGCCAGTTGGCCTCAGCGTTATTCGCATACTTGTGAAACATTATCCATTGAGCAGCTGTCGCAATACTGTCGTGGCTCTCATTGAGCGCAGATAGTCGCGCAAGAACGGCGTCGTCATTGTATGCCATCGTTTGAGTTCTTGCGCCTGATATTCCGCTGGCGGCCAGGTCGCGCGAGTAAAAGTTTCCCTACTGCAGCTGGCGACGATCCTCTCGTACACGCGTCGATGTATTGTCTGATATGATACTCGTGTTGTTTTCGATATGTTGCGAGTTGAAGAATTTCCAGCTCTGGCTGAATTGGGGTGAATTAGGTTTGCCTTCGTTCTGGAAAGGTGTTAGTTAGTGAGTTCGACTTGCAGCTGTTGACGAGCTGCAGAGCTGGGCGATAAACAAGCAAAATGTACCTACCCTAGGTACCTATCTACCTACCTACCTCCTAGGTAGGTAGGTATGCAATTAGGCGAGCTCTTTCACCACGCCCCACACGTGCGTGCGAACTAGGCACTGTTATTGTTTAACTACCATTACTACCTAACCTGGTATGTAGCACGACAGGTTTAACAAGAGAGCTGCTAGCCGGACCGACTTAGAATGCTAGACGGACTGTCCACGTGACTCTAGAAAAGTGGGGGTTTATATAGTACATAGTTTTAGGTGCAATTCACATACAAATAGAAGTACCTTTAAAATAACGTATTTTTTACTTAATTGACTAACTACGCTACTAATACATACACACACTCTTAAAGACGGCCGCTTTGAGGCCTCGTAGTAGCCCTTAATTCGCTTAAAAAACGCATTTTTGCTGTTTTTTGTTGTTGTTATTATCTCCGGCGCGGAACAACGCATATTCCGGCCTTTCCAGAGCTTCCGCCACGCTTTGAGGCCACGCGGTAGCCCACAATTCGCTTAAAAAACGCCTTTTCGCTGTTTTTCGCTGTTGTTGTCATCTCCGGCGTAGAATAACTTCTTATCCGCTAATTAGGCTGCCTTAGAGTCACTTATGGTGGTGGAAAGAGATGTTAAAGGAGTTAAGTTGTGGTTAAATAGTGATGTTGAGGATATGCTTGAAAAGAGATGGGGCTGTAGCTGCTGCTAGGGTGGTACTTACGATTTGGTGTGGAATAGCGCTCTTTAATAAGTACTGAAGTAGACTAACCTATTCTGGAATAGAGGGGTAGTCACGTGGACAGTCCGACTAGCATTCTGAGTCGGTCCAGCTAACTAGTTAGCAGCTCTCTTTAACAAATAGAAGTGTCTTTTAAACATTCTATTCCCGCCGCGGCCACGGCCCTCAGCACTAGCACCATCGCCGGTCGCGCCGCCGCCGCCGCCGAGGGTCTTGAAGCCTCTCAACAGTCACCAATTCGCTCAAAAAAAAAGCCCTTTCGCAGTCATCTAGATATATATGCGATCGCGTTCTTGTGCAGTAACCCTAACAGCCTTCAAAATACCAAATTTCAAATTTAGTGGTACTTAGTAGGTACTTGAGTCTTCTAGGGTTATACTAACTAACTGTGGTACCTCGTAAGTTCTTTGTCACGTGAGGCTCGTGCCCTTTGCAAAAAGCTCTCGTGCCAATAGCACTACTCCTACTATTATCGCCTGAGACTTTCAGTAAATATCGCGGGTTTGTTTCTCCGCAGATCTCCTCGGTAGATCTCCTCCATTGTCTAAATCTGAGGATGATAAAGAAGGTACGGCCAGGAGGGGAATCGGGAGGCGAATCCGCCAGCGAGACAAGACACCCAAAGAGCGTCAACTACACTAGTAATAAAAAACTGGTTATACAATCACATACTACTGGCGACAAAAAAACTAATCATAACTAATGAAAGGTTCTTGCTCAGAGTAGAATCATGTACAGAGCAAATCCTAAATTCATAACCTGTTTTGCCTGTCCGTACCTGTGGCCAAGAACAAGGTTGGTTGGTTCCCATTCGAGACGAAAGTGCAAGGCCCGCAATGTGGACACGTGACGTATGCAGGCTAGACGTTGTCGCAACAGTGAGTGTGGCATCCGGTTACTTAACTGGCGATTGCACGCCTCCTATCCCACACCGACTCGACAGCAACTTTCGCGACAACACCGAAAATGGCGGACCGTTTTCCATCGCTGGATGACTTCGACTCGGGAGGTAACTGCAACAAATTGGTTGATATGGCTAAAGCTCACTAACAACTGGTGCAGCGCAAACGGAGGTCAAGGACACCTCCGGGTCTGACGAACAAGACTTCCTTGCACGCGAGAAAGCGCTTCTTGGCGACGATGCAGAACAATTTGCCAGCAGTGGGGACGCTGAAGCACTGGGAGACACCAGTGAAGACCTTCTCGGCGGAGAAAGTGCGCCGTCCGCGTTCGGATCACAGTTCCCAGACCTGGCTGACCCCTCATCTGTACGAGCACATCGGACGTTGCAGCTAGATGAGAAATGAAGCTAACTCAGGAGTGATAGGGAATGGCGGGTGCCCCTGGAGCATCAGCAATCACAGGCCCGTCTGTCAGCTACAACTCGGGATACCAGGCCACTGCGACCGACGAGGAAGAGCCCGAGGTGATCAGGCAATGGAGGGACAAGCGCGATGCGCAAATCACAAAAAGAGCAGAACAACTGGCCACGCAAAAAGAAGAGACGATAAAGGAAGCGCAGCAGAATATCGATGACTTCTACGAGAACTACAACATGAAGAAGGAGAAAGGTATTGCACAGACCCGCAAGGATGCCGAGCAGTTCCTGGCAAACCGAGATGATACGGTGTCAGGCGGTACTAGCTGGGATAGAATTGCGAAATTGGTTGATGTCAGCGGCAAGGGAAGCAAGGGCGGTGCCTCAGGCAGTGGCAAGGAACGCTTCCGCGAGATGTTGGTGGACCTGCGCAAGGACGAAAAAGCACCCGGAGCTACAGGTTATTGATGGCGCCAAAGCGCAATATCTAAGGAGCGTTGCATGAAATACGAGTTTGTGTTTTCTGCCGTTTGAAGATACGTCAACACCCTATTGTATTCTAGATACCTGCACTACTGCCGCAGGCAAAATTACAACACTGGTTGCTTGGAACTGTCTGTACCTGCATGTCACACCAAACTACTGCAGAAGCACCACAATGGTTCTATTGAATATTAAAACACCGGGAAATCATACACAGTGGTTATGACAAAAAACCCTTCCCACCCGATGCCATTGAAATTGAAATTAATCCTTGCCAAACCAGGTGTTATGGCCGGTGACCTTGCGACCGGCTGCGTACAAAGTAGCTAGCAAAGTGTAAGCAAGAGTGAAGAAACAAAATAGGAAGTGACAAACCTCCAAAGGTACCCCAGAGGACAAGGAGATAGGGAGTCATGTACCAGCGGCTCCGGCTGTTCTGCGAGCTGTCAGCACTATTGCGCATCAGTAGTAGCATTGCTTGTTCTTACGATCATCCAGAGGCGAGTGTGAGCTTTGTAGGCTTGCTGGTAGAAGCGCTGGTGCTGAGGCACATTGTTCTTAGCGTTGACCAAGCTGTTGAATTGTTAGCCTTGAGGTGATCACACGGAATCGAAGGTTTAGCCGAGGCAGGTTCGCTGCCATTGGATGAAATTGACAGAAGTAAACGCCGAAGGTTCAATTGCCATTCGATGCGAGGGTCGTTTCTTACCCCATTTTGACGGTTGTTCGAATCGAGTCCGCGATCGGTTTGTCGGAGCTGTTGCGTTGAAAAGGATTGGTCGGTAAGTCAGCCTCCATAAGGCCACTTCAGGTTCAGAAATGAGGCCATAATGTGATTGGCCAATCAGCATTGATGACTCAGCAACTCTCGCCATGTCCGAACCTCTTGCAATGAGGGCCCATTTAAGAGAACGGTGGCAAAGCATTGTCAATATGCAAAAGTTATGGTGTGTGTTTGAAGTAATTCTACTTCTTGTTGGTCCTTTTCCCTGATGAAATTGCCTTGTCCTCCTGGATGAAATCATACTTCAATGCCACCCGCATAAATGCATCGACCCTCGAGGGTATTGCAACAATGCGCACACGGCACTTCGAAGCGCATAGCCTCGGTGGAACGACAGACTATTGTTATCAGAGCCCAAGATGTACGACATTTATTCGGTTTCGGGGGCCACCAGTCGACTACAATAACATACAGTAGTACAGTTGTATCTCGGAAGTACCACGCGAACTGCAACCGTACAGACCACAACCGCCCGAATTTGCACCCAGTGACGAGACCCTTATCGACAGTTGCCACGAGTCCCGGGCCTGGCGCGACGGAGCAAAATGTCGCACAATGTTCGACAATACAAGATCTCGATCGGGCTGAGCTGAACGCGTCAGATGGAAAACCCATCGACTGGAACAAACTTGTTGTATACATGGAGAGAATACACGGCGCAAACGGTGTCTGTGCAGTTATGGAAAGGCTCAGGGAACGCGAAAGCCTGGAGGCTGTTATGGTATCAGATGGCATGAGAAGTATCTTTGTGTCTGCTGGAATTCAATCGTCTTCAAACCGCCAAATACTCTTTGCCTGCGCCGACGATCTTTTGCAACAATTCGACTATCGATGGCCAAATTTCTACACAAAATGTATGCATAACCTTCTACAAGAGCAAGCGTTTGAGGAAGCTGTTGAGACACACCTGCGCCTGGCTCCGAAATATCTCCCTGATCATCACATTTTGGGCATGTTTTTCGAAAACTTTGTTCTGAACCCCGATATCAAGATGCAAAAGGCGCTAAGGCAGATATACCTCTCCCTACCTCGACAGAACCTTTACGACATTGTCATCCCGGCCCTCTTCAGATCAGGCCAGTCGACGTTGGCCAAATGCTGGCGCCGAACGTTCTTGCTCTGCGGCGACTTTCCCTCTTCCGAGTTGTCAGGGCCCTTTCTTGCATTCCTTGGCAGTTATTATACGAACATCAACTTTGCTCCAGCGGAGCGCCACATTATAGATGTCATCCTAAAGAAGAACAAGCCCATGAAGAGTAAGAAGGGAACGACAATACGGTGCATAACCGCGACGCCGAAGATATCAAAGAGCTATGGGGTGGGCAAGATTGCCTCACCCGATCGGAGCCTTCAGATTACTGGGAATCTGGTTCAGGCAAGGTCAGAGACCAAAATTTTGGTAGATGGCATCATTGAGAAATTATTCGCCAGCAGCTGGACACCTATCAATTTTGCCATGCAATTAGCAAAAAAAGCTGGAATTCAATCCATAGGACCACGAGCATTCCAAGCTCTCGCCCTTCGAACAAGCAGTGCGGCTGAGGTCAATGAGTTGATTGAGAAACTGCATAAGCTCAATATTCTCATCCCCGCGGATGCATATTGTACTGCGGTAGTGGAGTTTGCTAGGCAGGGTCAAAATTCCTTGCTGAGCAATCTTCTACAGTCTGACATACACCCAGAGGAATTTGATGATGGAGATACGAGGCAAATGATCCTAGATGATTCTGTCCGCAGAAACGATGCAGAACAAGAAAGCTTAATGCGTGGCGTCATGAGTGTGGTCGCTCTGCAAACACAACAACATCCCACGCCGTTTCAGCCTGTCACCGTCGAACCTGAGTTTACCCTAGAACAACTTCTGTTTGATGAACCCCGGCGAATGAAGCTTGCACTTGAGCGGTTGGTTTCTTTGGATTTTCGCATCGGCTCCATTGAAGCTTCCGCCATTTTGCGCAGAGCATTCGCAGCTTTTCCAGTCAATAGCTATGGGATTGCGTGGAATTCAAAAGAATGTATCCGCATCCTGGACGAAGTCATCGGGGTGGTTCGTTGCATTGCAGCTCAGAATGTTGCTATCCGTGCTGGGTACTGGAAAATGTTGTTACTTGGCCTAGGACACCAAGGAAGACTCGACACTTTGGAGCAACTCAGCCAGGAGATTGTGGACATGTATGAGCAAAACCTTGGGGGTTGGCTCCCGGTACACAAGGCGGATTTACCGAAGATGACAAAACTCGCTACCGCAATTCTGCGGCGCACTGAGAATTCGGGTTATATCCCGGCCGATCTTTCCTTTTACCACCACCACCATCCCTTGTTCAAAATCTTCGACGGCAGCTTTCAACGGACCATGGTGAAGTTGGGATTTGATTGGGCCCTCAACGCTATGAGGGGCACACCTTTGACTCCTGCCGTGCAAAATGCGGCAGTGATGAGGTTTAATGTTGCGTCCGGTATACATCTACTAGCAAATCTACGGGACCGGGGTGTTTTTATCGACTTAGATCTGGTCGAGTCGGCTGCGCGCAACGGCATCTATTTTAGCCAGCGCTGGAGACAACGCGACGGCGACTCGAGGGGCAAACATTGGCTATCATCAATGCAGATGAAGCAGGCCATTGATCATGCGTGGGGATCAACGTTGATGCCGGCTGGGTACGTCATTTGTCTTGATAAGAAGGATTTTCGAGCGCTGCCGGCGTCGAAAAGATGATGCGGCTGGTTGTAGCGCAAGGCGAAACAGGTCGATCAGAATTATTGTATATTATTTTAAACATATACCCATGAATCGTAGCGTGAGCTACGGCGAATCGCTCAATACTTTAGTGTACATTTCCAGGACTAGAGGAGAGCGCCGAACATGTTGATATATACCGTGAAAGTTGGTTGACTCTGGAACCAGGCAGGAGTTTGAGCATCTAGCGGCGTCCCGCTTAACTATTCCTCTTGGGCTTGACCAGAAGCACAATGAATAGGCCTGCAACAAGGAGCATGAGCAGCAAGATGATTTTGCGCTTGGTCGTTTTTCGCTGGTAGCCAGACGCGACTTTAAGTTCAACCTCGGCGCCTTTCACATCTGTATGCATGCACTCGACATTATAATCAATGCGGTCGAGCATAGTGCCTTGGTCGATAACCATATTCTGAAGGTCGCGAAACAGGTCTGACAGCTCAATGATACCCTGAGCAATTTCCTCAATCTCGCGTTCGCGTTGGGCTATCGCTGCGTCGTTTGATGTGAGCTGTCTCTGTTTAGCGACCTGGAGCGTGGATTGAGAGAGAAATCTGTCGGCGTCAGACTCCTGCACCGGAGGTTCGATGTATGATCCAGGTGCTGGTGAGGATGATCGAATGTCCGGTGTCGGTTGTCCTAGTCCTGCCATGCCCCGGAGTTCTGTAGGTAGTGGGCCAAGTTAGTGGGTGGCAGTAATGCAGCTTCGGATTGATCCTTACTCTTGAGGTATGAGCTTTGTTTCTTGCGGAAGTTTGCGCTGGCATTCTGCACCCTTGCAGCTAGGGATATTTGTATATTCTTGGCCATGGTCTCTTCAGCGCGGCTAATAGTCCCTGACTGCTTGGATTCACGGACTATCTGCTCCACACGTTGGATACATCGGTGGCAGTCGTGGAAGCCCTTTGTAATCTCTTGGGTAAGCTTTTCGATTTGTGTCTCTTCAGTTCTTTTCGCTTCGTCGTCGTCGAATCCAGGCAGAACGTGCTTTTGATGCAGCTTCTCTAACTGCTGCCCCTTTGTCACAATGGTGGCCAATAGATCGTTAATCTCATCCGATATATCAGCCCATCGAGGAGGCAGCAGGTCCATCTCGATTACGGCGTCGCCATCATCGTCGAATGCGCTGCCCGAGAGCAAGCCGCGCCGATCCTCACTTGCATAATTGCTCGACGAGTATGCATCTGAGAACACACCGGATCTACCACCGCCGTATTTGTTTCGCTGTGTAGGATGGTGCGCGTACGACTGCCGGTATGAAATATATCTGTATGGTGCAAACAATGTCAGTGATTGCACATTGGGGAGTGCTCGCAGGTAAGTGGACTCCGTACAGGTTGGTGCGGTCTCGCCACATGGCGGACGCGATCACGGCTCCTAAACTCCGTCCTGTAGTTTCCTAAGTAAGAGATGCGACCCCTTTCGTTTCTAAACAATTTTGAATTGTGACAGCGATGGGAGCGGAAAACGATAGTCAGGCGTAGGCTAGCAGTGCGTGTGGCCTCTTTGATGACGCCGCCCGCAGTGCCAGCTGGTGGGAGAAGAGAGCCAGCAGCGGCGGTGGAACCGGTTACGGCGTGTCTCAAACTCCACTATCTGTACCTGTAAACAACTACTCGACATGTGATGCTATGGAACGAAGCAACGTCTACACCTACTGGGATTCCGCAGGACGCATGGGCGGGCATAATCATGTTATTTGTTTCTTGATGTACGGAGTAACTGGAAAATCAAATCTTTAACAATCCGCTTTAAACCGCTGTTGGGGCTTCCTTGTCACTCCTTGTTATGTGGCTTGCCGCATGACATAAGCAGACTAATCAATAGCAAGGTCAGAGCGTGTAATGAAATTGCCAGGCTTGCTATTAGAGCACGGCAGACCGTCGCTGCCTACGGATACTTGAGTAATACTATTTCGGGACGTCCAAACTACATAGATGGTGATTGGTAGCAAACTGGGAGAGCTGTCACGTGGCGGAGGAGAGGTAGGTGCAAATTATTATAGGAGGAATTACTCAGTGGAAGGCACAGGTACCTAATATGGTGGGCTGGTGGAGCTTGTACGGCGGCCGCGTCTCGAAGCTGGCTGCTCACAGATGAAGGGGTGGCGTCAGCTCTGCTGTTGCTTGTGCTGGCACCGTGCTGCACACAACTGTTATTTTTGCACTGGTTGTTCCCCCCTTTGCTTTTCCCCACGTCTGCCGTCGCAACTAAAAACGGAAGCCATACTGATTTTTGAGAACCTACGCTGCTGTCACGTAGACACTCGATTTCCTCTCTCGTCCATATCCTTCGCTCCTCATACTATCTATCATGGTTCGTTTGCCACCAAGTCGTTTGCTTGCGCCCTCTCGCTGCCCGCTTGTCCGTGACCCCGCGGTGGTGTGAGGGGCTGGGATAGAAAATAGCCACGACATCGCATGTTCGCTAACACTGTTACTTTCTGCAGGCTGATGCCCTTACCGAAGACCAGGTCGCCGAGTTCAAGGAGGCTTTTTCTCTCTTTGTAAGTTGAAAACTGGCTCCAGTTCCACGTCTCGCTTCTGCGATTCAGCGTGGCTTTTCTCCAAATGGTCACAACTGACTTACCTTCGCATAGGACAAGGATGGTGATGGTGAGTAACCCCCACATCCTTCACTCCTTAATTCGTACCGAACTCCCGCCTGTATATTCGAAAAAGACGATTATTGATCACCGTGGTTCATCACCGAAGTGCATACTCTTCGCGCCGGAAGAGCATCGAGCTAATATCAACATTGCAGGCCAGATTACCACCAAGGAGCTCGGAACCGTCATGCGATCTCTCGGCCAGAACCCTTCCGAGTCAGAGCTTCAGGATATGATTAACGAAGTTGATGCTGATAACAACGGCACTATCGATTTCCCCGGTACGTGGCATGATACGGTCAGTGTCATTTAGAATATAAGCTTACGAGGTTAATCAGAGTTCCTCACAATGATGGCCCGTAAGATGAAAGACACTGATTCCGAAGAGGAAATCATGGAAGCTTTTAAGGTGCGTGTCAAGGGACGGCGATGCTATCGAGTTCAGCTCGACTTACCAGATACAGGTTTTTGACCGCGACAACAACGGCTTCATTTCCGCGGCCGAGCTGCGACATGTCATGACTTCTATCGGTGAGAAACTCACCGATGACGAAGTCGATGAGATGATCCGTGAGGCTGATCAGGACGGCGACGGCCGCATTGACTGTAAGACACGTCTACCCGAAGCATCCTAGTAACTGGAGCTAAAATTTGTTCAGATAACGAGTTCGTCCAGCTTATGATGCAAAAATAAATTGGGGTTTGGCTGGTGAGCTTTCCAAGCAGCAACGCTCTGTGGTATACTCGCCTCAAGGCAGATCTCCATCAGCTAGAGTTGGTTGTAGGCAAGTTTGGGATGTTGTGCGAACTTGGAGAATATCTTACATCTTTACGATGTCACGAGATGGCGAGCACGTTCAAAACTTCTGCAAAAACAGTCGAGAGACTATTAGTCTACGATTTATGGAATGATATGCTTCTCGGCTTACTGTGAGCTTCGCAGTGAGTTGGTGGCTTAGATTTAACAATCTCTTACTGGGAAATAAATCATCTATTCAAATGGCCATGGTAACTAGTTGGAATTCACTATTACTTTTATTGTCTGTATAATGGAAATACGTACCTTGCCCATCAACATCACTTGGCCCAGCAGCAGTAATGGCGCTGAGTGGCGCATGGGAATTTTATAATTTTATGAGGAGGGTGGGCCACATTTTTGCCTTCGCCACCTTATTATCAACTGGTGGCGGCCGTCACCACCTACCACCTAGGTACCAGGTCTGCCCCACGTTGGACAATGGACACGCCTACCTACCTACCTAGTTACCACGCACACTGTCCGTGACACGTTATTGCGCATAGCTTGGCCCTGCTTGATAATTACTGCATCGACGCGAACAGGGACCATCCAAGGCCAAGAACTCTGGAATAGGGCCTTCCATCTTCTGTGGTCCTTGCCTTCGATTATATCTCACTCCGACAACCTGACCAGCTAGGCGACCCATTCCGGGGTTGTCCCCTTCCCAAGATGAGCTCCCGTATGGCCTCTAGCCCTCATGCGTTGCGAAGCCCGATACATGTTAACAATTCTGGTCTGATAGTTAAGCAATTTATTCGGAATGTGCGTGCTGCAAAGACCATTGCCGACGAACGAGCCGTTATCCAGAAAGAAAGCGCCGCCATTCGAGCAAGCTTTCGCGAAGAAAGCGCTGACCATGGAATTCGGTATGCTCCAACAAGCAATGATTTGCGCTGTCAGTGCCGCTCAACCACTCACACTGTATATCAGACGAAACAACGTTGCGAAACTGCTCTATCTCTTCACGCTTGGCGAGCGAACACACTTCGGTCAGATTGAATGCATCAAATTGCTTGCATCACCCCGCTTCGCCGATAAGCGACTCGGACATCTTGCGACTAGCTTACTGCTGGATGAGAATCAAGAGGTCTTGACCCTGGTTACCAATTCTTTGAAGAAGTAAGCTTTCAAATCCAATAACGATAAAGTATATTAACATGATCCGACTCAGCGATCTTGGCCATTCGAATCAATACATCGTCGGTCTGGCGTTGTGCACGCTCGGGAATATTGCATCTGTCGAAATGTCAAGAGACTTGTTCCCCGAAATCGAGAACTTACTATCAACTTCGAACCCATACATCCGTCGCAAGGCTGCACTTTGTGCCATGAGAATATGTCGAAAGGTTCCAGACCTACAAGAACACTTCTTGGAGAAGGCCACCCAGCTGCTCTCCGACAGAAACCATGGCGTTCTTCTCTGTGGCTTGACATTGGTAACTAGCCTTTGCGAAGCAGATGAAGAAGAAGGCGGCGAAGAAGGCATCGTTGAGAAATTTCGCTCGTTCGTTCCTGGACTAGTCAAGATCCTGAAGAGCCTGTCCACTTCAGGTTATGCGCCGGAGCATGATGTCACAGGTATTACAGACCCCTTCCTACAAGTAAAAATTCTTCGCCTCCTGAGAATACTCGCCATGGTTGATCCTGAAACCAGCGAACATATCAATGATATTCTTGCGCAAGTGGCTACCAATACGGACTCCTCCAAGAACGTCGGAAACTCCATTCTTTATGAAGCAGTGCGGACTATTCTAGATATCGATGCAGACTCAGGATTGCGCGTTCTAGGCGTCAATATTCTAGGAAAATTCTTGACAAACCGCGACAACAATATTCGTTACGTTGCTCTCAACACCTTGATCAGGGTTGTCGCAATCGAACCAAATGCTGTTCAGAGACACAGAAACACGATATTGGAATGCTTGAGAGATCCGGATATCAGCATCAGGCGGAGAGCATTGGAGCTCAGTTTCACTCTCATTAACGAGAGCAATGTCCGTGTCCTGATCCGCGAGCTCCTGGCTTTCTTAGAAGTCGCCGATAACGAATTCAAGCCCACCATGACGAGCCAGATTGGTATCGCGGCAGACAAGTTTGCCCCAAACAAACGATGGCACTTCGATACCATGCTGCGCGTTCTCTGCCTCGCTGGTAACTTTGTCAAAGAACAAATTCTCTCTTCTTACGTCCGCCTTATTGCAACGACCCCTGAACTGCAGACCTATGCTGTGCAGAAATTGTTCGTTAATCTCAAGAAGGATATCACACAAGAGAGCCTGACGCAGGTTGGCGCATGGTGCATTGGAGAGTTTGCCGATGCGCTACTCAAGGGTGGCCAGTACGAAGAGGAGGAGCTTGTCCAAGCAGTGAAGGAGAGCGAGGTAGTTGACCTCTTTGCCCTCATCCTCAACAGCAGTTACGCCAATCAAGTTTCTACGGAATACATTGTCACAGCACTCATGAAGCTCACTACGCGTTTCTCGGATCCATCTTCGGTTGAGAGAGTGAGACGCATTCTTCAGAACCATCAAACGAGCTTGGATGTTGAAGTACAGCAGCGGGCTGTCGAGTACATCAATCTGTTTGGCTTTGAACAAATCCGCCGTGGCGTGCTAGAAAAGATGCCGCCGCCGCAAATCAAAGAAGAGTCGCGTGTCCTCGGTCCCGCCCCGACCAAGAAAGCCAAGGCTGCTGCTAACCGCAGATCGAAAATTGTCAAACCAACAGAGCAAGATCTCCTTGATATCATGGATACCCCTTCTACAACAATGGCCCCGTCCAATGACCGGCAAGGCTCAAACTCCGATCTGCTGGCAGACATTCTTGGCAGCGGCCTCACTTCCGATACAACCCGCGCTCAGGACCCAAACACTTCGTCCATCATGGATTTATTCGGCAGCGGAATCGGGTCTTCAACACCATCTGCGATGCCATCCTCTTCAGGATTGGATACGCTGTCTCTGTCAACTGTCTCCACTTCCCAGCAAGGGCCGTCAGGTAGCCATGGCATTGCCTGTTATAACGCAAATGACCTCAATGTCACATTCCAAGTTCAACGTAACGCAGAGGGCATGATCCAGGCGACTGCCAAGTTCCAGAATACATCTAGCTCCGCAGCCTTGTCGAATGTTGGCCTCCAAGCTGCTGTGCCCAAATCCCAGAAGCTTCAGCTTCTCAATGTGTCTTCCACAACTCTATCACCCGGCGCTGAGGCTACACAAATGATGCGTGTTTCAGGGTGCAAAGGAGTAAGCATACATTTCCTTCAAAAGTATATCAAGTACCAATTTACTAACGAGGTCGTTCAGCCCCTTCGCCTTCGTCTTCGAATCGGCTTTACACACCCAAATGCAGGTCAAGTGATGGAGCAGGTCAATTGGACAGAATCTTGAGCGAGATATTGGAGTAGTACGATTGCAGCGATTGATTGGTAAAGGAGAACCAGCAGAAGAAGAAGAAGAAGCAAAAAAAATACATTGAAGCATTTGCGCGACATCCAGTTTGCCAGGACGAGTTGAAAGCAAGAAATGTCAAGATAGACCAGCTCGTCAGCTAAAATGCTGAAATTTTACAATAATAAACTTACTACAGTGGGGTTCCAAAAGTCTATAGTGGTAACAAGTTTTACCCCACCACCAACACCACCAACAGCCAGCCTAGCCATATATACTATAAGTATAGGCCTAGCTAGGACTAGACTAGGTATAAGGGGGTTTATAAATAGGAATTAAGGGGGTTAAGGGGGTTTTTATTGAATTCTGTATATATATATATATATTATATTTATTATTATTATCTTTTATTAAGATAAGTAATATATTTATTTATTAAATTATACTAATTGGACTCTGTGGTCCTTTTAGTACCTTGATAAACTTGTGAGGGCTGGAAAAACCGTAATAGGACCGCCGCCGGCCTGTGCCCGGGTGAAAACCATCCCTCCTACGTGCTATCCTACTGTTGCGTAACGATTCCTAGTAGTATTCAATAGAGTTCAGTGTATTCTCGGTAAGCAGGTTCCCAGGCTGCCACCAAAGTAATATATTACTCCTTCCTGGAAGTTACTTTAAGATAATACTAAACTTATACTAGAGTTAGGGGTTTTTCCTTAAGATACTATAGTTTTTATATATCTTATAAGCTATAAATATACTAGATAGACTAATTAGTATAATATAATAATAATAAATACTTAGCTTTCTTAAAATAATATAATTCTAGAAAATATATTATAATATAAAGGGCTAGGCTATGCCTAGTAACTGTCTAGCGAGTAGCCAGCGCGCCAAGCCTTATAGGACAACCAGACAATAACCTACTAGTATTGTCGTTACGAATCCTTTTGCCTGCTTCCGTAGCTTAGTAGGTTATAACTTATATTATTAATAATAGTAGTGCTGGTTATTACTAGAGCCTTCCGGCCTAGTTCCGTTACATTCTTTGAGTATTAATCTATACTATAGCTATTTTATTAGAACTATATATATATATTCTTATATTTTATTTTACTAGCTTTAAATATATACGTTACTAAGAAACCGAAGGTGGTGATACGCCTTTAGAACCCCACTGTAGTTAGAAACATGCCAGCTAAGTGTTGTGTTGCTGACGTTTTTTTACGAGGCATCTACCATACGGCATTCACCTTTCATTATATAACCCTATATAACCTCTCCTTTATAGTCACATCGTTCAATTCCTGCTACAAACACAGATCGCATGAACATGGACAAACAGCCGTCCAAGTTGGATCACTTAGCCCGCACTTCGACAGAGCCACGCGAGAAGGTAAGTCGATTAACAGCATCTACACGGAGATTTCAGCCAGAAAGATACCGAGTAGCAAAATGGTTGACTTCCTTCACAGAACTTAATATGGGTAAAAATTGTGGGTGTCGACACTGTCAATGAGAAGACTCGGCTCTTAAAGCTCGGGTTGCAAGAAGGCCCAGCGAAGGTGAGTGTCCAGTACTCGACAGCGATATCGGATTACCTACGCCTCGACTAATGTATGATACTTTTAAGTTTCTTGCTGGACAGTGGCTGGATACGTTTGTCCCCGGTAACCCGAAACCAGGTGGCTTTACGATAGCCTCGGCGCCGTCAACAGCCGCGCGAGCCACGGAGCCGTATTTTGAATTGGCCGTCCAAGAAGCGCCCGAGAATCCTGTGGCAGCATGGCTCTGGAAGCCGGAGAACGAAATACTGCATAGATTCATACAAGTGCGTGTTGGGGGAAGCTTTGTTTGCCCACCAACTGAGGGGCTCGACGGTATCCGGCGCATTATCCTCGTCGCTGGCGGGGTGGGCATCAACCCGCTCGTGAGCATGTTGGGCTACGTTGCCGATCAGGATGATAATCTGAGCATACAATTGTCAGTTATGTATAGCACAAGGGAGCCGGAGGACGGAGACTTAGGAGAGGTCCTGTTTCTGGACAGGATTTTGAATCTCTTTCGCACAGGTAGAGTTTCGGGCAACGTCAAGCTCTTTCTTACTAGGCCGGCGTCTCATATTTATGATCGGACGGCTGATGAAACCGGCGGAATCGATGTAAGGTTTGGGAGAATCGAAGGGGGGGACCTTCTTTCGGAGATATCTTCCGGCGGCAGCAAGGAGAGCACGCTGGTGTATATATGCGGCCCACCAGCCATGACGGATTCATTTGTTGATCTGTTGACGGCGCCAGATGTAGCAACCGTGATCAGTGCTGCGAGGGTAAAGTCAGAAAAATGGTGGTGAATTATCACAATAAGTTGGCATATGTTATTATGGAAAAGAACAGACTAGAGTATGGCAAGTGGTATATTGAAAGTAAGCAAAACGCCAAAGAGCATATCGTATTCCTGGTGCCGATTACGCCCAAAGCACCCGGGGCCTGCTAAAAAGGCCAAAAGCCTCTGATAAGTCCCCCCCTCATAATCAAAGTTTTGAATTAACCAAAGAGATCTTGAGCCTTTTGCCTTTGTTTTGTCCTACCCCCGTCGAACAACTCCTTGCCCGGATTTTGGCCGCCCAACTTGCCAGGGAACAGTTCGCGGGCATTCGCGGTACCTTTGATGCTGATACCTTTTCCGGCGTCGACAGTCTGGCTCGCCACACCCCTGATATTGAAGCTTCCACCTTGAGAGCCTACCGGCACAGAAACGACCTTGGGGATGTCTTCCTCCTGAAGCCGAGCGGATCCGATGGCATCCTCCAATCTATCGAGTTGGCCACTTCCGGAACCGGATTTGGAAGGAAAGAGCTCTTTGGAGCCGTTCCCTGTGCGAAGTCGCCGCTTCACGATCCGCGCGGAGTCTCTGTTGCGCGATGAGCCAAGCGTACTATCCATGGCGACATCGCCCTTGCTGTCGCGTCGGGGAGACGCGGAGCGATCACGGCGCGAGGCCCTGTCTGCAAAAAGTTCCTTTCCGCGATTCTCCCGCGAGTATGAATCTCGCCGCTCGCCCGACCTAGAGCGTGTCGTTGTCGATTGCCGTGGCACATCATCGTACATGCTCGCCTCGAATGTTTCTACCTCTTCTTCTGAGTCGCGCCGGCGGCCGCCGCTGCCTCTACGGTAGCCGCTGTCCCTTTCTCTATAGCGCGAGCGCGAGTCTTGTTGTCGCCGACGGCGTTCCTCCGGGTCATGTTCTGGGTGGAGGAGATAGTAGCGACTGCGGAGAGCTGCGCCGCCCTGCTTCCTGTCGCTTGCTACTGCAAATCTAATGTGAAGGGCGGTTTCTGGCTTTCCCTCTACTGATTTAGCAAGCAAAGTTTCGCCTGCGGGGAGAGCCGTGGCATCGGCAATCTCAATGGAGCTAAGCGCGATCATTGCGTCGCGAGCAGTCGAGTCGGAGCCGAAGACCAAGTTTGCGGACGTGTCGTCAACCCACTCGACTCTATCAACAGGAGCAAAGTGAGATTTGACGTACGCTTTGATGTCATCTGTGTGTAGAGAATCAACGCCACGTATGTTGATCTTGTTGGGTACGACCGTCGTGGCGTCCTCATCGGGCTTGGGATCGTCGTCTGCAATCTCGCCAGGTTCGTTGAAATCGTCGGGTTGCTTTGAAGGCGTTAGTCACGAGGAGCGGCCTCGATTGGTGTGATTCAATCGTACCAGAATATCGTCCGCTTCAGGGAGGAGCGCGGCGGCATCGTGGTGGCCCTCAACGGCGTCGCCCATTTCAATATCCAAATCCATCGCAGCTGGCCTTGTTCGTTAACAGCGAGTTCGAGAAGATGTCGCGACCAAGGGTGTGCGTATAATAAGCAAGCGACCAGCACACTAAGTTAAGAAAAAGCAAAGTATGAGCACAGTAGTAATAGTAACAATAGTAATTAGATCAAGCGTTCGCCGAGCAGCGAATGCACTTTGCGAGGGGTGCTGGTATCCCGAGTTGGAAAAACGTGTGAGGGCAACACGGAAATGCGCTATCGCAAGGCTGGCCCGCTTATTATTAATTGAGAACCAAGTACAGAAGTTACTATCTACGCGAACACCTTTTAAAGCTACGACATTTCTACCCTAAATAGTATATAGTATTAATAATATAGCCATAGGGTTCTAGTGTCCTAGTATCCTATGTAGCTAATTATAAAGGATAAAGAAATTATAGCCTTATAACTACCCTATACCTAGTATATATTATATATTATAAATATTAAAGTAATAGTATACTAATATAAGTCCTTTATTAGACTATATTATAATAGCCTAATTAGCTATATATACTACTACCTACCTTATTTCTATTAAGGCTTTTATCTCCTTCTTATAACCTTTAGAAACTATATTCTATTCTTAATATCTTTATTACTATTAATATATATCGAGTTATTCTTCTTACTAATAACTATATTATACCTTTAGATATTCCTCTTATTAATAACTATATAGTTATACTTCTAGCTATTTCTCTACTTATTAATAATTATATAGCTATATTACTAGTATTATTTACTTTATTAAAGGCTATTATACTAGGTACTAATAATATACCTTATAGTTATTATAATAAAAACTATTAATCTTTATAGCTATTCTAGGCTATATCCTATCTAGCCTATACTATTTATTAAGCTATAAATATAAAGAAAGGCTATACCTATTAGCTTATATACTTAATAAAGGCTTAAATAGCTATACTAGTTAAAGTAGTACTTAAGATAAATAAAGAGAGTAATAATCTATTTCCTTCCCTTTTATTATATATATACTATCTATCTTAACTATATAGGTAGGTAAGCTTAATAGGATATTTATATTAATTTATATTATTAGATATAGAATTATATTAATATAATAACTATAACTATAATATAGTATACCTTTATATTATAAAGTATAAGTTTAATATTAAGGTATCTACCTTTATAGTATAGTAGTTCTATACTAAGGACTTTTATATAGGTTAGTATATAGATTACTAATTTAAATCTAGCTAAAAGCACTTTAAAATAATTTTTTTAAAAGTTAAGTAGTATATCTACCTTATAACTAACTTATAAGGAAATATAGGTAAGGTAACTATAAAGTTAGCTAAGGTAAAAGCTAGAAGGTAATATATACTAATTACTATACTATCTTAATTCTTAATTAATAAAAAAAGGCTAAAAACTATATATATATTATAGTATATAACCTTATAAAAAGTATTAATAATAAAGAACTATTTTACTATTTAAATATATATATAAATAGTAAGTAAATTAATATATCTAAATAGTTAATAATTAATAAAATATATAGAAGGATATAAATTAAGGTAGTAGCCTAAAAACCTATTTATTAAGAAATACTAAACTCTATTAAATACTATTAGGAATTATTATATAATAATAGAATAGTATATAGAAAGAATAGTTTTTACCTAAATAAAGGCTAAGCTTAGTTAGGTCTTTTATTATAGTTTTTTTAGTCTTTATAAGTTTATTAAGATATTAAAAGAACTATAAAATCTAATTAATATTATAAGCTAGGCTTTAGCCTAATACCTTCTAGAATAGCTAGTATAGAGCCCTTAAAGGGGGCCCTTATAAGTATAACTAGATAATAATTAGTTAGTATTATTATTATAAATCCTTTTAGCCTTATAGTTAAAGGGGTTATTACTATAAGGCTACTAATAGCAGTAGTGCTAGTTACTACTAGAGCCCCTCTAGGGCCAGTCCGTTATATATAACAATACTAACCTAGGGTTGTAGGTTCGAACCGTGACGTGGGCAGTCATGCAAAAGGGGCTAGCGAACACGTTTTTCAACCTAGGCTTATAGGTAAGTAAGACAGCCTAGGGGGTTTGTGGCCTATCTATGGCGCTGGGGAGGGAAGGTATGTTACGGGCTTGGCCTAGCGCCTTCTAGAATGGCCGGCACGGAGCCCCTAAAGGGGGCCCTTATAGGTGCAACTAGATAACAATCGGTTAGTATTATTATTACGAATCCTTTTAGCCTCATGGTTAAGGGGGTTGTTACTATAAGGCTACTAATAGCAGTAGTACTAGTTACTACTAGAGCCTCTCTAGGGCTAGTCTATTATAATTAGTATAATTTAATAAATAATATTAAGGTATTTTAGATATTATAAAGAAGTTAGGGTTAAGCCTACTCTAGGCTAGGCTTAGCCTAAGGCTATTATAGGTATACTCCTAGTATACCCCCTTTATATATTATAGTAAATAGATCGACTAGCTTTTCCTTTTTTCTTACTCTATAAGAGAGTTAATATTATTATAATACTTATTTATAGATACCTTAGGGCTAGTCTTTAATAGGTATATAGTGTTAAGGGGCGGGCTAAGCCCGCCCTGGTCCTTCTAGAGTGGCTGGCGCGGAGCCCTTAGGGGGCACCCTTAGGGGCACCCTTATAGGCGCAACTAGACAATAATCGTGCCAGTATTGTTGTTACGAATCTTTTTGGCCTTGTGGTTAAGGGGGTTGTGCGCCGTAAGACCTACTAACGGCCGTGGTGCTGGTTGCTACTAGAGCCCCTCTAGGGCCAGTCTATATAGTATTTATATTTTTATAATATACTATATTTAGTATAATATAAAGTAGTTTTTATTAAATATAATAATAATAATTTTTATATACTAATTAGGCTAAATAACCTATTTCGTATCTTTACTAATTATAGGGTAAGGAAAAACTAGAGTACCTAAGGGAAAACCTTAACTATATTTTGCGGGATTTTTTTCTATTAAATATAGACATAAATATTAATACTAAGTATATTAAGTCCTTCTACTATAAACTTTATTTATACTTATTTTTAAATAAATCTTAGGTATTTAATAATATAGATAAGTAGCCTTATTTTTACTATACCTTATATATTAATATTAAAAAGTAAATCTTATTAGATTAGTCTTTTACCTTTAAAAATAGCCTTTTATCTTACTTTTAATATATATTCTTCTTTATATATCTTAAGAAGTAGGTAATTTATTAAATAGATACTATTAACTACCTTTATTACTATTTTTATTAGTATTAATATAAGTATAGTATATTATAATAGTTTAGTACTTATTAGGTTTAGGTTAACTTATCAGTTCTTTTTAAGGTGTATTTCTCCTAAGCATAATATTTCTTATTAGCTATATTAGATACCTAATAGCAATATAATAGGGAAATATTATATATTGAATAGAAACCGTGCCTAGTACCCTATTAAAAAAAGAGTAGTACTATTAGTATAAGAGCTTTTTACTAAGGGTATAACCTAAGGTACTTCTAATTTATAGGCTCCTATACTATAAAGTAAGTACCTTTTTAGTATTAATTCTATACCTTTTATATAGTAAAATCTAATAGAAAGGAAAGGTAGTTTAAAAAAAAAGATACTATCTAAAAGATTAACTAATAAGGTATCTAGGAACCTTAGTTTTAAAAAGAAATACCTATTCTAGTATTAGGAATAGATGGTTTTATTCTATAGGTTTCTGTATATTCTAATGCTTTTTAAAAAAAGCGCTTAGCGCTAAAATAATAATAGAGGTACTTAGTCTTTGCAGGCTATTCTACCAATTTCTAGGTACCTTGGGTCGTGCCCTTAGCAAAAAGCTCTCGTGCCAATAGCACTACTCTAAAAAAAAGCCCTCGCGCGTCCTAAAAGGTATTGACCCGGACGATGTAGGCATATGAAAATACCTTGATCGGCGCTTCACGGCTGAGCCTCTGTATCTACGTTATCGCAATTGACTAAAATTGAACGTTGGTTTAGCAGTTCGAAATACACAGACATGTACTTCTCTCTCTCATTGGTACGAGGCCTAAATCTGGAACGCGGATGACTGATTGCCATACATACTGAGCCAACCACGTGCGCTCCCTAGCCGCCAGATGTCGACAGCTAACTGGGTGCTAAGGAGTTTCTCATGCAGCGAGCTTCTCGTAATTTCTCGTCAACATCTCACAATGGGACATTTCGGCGAGGCCATCGTGATTCTACTGGATACATACGGCACATGCATGTCGCTGGTCCGCAAGCTGGGCCGACAGGAGAGAGGCCATTTTCAGTCAGCCCACCACCTGCGTCGTCAACTCCGCTCTGACAGAAGCCAAGTGTGCAGTTTATACTCAATACAACTCGCGCATTGTGGAACGGCTTTCCGGGTTGGAGATGGCAAGTACCTATCCAGCACTGAAGCACCAAAGCCTCCTTGTGCTGCTACTAACAATAGTGTAGCCAAATCGCGCCTCTCCCTACGGAAGTTAGTGAGGAAGCTTCAGTCGACTATTCAAAGGTTGATTCAAATATTCAAGAACGACTCCTCGTCACATTTAGACTATGCGTCCCTCCTATCTCTTTCGCGGTCGTCCAGAAAAGAAGCTATGAGGACCATGTCGAGCCTCTCCACTAGAGTCAACAAAGACAAACAGAGAGGCGAAAGGAGCTCGAGAAACCATAAACAGAGACTGGGGAAGAAAACTCCTAGAGGAGGATCCCACAAGACGACTCGAAGTCAACTGCGGGGGCGAACTAGCTCTAATACCGGCCTTCGTGTGTCCCCTTCTGTCTCGACAATACCTTCCGACAGTACCAAGATTGGCGAGCTAAGACAGCGGAGAAAGGGCGCGGTAGCACAGCAAGACCACGTATCATATCCTACATATTCTCTGAAAAAGCACGGAGAGGATGTGAAGGGTAGAAGCTGGTGGGATCTGTTTACAAGGAGGAGTTAGTGTACCCTGGTTCTAGCGTTGTGTTGTAGCGAATTAGGGTCACCACAATCACGGAAATATACAAACAAATGAATGTTAGCCCGTTTCGCAAGAGAAGTATTACAGAGACCAGGTTATGATGTCAAAATTTATATTCTAAATTGCATCTCTCCTATAATTGACGTTGACGCCGATTCTCCTACCACAGGCGGCACCCTTGACAGCCCCACCACACCCACCCACAATGTCGTCGCAACCCCGCGATCCGAAAAATACATAACCAATCTCGTCGCATTTGAACATTCTGGAAGAAAAGACGCGCCGCGCCTCCTTCTGCGGACACACCCCTCGGAAACCGACTGATTCTTCACCTCAATCAGCTTTTGATACCGAGTAAAAGGTATTTGACTTTGGCTCCCTGACAACTCTCGAATCCATCGCCCACATCGAACCTCGAAAAGTCAGAGTCACGCAGCGTCAAGCAATGAATTGAGTGCAGCAACCATGTCACAAGATCCATCGGCCGCTCTCAGCTCATTGCTGCGTAGTGCGTCGATTGAAGACCACGAGGAGGTCCTCAAGGCCGCCAGCCTCGCAATCAAGGCCGACAAGAGCGACATTCTCGCCCGCCAGATCAAACTTGTAGCTCTGCTCAAGCTCGACCGATTCGACGATGCGGCGCGGTTCCTTTCCGAGAGCAGCTCCAAGCTCGAGTCAAAGTGCAGTCTAGAAAAGGCATATGCCCTTTACAAATCGGGACAGCTGGAAGAAGCTACGTCGACGCTGAAAAAGGCTGGTCTGCGCGAGCGGGGCTTGCAGCATATCGCCGCCCAAGTTGCCTACAGGGCCGAACGATTTAGCGAAGCAGGCCAAATCTACGAAGAACTGCTAGAGGGTAATGCGGGCGCGGAAGAAAGCGACCTAAACATCAACCTCAAGGCCGTACATGCGCAAGCGGAGTGGAGTGGCTTGTCTGCGCCATCCGAGCCACTTCGGAGTATGCCAGACTCCTTCGAGCTCTGCTACAACATTGCATGTGGCAACATTGCGAGGGGAGAGCTTGGTGAGGCTACCAAGCTTCTTCGACGGGCAGCCACGCTGTGCAAGGCTTCCGACGACTTGGGAGAGGAGGATAAGGAGGCAGAGCTTCGACCCATTTGGCTCCAGCAGGCGTATGTTTATGCTCGGGAGGGAAAGCTAAAAGAAGCGCTTGATCTGTACAACTCGATAGGATCACTAAGGTATGACCATTGGCTACTTGCCTTATTTCTATATTCGGCTGTTGACTCTGCATCTAGCGACGACGACGAAGACTTCGTCATTGTTGCCCGACAGAATCGCCTCTCTCTTGAAGCGAAGCCAACGAACCCATACCTTCTTCACAGGCAAACTACTGTGGGAGGTGTCAAGGTGAAAAATGCCAAGCTTTTCAGCTACCAGTCAAGCCGCGAGCGCCAAAATTCATATCTGCTGGCCTTGGATGTGCATAAATCAAGTGGCGTTCAGGAAAAGTCACACAATTTCCTTCAACAGTCAGAACAGCCTACCAAAAGTGCTAGTGTCAATGCCATGGCAGTCGTGAATGCGGCCGCTGTGGCCGATGGACTCGACGACCGAGCCGCCGTCCGAAAGTTACAGGCTCTCGCAGTGCGGCGGCCTTTGGACGTGGGCCTTCTCCTAACCATCGTCCAGCTTCAGCTCCGTCTCAACCGCAAGGGAGCAGCGCTGTCTCTTCTCCAATCTTTTTTTACTCGACTAGAGAAGGAAGACACTGACGCTTCGAGAGATGTCCGCTTCAGCCCTGGCCTGGTTGCACTGGCTGTATCTCTGATGCGCGCGCAGGGTCACGAGAACTCTGCCAAGGCCGAGTTTGTCACCGCCGCGAAGCACTGGACAAGGCGCCCCACAGCATCTTCAGACTCCCTGTTGAGGGAATCCGGCATCGAGCTCATGCGCTCCTCGAACCCCGAAGACTTGAAGCTGGCAGGGTCAGCCTTTGAGAAGCTTTTTGCAGAACACAAGGGTTCTCACATTGCTTCTGCTGGCCTCGTCGCCTCGCTTGCCGCTGTGGATACGGACAAGACCAGCCGGCACATGTCTGAACTCCCACCTGTGGGGTCTCTCGTCAAAGGAATCAACGTGAAGGGCCTACTTGAAGCGGGCGTAGCGGCTGCCCCGAGCCGGCCCAACTTGAAGAAGCGTGCGGCCGCCGATGCCACTGAAAAGGCGACCACGAAGCGCCGCCGCCGCCGGCTGCCAAAGGATTACGAAGAGGGCAATGCCCTCGACCCAGAGCGGTGGCTGCCTCTGCGAGACCGTTCCACCTACCGGCCAAAGAACAAAAAGGGCAAGAAGAAGGTCGCCGAGTCGACGCAGGGGGGGGTTGTCAAGGAGGAGGAAACACTCGGCCTTGTTGGCGGCGGCGGCGTCAAGGTGGAAAAGTCTGGTGGCGGTGGAGGCGGCGCCGGCGTGGCCAAGAAGAAGAAGAAGGGCAAGAAATAGAATTGAGGTGCTGCTTCGTTTCCCGCCGTGGCGCTTAGGAGCAGACGTGGCTTGGACTTGGCATTCTGGAAAATTATCAACATATGCCAACTCCGAAAGAGTAAAATCTGTAGCAGCTTGGCACTACGTTAGGCTCTAGCGAGGGGGGGGGGGGGTTTAATAAAATAGTACAAGTAGTATTTTTTATTGTTCCTATCGACACGCTTCTGTGTTGAATTTGATCCTGTTTCCACTCCCGACACTCGCTAAATAAGACAAATGTAAATCGCAACTCAATTCTTTTGTTGTTTGGTCACTGCGCCGAGTATAAGCACTATGTTCGGATGCAATTGGTATAGCCCTCTTGGGTTGGTTGTGGTATAGCTACGCATCCGCCACTCGCAGTACATGGTTGGCGAGCTTAGCCAAGTCTTGGTTCGAGCCGAGCTTCTCCTTTTCTTCGTCTTCCTCGCTGTCATTGTCACTATCCGAAAATTTTCCAGTTTTCTGGTCGAGCGCCAGCTCTGCCCCTGAGTTCCCGTTCATATTCAACTCGACGTTGTCCTCATCGGATTCCGTTTCAATAGGCGGTAGGGAGGACCGCCGTCCATCTGAGAAACTCACTGCAGCTTCACTTTCACCATCAGATGGAATTACAAGCCGTCCGCCAGCGGACACAATCCTAGCAGCCTGTGCTGACGAATACTTGCGGTGGAGCTCTCTGAAGCTCATCGCAGTAGCTGTATTCGCGCTTGCTGCGGATTCCCGTCGGTCGCGCGAGTCAGCACCTTCCGATGATTCCTCAACAGCAGAATGAAAGTCTTCGTCACCTCCACAGCTAAGGCTAGGGGATGGAGGTTGGTCGCCCTGATGTTGAACTTTCAATGCAATTATCTTATCATCGCTGGACATGCTTTGGATCTCGTTGCCCAAATTAATGACGGAAGCTTTCTTGCCATGAACAACAAAACTACCCGCGCCACGTGATAGCATACTATCTCTTCCAGTTTCCTCGGATCGGGTAGAATCTGGCTCCTTTCCTCTCTTGCTCCTGTGGTGAGACAGGTGGCCTGCACTCTCTCTAAGAGTACGCTGGAGACTGCGGCGGACTTTATTCCTCTCCAGTCTATCGCCTTCGGCCGGCGTATCCGTGGAGTCGGCGGTAGTCAGAATTGTGTTTGGCTTATCAGCAGTGTCTTTGCTGATTCGGCTGTCAAGCAACCCTGCCTGCCTCAAGAGATCTTGCTCCTCGGCATCCAAATCTTCCAAGTCGTTTGATTTCCGTGGCTGCGTGTGCTCTGTTTCAATTTGCGGCTGTGTCCTCTTTGACCTGGGGCTTGAGACTGGGGTCCTCGTCAATGACACTGCATCGCCCTCGGGTTCCTTTGGCGCCTCGTTGTTATTCGGTGTGTCCACCACGCTGGAGAGTCGGGTGATGATTGGTTCTGTAGGAGTGACAGAGCCATTTTCGCTGGTGCCATGGTCGGTCGCTTTCGACTCTGGTCTGACAACGGAGGGCTTGGGGGTTGGCGAGCCTGCCCGCTCGGAACCCTGTTTATTGTTCGGTGTCGATAAGGTTGAGGATGCTGGACGCTCCTCATTGAAGTCTTGGAGCAAAATGTCTCGGTGACAAGTTTCTTTCCAGATCTGCATGCGAGTCCACTTGAGCTGCGCGCTTATGCGAGCCGCCGCGGAAAGTATGTTTTCTCGTGTCCTCGGTTGGACAGGTGCGAGTATTTGAAGATGGCGGGCGTTGCGTAGCTGCTCCTCGAGCTGTTTTTGCGCCTCCTCTACCTTGTGAGTCAACTCGGTGATCCGTCCCTGCATGTATCCGCGGCGTGCAATCTGAATGTCTTCAGCCATTTTGAAGTCAATCTTGCCCCGCGCTATCGTAACAGGCCCTGTAGGCGTTTGGACAAGTTGAATGCCATCGGAGCTATCGAGACGTCTCATGCCTCTCCTACCTTGACCATCGTAGTTTCCGCCAATAATCCCACGCATTTTCACGCCTGATGTCTTAAAAGCAGCAGCGTAATTTAACTTAGCTAGCCAGTCGTTTAGCTCCTCTTCATTGTCCGCAAGAAGAATCTCGTCAAGGCCCTCCTGCGGCACATAGACGAATGCATTCTTATGCTTTTTGTATGTTGTGTCCAGCAATGCCACTGCGCCGTGTGTCGACATCAATGCATCGGGTTTAAACTCATGAAGGGGAGGGTTGAAAGTAATTGGGATGCCATCATGTCCGGCTTTGATGTGATTTTCGTATTGATGCACGAGGCTTTTCACCCAACTTGTATTGCGAAAAAAGTAGAGCTGTGCGCCAGTGAGAATCGCGCCCCATTCTTGCCAAGGGGAGCGAGTTTTCCTCTTTTTGGCGTCCTTGCGCCAAAGTAAGCCGACTTTCGTGATTTTGATGTCGACAATTCCCTGTGAAGCCTCTTCAGGATTGGTGGCGGTCTTCTCAGACATGAATGCATCGGGACGAGATCTCGCAGATACAATTTGCAGAACACCTGTGCGAAAAAAGGTCTTCTGTAGGTCGTTCATGTTAAGCGACGTTGCTGTACCAAGATAGTTGAAGTGGTCAACCAAGTACATGGTATCTTTCCAATTCGGTCGTAAAGCTTCCAGGTTGCCCTCAAAAATGAGTGTATATGGGTCGATAGGTTCCTTGGCCGCCCGAGCAGCGGTATCGCCGCCTGGACCAGGTATCAGAGGCTTTCGCTTCGACTTATTAGCTGCTTTTCGATCGGCGCCCAAGTCTATCTCATCTTCAACGTGGATAAAGGGAGTGTAGGATATATTATCGTAGAAGCATTCCAGGATATCATCGAAGATGCCTTCTCCACGGGTGTTTTTGACGTAATCTGCCTTCTGCATCTTGTGCTTATTGTTTTTGTTGAACACATCAGTGTGAAGAATAAGCAGTGAGAATGCAATGAAGTAGGCTTGATCAGGCGAGGAGTAAATGCCCGGATTGCATTCATGGTACCTGTTTGCGAAGGCCTGCAAAAAACGATCGATTTGTTGTGTTTCCTTGGGAAGCTCAGCTTGCATGAGAAGTTTTCTTAAAGCCATATCCATGGGATCACCAAAGAAGCCGAAGCGTCTCATATAACTCCGCAAGACCGTGCTGAAGAACGGGTCCGTACTTTTGGCGACGCTGGCCGCAATGATGCCGCGTGGGATATCAGCTTCTAGCCGTTCCAAATACTTGGTTGCGGATTCGTCATCCTTTCTTTCCGGTAAACTTATGGTATCGCGGCTCAATTGAAAAGAATTGGTATTGGAAGGGACGGAGCCTGGTGTCAGTGGAGTAGGGGTGGTTCCTTGGCGTGCGAGATCCGAATTCTGACGAAGGCGGCTAATTCCCAACAAGTCCCCAAAACTCTTCCTACCGGTTGATGTAGACGTCCTGGCTTGCGGGAGTGTGAGATGATCGTCAGTAGAGTCGCGCCCCAGCGAGCTCATGGTTGATGAACGGCCGCGCAACACGCTGATCCTGGTGGGTGATGACTGCCCGGAGCGGCGATCTGCTGCCTGTAGGGCTGTAAATGTGGACGATTGCGAGCCTTGCCTACTATCTGTGCCGTCGAGATTTGCTCTGGGGGTCGTGGCACTCTGCGACGAAGCTGGACGCGGCGTGATAGCTACGCTCAATGCGGATGCTGAGTGCGCGACAGCGCCGGCTTTGCTCTTTTGGGGCAAGTGTGCCATAGGGAACAAAGGTTCTGGTGCTTTTTTAACTCTTCTCAAGCGGAAGATGGAAGAGGTCGGGGTCTTTTTCGGCGTAGTACTAGGGCTCGATAAGAAAGCATTGTCGGTGGAACTGGCGTCGGACCTCGAGGACTCAGATGGGCGATAAGCTGGGGTAGTTAAAGATGTACCATTGGATGCAGTGGAAGTTCGTGGATCTAACGGCGGAGATTGCGGTTCATCCAGTGCTGCCATAGTAGGCCGCCCTGTAACATCATTGAACGACTTCCTGGCCTGTTTCTGGCTTTTGGGTCGGCTTTGCTGGTCACCATCCCGGGCTATGTCATTGGATCGGCGAAATTTGGCGGTAGCCAAGCTCATTCGTGATTTGACTTTGCGGGGGGCATTGATATCGTTGGTCGGAGCAGTGGTGATGATGGCGGGAGCTGGTTCCAAGTTAGCTGAGAACAACGTGGCAGGGTAGGTGTCAAGTACGTGAAGGTAGGGGAGGTGGTTTTTCTGCATGTTGTTTTGCTTTCAGGGAAAGCTGCGAATCGGACGCGTTCCTGAACCTTAAGATGGAGAAACGCCTCTGTCTGCTGAGGTCGTCATTGTTGTGTGACGTATCAGGCCGGCTGGTAGTCGAGTCGCGGGGAGTGTGTGTTGCGGTGACGGCGTGGTCGAGACCTGTTATCTGTCCATCGCAAGTCGGAGGAGCGGTGGGCTTTTTTGCATCGTTGTCGCCCCTTGACGAGTTATCTTGTTGCCGTGTGTCTGATTCACTGGCCAGGTTGCCGCGACGGCGTAGAAAAGGCATCGTGATGAACGCCATGCATGATAGAGCGCGCAAAGGTCCCTCCCTGGTGGCCGTCTGGCTGGGACGACGCAGAATCGAGCAGCCTAGGCTGCAAGCATGTCAGGCGGCGCAGGGACTTGGAGGGTAAGTCCTGGCGGCGCTGTAGTTCGTGAAATAAGGGGATCAAGGTACGGGTAACAAGGGTTGGAATCAGTAAGTGCTGGGCTTGACTGGCGAGATGGTCAGAAGCTGGTGGAGTGGCAGCTTTCAGCAAGTGGAGCTTGGTGCTTCGCAAGCCAGGGGCTGGAAGTCGAGCAAGCCCAGGTAAATGCGCCTCTAGGATTGGGCAGCTGCTAGGCTTTTTCTGCTGGCCAAAGTAGGGATCGTGCCTAATACAGGTAGGAAGCAAATGCAATTCTTGTTACAAGTCCTCCCGAGCATCATGCGCTGACTGTAACAGTGCTGTACCCAGATACTACACACATGCTTGACTTGACCAACGATTACTTTGGCTGTGACATTTTATACAAGTATCTAGGTACCTAGGTACCTCAGACCTCGGTATATTGTACCTTAATAGTGTCTCTCCTGTCGGGTGCTTCAGTGCGTGGCGAATGGCCAGAGGCGGAGCCCACGATGCCCCCCGCTCTTCCGCGCAACCGTTAACGTTAGTATCATGTATCCTTATCCGGCGGAGCACCTTGTACCAGGCACTTCCTGTGCGGGAAACCTATTTCGCCTCCCCGAAAAATAATCCTGTCGCCATTCTGAGATTCATCTGACTACGCTTCTGCCATCACCGTCGGCCCAATCACGATCACTCTCGATCCAGCGAACCCGCCACTACGACCTATGCTCGACTCGTGATGAAGACAATCAGCTTTGCAACCGCGCTACTGGCGGTCGTCTCTGCCCACAGGCTCGGTGACAATAATTACTTCTGGCGCGAGGCGGCTGGTCCTCAGGCGCCTGCACGCGAAATCGATGCCAAAGCAGCTGTGTTTCCGTTCCTTACTAGGCTCCGGGACAGCGCGGTAGAATTGCTCTTCGGCCGACATCCCACCAAAGACTCTGCCATGCCTAAAGTCAGCATCGACAGCTTGCGCAACAAATACGCCAACCAAATCGTCATGCGATTCAACATTACGAATATCGAAGAGGAGAAGGCGCTCGCCGAAGCGTCCAGTCGCCTCTTCCTCGACGTCTGGGCCGTCACTCGCGATTATGTCGATATTCGCATGCCTACCAGTCAGGTCTCGCCACTCCTTGGCCTACTTCCAAAGAAGCTACAATCTTCGCATTTTGCATTGATATCCGACCTCTCTAGGGCGATATACGATTCTCTTGCTAAGGACTCGCCATCCCGTCTTATAGGGCCCAAGGGCACATTTGAGCGATTCCCAAGCCGTCTTACAGTGTCTGATAGTCTCTTCTTCCAAAGATATCACCCTTTGAAGACAATAATGCAGTGGATGCAGCTTTTGGAATCCATTTTCCCAGAGCACGTTAAATACATGTCCATTGGACAGTCCTCTGAAGGACGTGACATCCCTGCCCTCCGAGTCGGCCACCCCGGCACTGATGCTGGTAATGGCCCAAGAAAGACCATGGTAATAACCGCTGGTCTCCACGCACGCGAATGGATTTCGACTACAACAGCTAATTATGTGGCATGGGCACTGATCACGGAGTTCAACAAAGATCCCGTAATCACCAAGTTTTTGCACCACTTTGATGTTGTTATAATTCCCGCGTTGAATCCTGACGGTATGGAATACTCATGGCAAAACGATAGACTGTGGCGCAAATCTAGGCAGGAAACCAGCCTCCAGATGTGCAAAGGGTACGACCTCGATCGATCATTTGGCTTCAGCGAATCTTCCGAGCACAGGCAGAGCGACCCTTGCTCCGAAGACTACGGCGGCGAGGAGCCCTTTGAGGCCGCCGAAGCTGCAGCCTTTGCAAATTGGGCTCACGAGCAGACGGAGAAGAACAATGTGCAGTTTGTCGGGATGATTGATTATCATTCTTACTCACAGCAGGTTCTTTTCCCGTATGCATATTCCTGTGCTGCTGAGCCTCCGAACCTAGAGAATTTGGAGGAGCTGGCAGCTGGTATCGCAAAGACAATACGCGTGTCTACTGGAGAGTCATATAGTGTTTCGCCAGCGTGCGATGCTGCTTTGATGGCGGACAGGAGAAACCTCACACTATCACCCAGCAGACTCAACGAAGGTTCTGGCTCTGTGATGGACTGGTTCTATCACGATATGAACGCTCACTTTAGTTATCAGATCAAGCTGCGTGACCATGGTTTGTATGGATTTCTACTCCCAGATGAGGAGATTATTCCGACGGGTCGGGAGATGTTTTTCGTCATGAAGTACGTCGCCGATTATTTGCTGGGCAATAACGGGATTGAGATGGTGGAGGAAACGGCAGAAGGCGATAATATGATGAACCAAGAGCTTCGCCGTCGGTATATGCGCCGTTAGGGCATCAATCGGAGAGCTTTTCTTGAATGACGGTTTTCTTTCCTGAGTCTAAAACAAACGGTGGTATTATATATCCTCACCTTCGACTTATTCCATAGGGGCAATCTCTACCAGTTCAGCTCGAAGCAAAAATATCTGCTTCTCGATTGTGCCGCAAGACTCTTAGCCTGTATGTAAGTGGCTCACTTGCTGCCGCTGGGTCTGCCCATTATTGGGAGAAAGCAGAGATGTGTCGAGCTGTTGAGTCCCCGGCCATGGAGGCGAGAAACATCCCAGGAAGGGATCTTCTTCCCACCGACGTCATTCCACGACACTACCAATAACAACTCGAGCCTGACTTTGACCAGTTCACATTCAACGGCAAAGCTGTGATTGATCTTGACGTCACTGCAGATTCTGATTCTATCACTCTACGTTGGTGCTCTCTATTCTTAGCGGAAAGCTTATATGAAGGGAGACAGAGAAGGTATGTTATTTCTCTTCTGATGGCGACTATGGTCGTAGTAGCCATTTTCAGCGCCTATATGGTACAATTCGCCACACCATTCAATTTCCTAGTTCAAAAACAGTTACTAACACATACTACACAGTCAAGATCTAATAAAAGTTACTCAGGACGAAGATTGCCAGACAACCACCGTCTCCTTTGTCAGCCTGCTCAGCAAAGGTGACGAGGTACAGCTTCCTTGGCCAGCTCAACAGCAAATATGGTCGGCTTTTACCGTTCTAATTGTACAAATGCCAATGGCACCAAGGGCTACATTGCGACAACACAAATGGAGCCTACTGGTGCCAGAAAAGCCTTCCCTTGTTTCGACGACCCAGCACTCAAGGCAACTTTTAACAGTTATTTTTTAATAGATAATTTTCCTTTATTATACTACTATTAATATCTATAATATAGCTTATAAAAAATATCGAGGTTTTTTTATATATAGTAGTAGCCTAGTAGCGTTGTGATGGGGGAAAATTACATGTTGAGCGGAAAACGTGTCTAGTGCCCTGTTAGAAAACAGGCCTCACGCGCGTAGGCACCTGTACCTAGGTACCTTGGTGGCGCTTCAACTAAGAAATAAAACAGTGGGGTGTTAACGTTGCTCTGCGGGCATGAAGTTTGGTATGCGGAGGAGGCTTGAGTACGGACGTATTATCAGCAACAGCAGAAAAACAGAAATTACTACAGTCATTGACACCCGGCAAAAAGGAGAGGCCAATCTCTTGCTTAGCTGGGGGCACTCGGGTCTCTGCGCAGCATTTTAGGCTCCATCGTCAGCGTCAACCCAGGATGCATCGCAAGGCTACGAGAGCGGACTTGTCGATTTGTAAGCTTGTGCTGCCTGGTGAATCGCATGATGCTTGGACCGGATCTGACAGGTTCTATGCAGTAACTAGCGCTGGCGGTGCACTTTTAGCATGGCAGAGGCAAATGACGCTGCTGGTGCTGGTGCGTTGCACGGCTAGGTACCTATTGGAGCGCATCAAGCTCTTGTGAGATCGTGATGGCTGCCGATGGTCCGTCAAAGTACGGGTGGCAGTGTAGTGCAGTGTCAAATACCAAGGAACATTACCATTCGTGATCATGCATCCATAGGTAACCAGCCATGGATCCCAAGATTCCAAGGGTAGCGCGTCCACTAGTTTCTCCGCCCCCTTTCCAGGGGACATAGGTACAGGCCTCCCGCCATTCCGAGCCTTGAAGATGGCCGGCTGGTCGCGCGTCCTTTGCCGGCTACTCGGCTGCCGCTGACATCGAAGTCCGGCCAACCAAGGGGGCCCGAAACCCCAATTTAAGTAGCCACTGTCCCGCCTCTCATCTTGTTCTCATCTCTATCATTGTTTAATTACAATTCATAAGATAACAAACCAAAAACACCTCAGGCAGAACCGCTCACCTCCGCCAGGATGCCTCTTGCGCTTGAGATTCCCGATCAGTACAGGTGGGAATACCCATACCATACTATCCAACATGAGACAAGATGCTGACACTCTTCCTGCCCAGCTACGTCCTTGCGGTGGCGACTACTACCTTCTTCCTCAACACTTTTCACATGATGCGCACTTCCAAGTTCAGAAAGCTTGCCAAGGTCCCCTACCCCGCTCCCTATGCCTCAGAGGAAGAGGCTGCAAAGAATCCGAGCGCGTCCAAGTTCAACTGTGGTATGTAGAGGTAGCCATGTGGCCCTCTCTCTTGCACGCGCCGAGTAGGCCTGGATGGCTTCAGCATTGCTAACACGTTCCCCCTCCCATCCGACAGCCCAGCGTGCCCACGCCAATTTCACCGAGAACCTAACTCCTTTCCTCGGCGCCCTCTTCGTTGCTGGTGTTCAGCATCCCGTCCCTGCTGCCACGCTCGGCGGCATCTGGTCTCTCTCGCGTCTGATCTATGTCCTCGGATACACTAGCGACGCTGGCCCTAAGGGTCGTCTCCTGTGCGTGAAACCGCCACTCTGGTATTCTTAACTTATGATTATCTAACGCTTTCCTCGCAGCGGTTTTGCCGGTAGTGCCATCAGCGACCTTGTCCTCAAGGGTATTGCCGCATATACTTGTTACCAGCTCATTGTATAGGTACCCTAGGCCCAATTCCAACGTGAGGCGGTCTTATTCCAGAGTTCGGTAGGATAAGTTTAAAACGATGAACAGCACAGCTATTATCAAAAACTATATATGCACCAGGCGTTTGTCGTGTCTCTGCCTCTTCCATGCCCCGGGATAAATTGTTCCAACTACCCCGTGCATCGCTCCCATGGAGGCCGCCAGGAAATGTTCAATCCCTCAAAGACTCGCCTTTCAGCTTCCTCCATGCAACTAGCGCTCACATCACCGCACTCAAGGTCAACCCAGCTACCGTTCCCTCGGTTGCGAATTCCACTACTATCAAATTTTAGTCCTTTTTCATTCTTACAGTATCTTCGGAGGTCTCGTTGAAACGTCGTTTCGCCGCTCCAGCCCAACATGGCGCATCCAATCGTCTTCCACGGGCTGACAATAATATCGACGCGTCGGTGCAGCGCGTGCGCCTCTTCTGGGTCGAGCCACACGACCATGGCTTTGTCAAGAGTGTCAAACCCCGTGCCCCAGGTGCTCCCTTCTCCTTTCCACGGAAGAGGTACTTGTCCTCGTTCGCTGTTCCTTGTCGACAGACTCAGCGTGTGTGAAATGTACTTTTCGCTTTCGAGGCTCAGAACGAGACGTTCAACCAGCTTGAACGTCTTTAGCTCCTCTCTGTGTGTCAAAAGAACATCAATATCGCCATTTTCGTCCCGACCTCTCCGATAGCCACCCACAACAGCCATCTCATATCCGTGATCCAATCGACGAGCGTGGTTCAAGATAATGTTCGCGATTCTAGCGACCTCCTCGCGGTTTATCTTCTCCTGAAAATCATCGTAATACTTGACTCCAATTTGTTGAACGCGGCTAAGCGATTGCCAACCATATTCCACAATGTCGTCTAAGTCCCGCCATCCTAGTTGGGTATGTCATCATTACTTTTTCTGCCTTCATAACAGTTCAGAATGAACGTACCCTTTTGGTAGAACTCTCTTGCATTTGCATCACCTACCCCCCAAATGTTGTAAAACGTTCTCAACACTTGAATCTCTGTATCTTCTTTAGATTTGCGCGTCTCCTCGGTTTGCCCCGTTGCGTGCCACTCCTGATACAGCTCGGCAATCTTAGAACCGCAGCCCGCCAGGCGAGATACTTCTGCAAGGTGGTAACACTCAGCATGTCAACTCACAAACGAGAACCAGCAAATGGAGGTACCTTGAGGAGTCTGTATCTTGTATGGATACGCCGCTAGTGAGGCTATCGATGTCGAATAGGCTCGAATTCCGATTTTATCACCCTGCAAAAGACGAAGTGTTCGGATGTTCTTCAGTTCCTCAATGAAAGCATCATTGGGTGGATTCATCGGAGTAGGTCGTTGACATGAATAAGTTGTGTAGAGGTAGCTTGGAGTAAGAGGAAGATGTATATCGTGCTCTGATGTAGATTGACGGATCAAACCTGGTCTTGCCATAACACCTGCTGCCGAGGAATCGGTCATTAAACCCCTTTCTTTTTCAATTTCTTTTTCTTTTTCTTTATTGCGCTGATTTGACAAAGTTCCCGACTCTGTATTATCATTTGCAGTGCACGTTAGGACATCCTTAGGAATTCTCTTGTCCAAATTGGCTGAATCATTGGGTAGCTTTGATGTGATGCGGCCACTTTTTCTGCCTTCATACACGGTATAACTTGACATCGGCAGAAGGGTGCCTTTCTCCAGAGATTCGGTGAGCCATGACAAACTCAGAACTCTTACAAGAGAGCTGTCTGGTTTGGAAGTCGGCGCATGCGCTTCTAGCTTTCGGCGCTTCGAGTGACGCTCATCAGAGCCCTCACTCTGAGCCGAGTCATCCCTTGCCGTACCACGTTCGATGGGCTCAGTCTCTAGCTTCAACCGGCGCAATTCAAACTGAGCACGTTGTTCGCGCGATACTCTACCAAGCACTACTTCCGCTTCATTAATATCGTAAGTCAGAGTTGGGATACTCGCCTCGAGATCGTGCAACTCTGTAGGCGTCAATTGCGTCGGTAGGAGAAAAATGACCGGCAGTGGAAGCGGCATCATGCCAATCTTCTGCCAAAGGGAAAAGAGAAGCGTCAGGATTCGAGGCTGCGTTTGGTGCGTGCCAACTCGGCATTCATACCTCATACCTGCGGTTTGGTAGAAAGCCACAAGTGGAGCATACGCCTAACGCCACTCCAGCCACGCATTTCTATTTATTTCCAACTACTAGGTAGTTACCACGCAACACCCAAAAGTCCGATTCCTGGGGCAGTGGGCGATAGAAATACAGCAAATGAACGTTGATCACATGCTCCCTACTCTTGAACGAGCATAAGATCGAGCATTTTTAGACTAGCTATTGTATTTTAGTCGCTGTTCTTGGGAAGAATCAGGTCCGCTCGCCATCGCGGTAACTGTAGCACCTACTTATTCAAGCTGTTATACGTCTTCAAACTGAATATCATCTTCATCATCATCCTCTCCACTCTCGTCAACCTTGCCTTCAATTTTGACGTCAGGTTGGATTTTGGCCTTTTTTCTGCGGTGTTGTTCCAGCCCAAATCCATCCCTAGACAGCTCCTCGGATGGATCTCGCTTTATCGACTGGTTTAGCACCGATATACTCAAACCTGAATTATTGCAAGTAGCCGGCACATTTTCGAAATCGTCTTCGTCCTCTTCAGAGCCCTCCTCGTCGTCGGAATCATCTTGCCGCCTTTGCGCAGCTTTCAGAGTTTCGAAAACATCATCGAGTTGGGCGATAGCCTTGCTGTCCACTTGCTTATGTTTTGAATCGTCAATCGGTCCAACTTCATTATTGACGATGGTATGTCCTGTTCCAGTAGCACCCGCAAAAGATTCGCCAGTAACAGTGCTGTTGGACATCCACGCGGGCAGTGCATTCTGGGCCGCCAGCTTCTCCCGGCGCGCGATTTCGGCCTCCTTTTCTGCTTCTGATGCACCCTCAACAGTCGATATATTGACAGAGATGGATTGCGGGCCCGTGTTTGCCAGTCCCTTTACGGCCATTGGTCTGTTCATGCTCGAATCCATGGGCATCGTTGCCGCAACTTGATGCGTGGCGTCACGGACCACCGGTCGAGCCTTCGCGAGAGCGCGATCAAAATCACACTCCGGTATGTGTACATTGTCGATTCGTTGTAGAAGCTCGCTGATGAACTTAAATTGATCGTTGAGTCGCGTGGATTGCTCATGACCCCCAGCATTGCGATCTGCTTCAAAAGCAAGGACATGGCCGCAGCGGTGGCATAAGAACCCGTTCGGGCCATGGCTGTCTAGCACCTCCAAGGGCGACCATTCCGCCTTACAGAACGAGCAAACATATTCTTTCTTCTCGCTGGTCCTCTCCGTGGTCCCTTGGACATCTTTGTCGATTGTGTACACGCGCCATTTGATGGCATCAATGGTGTGGCGATAATTAATGTAGTACCATGTGCGATTACTCGGCCGTGGGTTTCCTTCTCGAAGTTCTGGTCGCGTATGCCTGTTTTAGCCGCCGCTGTTAGCTATCTTCGCATTCAGTGATAGATTGAAGGGAAATCTCACACAGTCAAGAATCTATCTTCTCGAAGCTTTCCGCAAATTTTATGGAGATCTTTCGGGTTCGTGGCCATCAAGTAGGCCAGGTCATCGTCGCGAAGACTATTGAATATCAGCGATATGCTTCTTAATAGTGAAAGATAGGAAAAACATACGCCTCGTGAAGGATAAGTGCGTCTATCACTAGAACGTCTCGAGTTGAGTAGAACGCTCGCATCACCGACTTGACAAGTGTGACTGCGAGATCCATAGCTGCAAGTCTTTCAGTTCGTATAGTCTACCGACTTCTGTCTCGAATTTAGCTTTACAGTCATCGATATTGTAGCTATTGCCTGCAGAATACGGAGACGGCTCTACCATGTAGATCGTGATGTCGCCGCTAAGCTTTTTGCTCGGTCGAAATGGCTCGGCCGCCACGTCTTCGCTTCGGTTCATGCAGCCAGAGCTTGTTTTTATTGTCGTCTATTAGAAGAGGCGTGCGCGCACACGGTCGCCGATTTTGGGACGCCGATGTTTGCCCAGCTATTGCTGATTTGTGACGAGAAAGGGCAACTTGCCTTGTTGCACTAATAAAAGTGGGTACATTAGGAGGCCTGGAACATCTTGCCCAGGTAGATAGATACTTCGGTACCAATACTGGTTGGTATTCATCATCTATCTCTGAACTTCGCTAAATTATAAGAATAGCCAGTCACCACTCACGGTGTGTACTGGCATCTGCATCTATTCCGCGTAGACCATGTGCAAAGCATCACAGTGCAGGTTCTTTAGTATCATGAAAGCAAACCGCCAAAAATTTAACAGGCACTACTACTCCTCCAATCACGAAAACTCGGACTGTTTCCCATTTTATGCATATTTCCTCAGCTGTATCACGAAAAATTAGTGCCTCATTTTTTAACAATGAAGGGTTACCAACGAAGGATAGTCAAACTCACATCCAATGTCAATGTTCTCGAGCTGTTGACTTCTTGGTCTCGATAGACTCCTACCAAGCTCTCACTATCTTGGAATAACCCGGTCTTCAAGCTAATGACAATGAACTGCATGCCAGGACCAGCATGCTCGCGGATGTACTTCTTGATCTTGTCCACATTAGCATTGTCCAACGCTGCATCAACTTCGTCGAGAACGAAGAATGGGCTGGGCTGGTAGCTGTGAATAGCAAAGAGAAGTGCCAGTGCAGCCATGGTCTTCTCGCCACCGGAAAGGTGTTCCATGTCGCGGAATCTTTTCAGGGGGGGCATGGCATGGTATTTGATGCCCGACAAGTATGGCATGTCTGTATCTTCCTCGATGTCCAAATAAGCCTGACCACCCAAAGGGTAAGCATCTGAGCGGGTGAGGTCCTTGTAGACATGTGAGATCTGTTCCTGGATATGTGTGAATGCGTTGTTGAAGATTTCGTAACGTTTCTGTTTGACATTGCCAAAAGCCTCTTTCGCCTCCTGGGCAGCAGATTTCGAGTCTTCGTATTCTTGATCGGTTTGTTTCAAGCGAGTTTCAACACCCTCCAGTCGTTCCATGGCGCGCATATTGGGGTTTAGCTTCTCCAGCTCCGTCGTCAAATTTGCGATGCGCTCTGTGAGAGAATCATCCATGGTCGAGTCATCAGACTCATTATTGCGTTAGCTCTTAGCACCTTACTAGGACGCTTGCCCTGGCTTTGCTACTTACCTGTTTGAGTTCATCGTCCAAGACATCGAAGTTGATTTCGATTCCATGGTCGTCCAGCGCAAAATCGACCATTTCTTCACCTTCAGCATCGACGTCCATGGCATCTGGGTCCTGGCGCAGCAAGTCGTCTTCATTCGGTAAGTTGTCCAGCGCGCCTTCCGCGAGAGGAACCTGAATTTGCTCAAGACGACATCTCCGAAGTAGCCCAGACTTGCCAGCACTGTTCTTTTGCAGCGTGGTTTCTAGAGCATTTATACTCTTGAGCAGGGCCTCGATATCCTTGCCACGTTGTTGTACTTCAGTCTTGGCCTCGTTGACACGCTCGGTCTTCTCAGCAAGGTCGGCTTGGTGCTCATCCAGAGTCTCCCTAAGAGCTTCAAGCTCGTCTTGTTCTTCGCGCATCTCCGTTTCAATATTTGCCTTCTCCCGGGTATAGCCTTGCATGTCTTGTTCCAAGCGCTTGATCTGCTCATGCATTCTCTTGATACGGGACTCAGTATCACCGTGTCGAGCTGCCTCCCACTTGAGGCGGCTTTCGAGACGCTGCTTTTGAACCTCATACTGATTTCTCTTCTCCGAGACCTCTTGCTCTAGCTTTCCTTGAGAGGCATCGAAGGCACGAATGTCGTCGTATCCCAGTCGCTTACAGAAGCTGGAAAAAATTTGATCTTCGACCTTGCCGATTGCGCTTTGAAACTGTTGTACGGTGGATGTTGTGCTCTCGAATTGCTTTGTTTGCTCTTTGTATTTCGGCAGGATTTCCCGGAGCTGTTTCTTCTGATTCTCTAGCTCTCGCTTCTTGCTGGAGAAATTTTCCTGAAAAACGATAAGCTCTTCTTTGGTAGCTTTAACACGGCGCTCCAAGGCACCGAGCTCAATCTGGAGAGCTTCCTCTTTGCTGCCACGTCGATCAGCTCTCGGGAGACGATCAATTTCCTCTTTTAGTTTTGTGGCCATTCTTTGGAGGTTTTGAACGTCTGCTTCTTCGAACTTGCGCTTGCCTCCCTTGGGTTCTGGCCCACGGCCACCAGTCATAAGACCAGCTTTGTGAATGACATAGCCTTCTAAAGTGACCGCCTTCACAGGGATCTTTTTCGCATAGCAAATGTGCTTAGCGATGTCTAGAGTTTCGCAAACCACAGAACTCCCACATGCGTAAGACAACGCACGTTCGACAGAAGAGTCAAAGTTGATCGTGTCGATAGCGAGTCTAGCTCCAGTAATACCCTTGACAGACGTGTTGACAGCATTGACCTTAATATTGTCCAGAGGAATGAAGGTCATTGGCGCGAACCGCTGTTCCTTTAGATATTGAACACAGTCAACGCCTGTCTTTTCTGTATCAACAACAACCGAGTCAAAGTCCCTTCCCAAGGCCACAATGATAGCCTCATCATATTTCTTTTGCTTCGGAGTGCACAAATCGCCGATTCTGCCGCGTACACCGGGGAAGATGCGCCGCAGGGAAGCAACCATGTCTTTCAAGCGCGCTTCCCGGTCATTTTGGCGACGGCCATCGTCAGCCTCACGAAGCTTCTTGGCAACATCCTCCAGCTTTTCTTCAAGTTCTGTCCTTTTTTGGTTGGTACGGACACGCTCCGACTGGAGCTGGTTGAATTCTTTCTTCTTAGCGGCTATTTCACTGGAAAGATCCTTGGCAACCGATTCCACGGCATCTTTCCTCTCTCCCACACTGCTGAGCTCAGATTCGGTTTTGGAGATGGCCGCAGCAATGCTGTCTACCTTGCCTTTTAAGTTGTTGACTGTGACTTCGTCGGCCTTGCGTTGTCTCTCCAGGTTTTCCAGCTTGGTATGATCTGTGCCAGAGCGGGCAATGACTTCGCTGCGAAGCATGTTGTACTCCTTGCGATCCGTATCACTGATTGCTCCGCCTTGCTTCTGCATCTGCTCTTCGATAGTTTTTTCGAAGATGGATTGAGCTTTGTTGACGCTTTCGACATCATGCTGTACCTTTTGCACAATGTCCGCCTGCTCGTCACGCTCTTTTGCAACTTTCTGACTTTGAGATTGCAGTCGATCGACTTGCTGCGCTGACTCATGAATTTTTTCATCAAATGGCACCAGCGCATTTTCGCGATCCTCGATCGAGCGCTCTTTTTGTCGAATTTCTCGGTCTACCCTACCAACGCGTCGCGATACTGATATTTGTTCTCGGCGCGCAGCTTCGAGTTGTCCTTCGTAAGATTCGACATTGCGACGCAATTCTTTCAAATCTTCATGGTGGCTGTGGATGGCCGCGCTAGATTCATCCATAGCTTTCTGAAAATGAAATAGCTTCCAGAGGCACTGCGTCACAATGGCGGCATCTTTCTCGTCCATCTTCTTTTGGAAATTGTCAGCCTCTCTCTTTTGCTCGCGGTATTGCTTGATTTCTGAATTGATGCCGCGTCGCCTGTGAAGTTGAAAGTTTTGGTTCTCCACTGCCTGCTCTGCCGCAGCCTGAAGAGTCTCATATTCTTGCTTGTATTCCAGGCTTCCAGAGATATGTTCAATCAGGCGTGTAAGATCCTGAGGGGATTGAGATGCAATTGCCTCCACATCTCCTTGGAAAACCAGAAAATTTCTTGCTTTGATAAGAATGTTTTCACTTTCCAGAGCTGCATTGTACTGCTGCGCAGTAACACTTCGGTCATTGATGCGATATTCACTTGCGCCTTGGTTCGTGATGGAACGTTTCCATCTATGTTCCTCGCCACTATCATCTTCATACACAGCCATAACCCATGCAGTTTTCGGGTCGCCCCGAGAGGCCTTGTCATCGCTTGCTTGTGTTGTTCCATTCGTTGCGGCAGATCCATCGTCATTGATTTTAGATGTTTTAAGGACTCGGCCTCGGTAGACCAAGTCCTTGAGATGTGCGGATCGAAGGTGGGATGATTTTATTCCCAGAACGAAGGAAATAGCATCCATGCTGCCAACGGGTTAGAATGTACATGGCGTATACCCTCTGAAGAATAACTCACGAGTTCGACTTTCCAGACCCATTGGGTCCAATAATCGATGTAAAATACGAATCGCCAAACAGAAGGGTGTGATGCCCTTTGTAGGACTTGAAATCTGCAGGCAGGGTTAGGTTTTCCGCTCACGTTGGCAGGTCGCAGGACTGGAAATACGCACTGAACAGTTCCAGTCGATTGAGCTTCCCCATTGTTTCAGCTGGTACCTCAAGTCTTCTGCGGCGAATGTGATTTTTTGTTCGGTATGCAACAGTAGGTAAATATGATGTGCTCCTTTCCAGCACAAGAACTCGTTCACAATCAGAATCCGAGCAGTTGCACAGCGCGTGGTGTATACGGTCGTTTGGAACAACTCTCTCGCGCTACTATTGATATAATTGAGTGATCTCAGAAGATTGGACGATACCACTGCCAGACATAATAGCGAAGCGCTGCGTGGGAAGGTCTTTCGCGATGCGGGCGCAAATTTGATGTGAACAACTGGTTGCGGAACGCGACGCGCAACTCTCGCAAGGCAGGCAACAGGGAAGGAGGGGAGTGCCTGTGCACGGACCATCCGGACCATTCACCAAATAGCAGGAACCTACCTACCTAGGTACTTAGGTAGGTACCTAGGTAGGTACCTACACTACTAAGGCACCTAGGTACCTGGGTAGGTAGGTAGGTACCTAGGTAGGTAGGTATTTCGCCGTGATAAGTCGCTGGCTGTTTGACTCCTTCGCCATACCTTACTGCCTTAGTACCGCGTCATGTGTCGCATACACCTATTACCGCCAACTTTTTCTTCCTTATTTTCCTTCCCCCTCCTCAGCTTTCTCCCCTATCGTTGCCTTCCTGCCCACTATCCTCGAAAACTTGCTACTACTATCTTGTTGGCGTAGAACATCAGCCTTAGGCACGTTAGTAAGTATGCTTTGTTTACCGGCCCGGCGAACGGCGACGCCTTGGCTATGTTCCGATTCTTACCCCTCTTGACGAATACTGACACCTCGTGGCTTAGTTGCAATACAGTTCCGCCCTGCCGGGATATAATCATGGACGATGAACAGCCAGCCTCGGAGGCAACCCCGACTGTATATGCCACGTTTCGAGACCAAATGTCTGACGAACATCAAATCGAATCCGACCTAGCCACGCCGCTGAGTTCCTCGCCGCCAGACCCCACGATCCTCGACACACCTAGCTTCAGCGCAACAACCCCTAAAAGCCCCAAGCTCTCACGGCATCCGTCTTTCTCTGGCAGCAGCTCCTATCACGATGACTGGGACTCGCTCCCACCCCTAGATCGCCTGACGGTCCTAGACCTTCTAGATAATTTTGCGTTGCCACAGCAGCTAGAAAAGCTCCAGAAGGGTATTTCAGCTCAGACTGATAAAGTACGCCGCTCCAGAGATGTACTAAAGTCGAAAACTTACAATGCACGAAATCGAATGGTTGAAGAATGGAGGCGCCGAGTGCCTTCAGCCGACGAACAATTCGACCGCTACCGAAAGCGAATGAGGCAGCGCGTGGACAAGCTAGGCAGGCAATGGAACGACACAAAGGCCATCAGCTTGCGCGAGAAGATATCCTTCATTTGTGGCGTTATGAACATATTCATCAGTGGTTATCTCATCGGCGGCTTTCCAGAGTATTTCCACATCTGGTACACTGCTCAACTTGTGTATTTCATGCCCATTCGCATGTTTACATACCACCGTCGTGGCTACCATTACTTCCTTGCCGATCTTTGCTACTTCGTCAACGTACTTCTTATGCTCAGCTTATGGGTCTTTCCCAGCTCCAAGAGACTCTTTACAGCCGCTTTTTGTCTGGCCTTTGGCAACAACGCAGTTGCGATTATCATGTGGCGAAACTCTCTGGTGTTCCACAGCTTTGACAAAGTCACGTCGCTATTCATCCACATTATGCCGTGCGCTACTTTGCACTGTCTCGTCCATCTCTATCCACAAGAAAGGCTGAGAGACCGCTTTCCAGCCATCTGGGCCATCAAAACAGCCGAGCCCGGCTCAGCTACTGCATACGCTAATATCGTATCCATGCTGGCGTGGAGCACCATCCCATACACTCTTTGGCAGCTCAGCTATTACTTCTTCATCACCGTTCGTCGCAGGGAGAAAATTGCCGCTGGTCGGCCAACCTCGTTTACCTGGCTTCGCCGTTCATATGCCAGGACTTGGATCGGCAAACTCGTTCTATCGATGCCCAGCGCGCTACAAGAACCCACGTTTATGATGATTCAGTACGTTTATGCTGTTCTCACTATGCTACCATGTCCGCTTTGGTTTATTAGCCGCTATGCGTCGACTTTTTTCCTCTTGGTTGTATTTTCGTGGAGCATATACAACGGCTCTACCTACTACATTGATGTCTTCGGCAAACGGTTCCAAAAAGAACTCGAGGCTATGAAGGCTGAAGTAGTCAAATGGCAGACTTCGCCGGAACTCATGCTCACATCCCCCTTGATGCAACCCCAGACGGAAAGCGCAATCGCCGATTTCCAGTCCAAGAAGGCTTCTGGCATATCTAGTCCTAGGCCCAGTGCCGTTACTGCAAGGGATGCGATGGCAAGAACAGCAAGCCTTGACCGTATCCCGCTTCTGGATGAATCCAATGCGGCTAATTCAACCAGCGTTGATGGCGGAGCGCGAGATGTAGCTCGTGAGAGAAAGGCTATCGACTAATAGTCCGGTTTACGATTTTATTGTGGGGTCGTGCGTAGCTCGATTAGAACTCACGGTCTAGTTTCTCGCTGATATCTGTCGATCAGTGTATTGCGTTGAGTTTTCACTACTTTAGTTGTCACTTTACATCAGCGTGTTGGTGTTGTTTTTCGCTCTTTCAACAATACTCTCGTGATTTTCAAGCCACCTAATACCACAGAAATGCAAGTATGAATTCATAAACATTGTAAAAATTGGTGCGTCACGTGCTTGACCTGCTTTGCGGACATGGAAAACGTTATATTACTATCACATTCGAAAGCAAATGTACCAAGGCTTAAACCTATGTATGCCTTTCATTAAATCCGCTATGCTGCTTAAACATAACTACTGCAAGTACAGATCGATCGCTTCTTAAACCATAACGCTACTAGATCCGCCGTGCTCGTTTCCTTCCACTTCCTGTGGATCTTGTTTCTTCCCTGCTTTGCATTGCTCTGTCTCTGATATCCGTACTGCGTTCCATTCATTCAAACAATTCGTTCCGGCTCGCTCTTTCCTTTACTGGCTTTCGTCCAATTTCAAGGACTACCGAGGCCACGTACCCAACAAAAAGCCGCGATGCTGCCGGCCGAGTGGCTCCGTGAGCTTCATTCGTGGATCCCAGCTAATGTGTCATCTTTGGCCAGGCTTTGGGCTGTGGGAAGATTATTCTAGCATAATTGCACCCTGAGTAGTTCAAATTTCAGATCGCCGGGTCTATCGTATGATGCCCCAGTCTGCCAGTTTACCACCGCCGGCTTCTCCGTCTTCTTTACTGCCTGGTCTTCGGTTGAAAACAGACCAGAATCGGAGTGTTTCGTCACCTGCTCCAGTTACCACGACTCGCCCATCGGGGCTCATGGCAAGGTACAGAACGCGGTATGTGTGGCCAGTTAGACTTGCGACTTGCTGCATCGAAGGATACTTCCAAACAACAATCTGGTTCTGACTGTAACCGTGTGTCGAAACAATTTCATTGGAATTTTTCGACCATGCGAGGTTACAAACTTGGCTTCCAGTATCGATCTCATTGATGACGGAGCCTTTGGTTGTGTCGTGAAAGATGATGCGTCGATCCGCTGTACCGCCTCCAGATGCGAGCAATCCACGTTGGTGTGGTGACCACGCTATTGCTTTCACAGCAGCTGTATGGTCCGAAAACTTCCAAAGTGGCGTTTCTGACAGCTTATCCCACACCATCAACTTATTGTCATTGCCACCGCTGGCAAGTTGTCCATCCTCGCAGTTCCACTTCAGACCGCAAACCTCCTGCTTGTGACCAACAAGTTTCCGCAGCCATTGGTCAGGTGCCCGGACATCTCTGTGATAGATGAGCCTATCACGGGAGCCAGAAGTCAGAATGTGCGAGTTCCACGCCAAAGATCCTACCCGAGCCGTGTGACCCGTCATAGTTCTTAATCGTCTGGCCTTTTCAGCATCCCAGATCTGCACGAGGCCTTTGCCAGTACCGATTGCAATATGAGTTCCCTTTTGTATCCACGATACACTCGTGACAGTGTCATCTTCCAGCGTGCAAAGCTTGTTCACCTTGCTAGTCTGCGCATTCCACATATACACACTGGATCCCAAGCCGACACCAAGTACATTTGCGCTACCCCAGTCTACCAAATTGAGGTAGAAGTCATCAGCCAGCTCCGGTGCATCTAGAACCTTGTAAGGGACTTTGTTGACCGAGCGTGGTTGCCGTCGAGGGCTGAGCAACATTTGTTGGCTGCCGAATCGCACCGGTGATAGGCTATAGATCTCTGCTCGAGTATCGAGATTCACACCATGACGGCTCTGTGGCGTTTTGGTGGGGGTAGGATGACCTGCGATGTGATGATGTCTAGGAGACATGTATGAAAAGAGGTTTTTGTGCGGAGTCGATGGAGTGAGTGATGATGGAAGAGAAGTAGCGGAATTATTGTTTGGAGGCGTGTGAGACCGTGTACCATCCGCAGGATTTCTTCTTGAGGTGTTGGGGAGGGAGTTGTCCGGTGAAAGGGACGACGGTGCCTGTGGCACTGAGCTTTCAAACATCTCTGCTCGTAGCAGTGATGAGAATGTACGATTAGCTTCCTCCGCTGCAACACTGTTAGCCTCGTTTGATACTTTTAGTGTTCAATTTACAAGCTCACTTTTCTGGAAATGCAACTCGCCATGTGGTGTGCGCTTCTTTTGCTTTGACAACGTTGCCGGTGAGCCGTCTTCGTGAAGTAAGCTGAAGCTGGCTTGCAAGTCCTGTCCGGATCGGCTTGGGATAAATCTAAGAGCATGTTAGAAATCTATAGTTGTCTTGATGATGCTCCAGGAGATATTGTACCTGTCTCCGTTGATCCTTTGGCGCTTTCGTCGTGGGCTGGCACCCGGGGTGCTTTCACGGTGTGGGCGATGCATCTCCCTTGCTAAAGCACTATCGATAGAGTCTGTGTCGAAGCGGGCTGTCCTCGTTGAATCCTGGTTGCCTAGCACATTGCGGATACGACGAGCTGAGCTTGCGTCGACAGAGCTGCGTGCCTCTAAGCGCCCACGCCCACTATGTAGTGACGAGGATGCTTGCGCACTTCCGACGGATGGAGACTTTTGTTCGCTCATAGCAGGATGTTTTAAGTCGATCGAAGAAGTGCCTCGGGCACAAATGTCTATTTCGAGCTCGAGCTCGTGCGCTGCCAGAAGCAATTAACAGGCGTTTCCTACCAGGATGATGTCGGGTTGAGATTGGCAGGTGATATGTTTTCCGATCAAAATATGCTTCCGACGGGCTTAAGAGCGCCAATCGAGGAGTTGAGAGTAATGATAGAACAAGGCGGGTAGCGTTGGTGATTGATATCGAAGTTCAGTGGAAGCAGTTCGAGGCCCAAAAAAGGCGCCAGTTGGTATTATGTATCTCTCTGTCGCTGTGAGTTTTTGATTTGAGGGGGTGTACAACAAAAGAAAGGCGGCCTGTGTTGAGAGTGGGCGAAGTCGAGGGGATTGAGGAGCGAGGGAGGTTGAAGTCTGGGAGGGACTTGGGGGGCGGGAGGAGGCGGCTATGGGGCGAGGCAGTGCGGTTGGCCCAGGATCGCTGGGCCACCAGGCGCGCCAACTTGGCTTCGGCTTAAATAAGTAGAGGAGTTCCAATAGCCACTGGCCTTGCGCGACCTCAGTAGTATGGGCTACAGTACTGACTGTATTGTTTTCAAATAAGGGCCTCCCTCTGTTTCTTCTGCTGCGTCTTTTTTACTATTTTGGATTGCAGTATTGGTGCAGATTTTGTGTCTGATTTGTGTTTTTGCACCCTTACGCAATAGAGGTAGGTAGGTACCTACCTACCTACCTAGGTACATAGGTCCCTAAAGAGCGTACCTAGGTAGTTAGAACTAGTAAGTAAGAGGTACCTATTAGTACTTTAGATCCATAGGCACCTTATTAACTAACTAGTATATTATCTTTATATTACTATTATATGTAGTTATAATAAAAATCTAAATACTTATAGTTAATTTGTATTCGCTTTAGAGGCTGTCTTAGAAGAGCTGCTTGTTACGGCGTCAGGCTCATCATAACAACAAGAATAAACTACCTAGGTAGTTATAAGTTACTCGACGCTATGGACAGTTTAACTACGTAATAGCACCTTCGTAATTACATTTGAAGATCTGCTCTTGCGAGATTTTTCATTCTTTTTATAGCCATCTGTATCGAAGGTATTCGATAACTACCTAGCTATCACCCGTGGACTAATGCCGATTTTTTCTCAATGTCCTCCCACGCGTCCTCATTTCAATTTTTGCCAAGTCTGTTGATGACTAACAACGCGAAATGGGCGCGAGACTGATCGCGTTCTGCGCGCCAGCCCATTTACTGCATAGCGGGGTAGTTACAACAGGGACCATCTCCTTGTTCTCAACACCCAATCGAGCGACTCGGCGCTAATCGCTCGCAAAACACGCGTCCCTTGCCCAAAATACTGAACCCCTTTCTGTACGACGCAACGTCAACATACACCAAATAAACAAAGGAAAGTCACGCTTACGCGCAGAAGAACAGCATGGCAGGTATGGAGGTGAAAAAACTACCCAATGTTTTTGACAACTTTGGTTTCAAAACGTCATTTCGTGGGCTTTGAGACAAAGCAGCATCAAATAATCCGCATCAATAGTGTTCATAATGGTCATGTTCGGTCTACCTATGAATATCCATCATCTCTAGCTATAGAATGTAAATTTGAACTGAGAATCTGGCTGCAGCGATGGAGATTGCACAGGCCATGACAACGCTGTTCTACAAGCGTCACTTGAGTTCCCATCTCAGAATTTGCGATTATGTACTAATCAGTGTTGGTGGCCCAGGCGCAAAAATCAAGCTGTAGACTCTCCTTGAGCGAGGAGACGCTCCCGCCAACCATCGCACACCGCCTCGAAGCCGCCAATGACGTCGCCACAAACTCCCGCGCACTCTCGTTTCTGCAATCTCTCCCCCCAATTTCCTCTGCTGAGCCACCTTTCTCCCTCTTCTCGCAGCTCCTCGTCTCTTTTCAGCTCAGCAACAAGTTCTTTTGAGCTCTTCAACCTGCGTGTTGCAGTAATAATGGTTTGCCGGGACATGTGTAGAGTATCAGATAGATAGCTCAAGGTCTGTATCAACTCGACCGTAATAGAATGAAGTGCTGCTAGAGAGTTGAAGGCGACAGTTGACGGTGTTGGCATGGCCTCTAGCAAAGAAACTAGAAGCGGTACCAGGTCATCGATGGTATCTAGGTCAGGCGTCGGCACCAAAGGCGACAGCAACGGGAAAGTCAGGTTATGAAGTTGACGAGTCTGGTGCGCAAGGTGTGTAGTAAGCGCTGTGTGCGCTGTAATAAGTCTGCGGCAAGTCAGTATATCGTTTGTTGCGGCAACGGCGCAGTTTGTACCGTGATGCATTCCCTTCAACACTTGACTGTGACCCCAGATCACGCAAGCTTTCCGTTACTCGCTTGAATACATCATCTCCCGGTCTCCCGTAACTTTCTGTGCCGCGACGGACCAGTGACTCCACAGCGTCGATTCTAGCAATGAGATTCGTGGTGAAACCAGCAGCGTCTAGATCTGATTCGGAGCCATATTCACTGCCGTCATACTCACTTCCCTTCTTCTGATGTCCCCGTCGAGGAGGAGATGGTATAGTGAGCTTTGCGTCTTTTGTCTTCTCTCCATCGCTGCCACCAGCATCATTCACGTCCACTCCACTATCACGATAATAATCCAGTTTCGAGGCGTCGCCGCTTCCTTGATCGCTTGAAACTTCTCCTGTGACGGCGTCTTCTTCGTCTCCAAAGTCCGAAAATGCATCGGCGAGCTCATCTGCCAAGTTTCCCATGCTGTTGCTTGCTTGGCCGCCTACGCTTGCCAGTACGCTCATGTCTATTGTATCCTGGTGGGAAAGGCTGTTGCGAAATGGGGTCGGGGCATCGCTGACGGACGACCTAGAGTATCTGCGAGCATTTGGCGAAGCGCTATGGCCGTCAGCAACAGACGAGTGTCGAGAGTGTTGTGGTGTTTTTGGTGACGCTGGCATCTCGAAAGCGTAGGCCCTCGCTCACCGCCAAGGCTCTGGCATAAACTGTCCCGACTTTCCGTTGTTCGTCTTCGTCACACTGCAGCACTGTAGGCTGTCAAAGTACCATACGGTAATGTGAAGTCAGTATCGCCGAGGGGAGCAAGGTTGAAATATTAGCAACTTAGTAGGGAAAGCGAACGAATATGCAGTGTGAAATGTACGGATGTGCTGTCGTTGAGCAGAGTGTGGCGCCGTCCTGAAGTGGAGCATTCATGTACGCAGGAGCCAAAGGGCGACCAAACTTTCCCCCCCTGTGAAGTCCGTACCATCACCTTAGTAATTAGTAAAGCCTGCTACCCTAGGGTAGGTACCCATGTAGTCTAACGTTACCTTAGTACTGCCGATACCGACAGTACGGACATTCATTTCATTGTCCAACTAAACAATTCTGCACGCAACTGTAGAGCCGATCGGGCAAATAGCCATGACAACCTTTCGCCGATTTCGCCCTGAGGATGTCAATAAGTTCTCGAAATGCAACTTAGACCCTTTGACAGAATCATACGAACTTGGGTTTTACCTCCAGTATCATTCGAAGTGGCCTTCCCTCTTTCAAGTTTGTGAAGACATACATGGAAACATTGTCGGCTACAGTATGAAAACAAAACTCCAGTTGAGCTTCGGCACTAACTAACAATATCATCAGTTATGGGGAAAGTCGAGTCATCACCAGACGCCTATAAATACTCTGAGCACTATCTGCCATGGCACGCACACATTACTGCTCTTACGGTTGCCCCTGAGGCGCGCAGGCTCGGTATCGGTAAAATTCTGACAGAACAACTAGAGGCAGCTGCCGATGCCAACGACGCTTGGTTCATGGACCTTTTTGTTCGGAAAAGCAACGAGAGAGCCATCACATTCTACAAGAGCATGGGATACAGCGTTTTCCGAGTGGTGAAGGATTATTATGGGGACCACGCTGCGGACGCTACCAAATCCAGCGAAGACGCGTTTGATATGCGCAAATCAATGAAGAGAGATATGAAGCATGAGAATGTTCGAGATGACGGAGAGGATCACGAGGTTGACCCCGAAGATGTGTGGTGATGAGAAGTTAAAAGTCAACGGCAACGACCTAGCAGCCACAGGCTCGTTGCCGGATTTTATGCACGGTACTCCCATTGCGCCACCGTCAATCAGTCATTTGGCTAGCGATTCGCCAACCAGCATTGCCGAGTCACTGCTTTGCTACTGAACCGGATTTAGCATTCTTGGTAACGTTGCTGTCGCCACTGCAGGCTCAACCAGTAGCTTTGCAATATACGAATCAAAAAAAGAATACAGTAAGATGAACGAATACACCCGAGAGGAGATACCAGCCTATCATCGATACATATACGATGCTTCAAGCCCGAAACAGTTGTGATGCATAATAAGGAATATAACTACCTGTAGACGAGCGATCCAATCTCAGCTTACGTTAGCCAAAAACACTTCGTTGAACCGTGTTAGCGGCACACGCCAGCTAGCGTGTCTCGGATAATGTCTGGCAAGCAGCCGGTTTTGTTTGCTCGCAGCACTGTTTTCGCCCCTCTGGCTACATACCAGCAAGCTGCCTTCAAACATCAACAATCCCAGTCAAGCCATCTTCCACCTCACCCAATTCATCTAATTGAAAAATTAGCAATATGGCAAGTGCAGCAATGGATTACGAGGCGCCTAACGGCGATCGTTATGAAGGTAAAGTCTCGATGTCTTTTAGCGTTTTAGAGTAGACGTTGACATTTTCTCTCTTCGCACAGATGAAGCTCCTCGCTACGAACGCGACAACAGGAGTGCCTCCCCACGCCCCGGCCGTGATGAAGTCGACACCGGGCGTCGTCGCTCCGCTTCGCCTGCTGCGCATCCTGACAGGTTAGTTAAAAGAGTCCTACCGGCGGGCGAGAAGCATCGCTGATTCTTCTGCCAAAGCGGCTCAAAGGAAACCTCTGCTCCGAAGGACGATGATGATGGCGCTATCAACCCCGGCTCGAACCTCTTCGTGACTGGCATTCACCCGCGTTTGTCAGAGGCCGAGGTTACCAAGATGTTCGAGAAATATGGCGAGGTTGAGAAATGCCAGATCATGAAAGATCCTCATTCCAAGGAATCGCGCGGGTTTGGTTTCGTCAAGATGGTCACTCCAGAGCAGGCCGAGGCCGCCAGAGAGGGACTTCAGGGAGAGGTGATTGAAGGCCGTACTTTGAGCATCGAGAAGGCTCGCCGAGCCCGGCCTCGCACTCCCACCCCTGGCAAATACTTCGGCCCACCCAAGAGAGGTTTGTCATCGCCGCTTTCATCCCTTGAAAAATTCACTGACTCATATAAATAATAGACCCGCGCCCCCGATTCGAGGATCGTCGCCGCGGAGGCTATGGCGGTAGTTATGGCCGTGATGAGGGACACCGTTCTCGCGGCTATGAGCGAGGTGGCAACGATCGAGGTGGCAACGACCGAGGCGGCAACGACCGAGGCGGCTATGAGCGAGGCTACGAGCGCCGCCCTGATGACCGCGGTGGCTATGAGCGCTCCTACGAGCGTTCCGGCTACGAACGTGGCTACCGTGAGGACAGACGTTACGACGAGCGAGCAGGTTATGGTCGGGACTACGAACGGAGCGGCTATGAGCGCCGGGACCGCGATGAGAACTATGGTCGCGAGAGGCAGAGTGGACGTGACGACCGTGGCCCACGCGGCGCTGCCGGTGGCTATGACCGTGAGAGATATGACCGTCAAGGTGATCGTGAGGCTGGGCGCCCTCGTGAACCTGCAGCTGGAGGCTCTGGCGGATATGCCGACTCCGCATCGCGTTCCGAGCCACGAGAGCACCACGGAGGTTTGAAACAGCAAATACACTTTCTCCTGCTACCAGCAGCTAACCTTTTTCAGGTGCCGACGCCACGATGCGATGAGCGCATTTCAACGCAGTCGTATCGCTTCCAACGGCCGTATTTAGGCCCTGTATAGTTTTACTTTACTCTGGACTGCATGTGGTCAGAGCCTCTTGTTCTGTTATTTCTTTTCGTTTGTCATTCAATCTCTTCCGCACCGGTGTGCGAACGTTACGGTCAACATTGTTTCTCGAGAAACTACTCATCCGAGTTTTTTTCGCGCTTTGCGACGGCTATGGGAGAAAATTCGAGAATACGCGTCTTCATCCAAGAATGGATGATTGTTTTGGGCTTTTCAGTTGCACGACGGGGATACATGTGCGCCGCATTTGGCAGCTTTCGGACTTTGCAAATCAAAACTCTTCACACCCACGCGTTCTGCGACCGCGTCTTTAATAGTTTTACAACCACCGCTCAGAAAACGTCAAATTGGACATATCACGATGTGAACCACGGGGCCAAATAAAAGTCGACTAGGACGCCATTAATTTTTTCCTACTCTGATCCTCTATCCACTACGCCCTGTCTGGTGCCGGACTCTCGATCCTCGCGGCTTCCATCAAACAACCATGAACAAACAGCATAGCAAGACAAGATGCATCTGCGCTGCCATCGAACCAAATCTTGTAAAATCAGCCGTCGCCTACCCTGCTCAACCAAGTCGCGCACTTTCTGGCAGCTTTCGTTTCTGCCGCACCAATACAGCCTTCTCTGCACACTCGGCTCATCTGTCGCATCTGTCGCATCTGTCGCATCGTCCATCCACTGCCATGCGGCTCATTTCCGATCTCTTATCACTGTTCTTTGGTAGGGTCAGTGAATAACAGCCACTTGCCAGACTCTAGCTGACAATTTATTAATCTGTTCATACACTGATCAGATAGGTAAGTTACACTGTCTCCCCAGGTATGCTTCTATGCTCATATTAGTTCCGACCGAAAGCCGGCGGAGCTTTGGTGAGTCAATGGAGCTAGAAATCACTTGCTGCGTATCTGCTGACCTAGGTTGTCATTATGTTGCTCCTTTCTACCAATACCTATTACCTCGCCTTCCCACGTACATTTCGTAGAGCGAGGTTAACCAAGTCGGCACCTTAGTTATTCAAAATAACTTGCCAATGCTCGTCAACATATCCTCTCAGGTACGGTTCGGTGATTGTTTTGTGTTAATACGTCGCGCTACAAAACAACTAGAACATATTCCGGCTGGCGCAAAGACTTTGTTTCGGTTGGGAATCAAGTGGCCGTATGAAAGCTATAAGAAAGCCGTGAGAAAAATATGTCCAATGCTCCGTACGTACGATCGCAGAGGTAGATACATACTGACTGGATGGCGTTCCCAGCAACTATTTATCAAGGTAGTCCAACCTCAGATTCAATTGACTCCCTCATTGATTTCCTCCGTTTACTTTCGCGCCAATAAGCCAACCAACACCAGATACGAGTGTCCCGGTAGCGGCTTCTCGCAATTGGTCTCTTTTCCTTGTACGAGTTTCCGATTGCTCCCGCGAAACGATTGTGTTTCCAGCTGGCGGCGGCATACCTTGAAGACTAGACAGAGCAGTGAGGTTGCGTTGCGCAATTCTCGCAGTAGCTCGAGACAGGTCGAACAGTGACATTGGGGCCTCCTCTCCCTGCTTTGCTGCTGCACCAGAGACCATATTGCGAGGAGGCTGCCCTTGTCGCTGCACCGGACGCTCGAAGTTACCGGGCAGTGCACTAAAATCTCCTGCGGAATCCCATGCCGTCTCGCTCGCTGCTTCTTCCCTGATTGCTGAGTCTAGCTGCTCTTCACATCGACGAAAGCTCTTCAAAATTTGACGAAGTTCGGCCGCTGGGGCTGCGCGAATTGCCATGGCTAAGCACTCGATTCTTTGCTCGAGGTGACGTATTTCAAGATTGCCGCTAGCTGTTCCCAGATGCGTCGGTTGTTGTGATCGCTCTGTCCGAATATACTGTCCGGCTTTCAGGGCTGCCGCCCATGACCACGTATCGAATAGAGTAACTGTGTGAGTAGCCAGCGTTGTCGCACTATTTCCGAGCCGACTAACAACGTACGAGTAAGCTGTTTCGAAGTCATCCTCGTTCAACGCCGCTTCAATGCACATTGCCGCTATTCGCCTTTCGGCAATAAAAAGTCCCTCTTCAATCTCCGACGATGTTGCTGCTACCGTCCTTGACGAGCCATGGGAAGTCAGGCCAGCATGTACCATGTTGGCTCCCATCTCCAGAAACTCGTGGATGCGTGTGTAAGCTTTCGGATTCTGGTTTAGCACTTTCTCTATTATACTAATCGGGTCAGAGTGTACTCGAAGTACAACTGGGCTGAAGGGCTCGCCTTGCTTGAGAACAAGGCGGTAGTCGCTCAGCGCATGGCTAGCTCTGAGGAGCGCCTCCACCCTTTTGACCGGCTGGGAAGATTTCTCCAGCATTTCCGGGAGTAAATGAATTCTAGGTTGGTATTAGCGACCATGGTGCAGCTTCTAGGGGGCATATACTCACATCTCATCGCATTTCCTAAGTCCGCCGCGAGTTCTGTTCAGATTTGAGGCATTGTCAAAGGCATCCAAAGCAGAATGGTATACAACATCCTGAAGCTTGCCTCGAGGCAGTGGCTCGTTGACATTTTCATATATCTCCCTGGATAATGAATACCCTATCATAAGGTTAGCGTGTCACTTTTATTGCCTATAAGCTACGAGAGCGCCATACTTGTCTTGGATAACAGGATCTTTAGAACTTCGGTCTCGATATGCTCCCTAGAGACCATGCCCAGCGGCCCATAGCAATGTGATGACAGCTCTTTGTTGTCATTATGGCCCCAATTAGAAAGCCATATAATGGCATCTCTCGACCGTTTCCAATAGCTATCATCACCGTGTCGTGCTTCTCTGGCTATAGCTCGAAGCAGTTTGCTAAGCTCGCCTTTTTGTTCTCTTGCATCTCCAATGAAGAGTAGGTCTCCTGCTTTCCGCACGGACCATGACACACCTAAGGACGTAGAAAGGTACGCGCTAATTGTGAGCGCGGTTACCAGTTTGAGAGATTCGGGTGCTACTGAAGTGAGGGGATTTGATGTTTTGAGCAAGTCTTCGCGCAGAAATGTGGCCATCCTAGAATCGCCACTGAGCGTCGTTTGGAAGACTGGTAGGTGTGAAAAGTCCGACATGATCATCTCTAGTGTTGGGGGCAAGTCCGTTTTATCAAGTCGCTTGCGAGTCTCGCAACATACTTGGTATGCACTGCGCAAGGCTTCCTCACTTGACTCGGCGGTGCTGTAGACGCAGGCAATAGCCGTCGTAGCATATGTCGTCTGAAGATATTGGATCCTGTCATCCGAAAGACTCATCGTAAGATTCTCGCCAAAGTATACGTCGCGTGGCCCTTCCCAGTCTGTGATCGCACCAGCCACATTTCCCCAGGATTTCGTTGCCCATGACAATATAGTATCCAGGACTTGTTCCCATCCCGGACAGTTTACCCCAGTAGCGCCCACTGACGCGGCGCTTTGTTGCCAGCGCATATCATTATATAGCCATGGTGCAACCAATCCTCGGAGATCTCGCCCAGTGGCCCTTCCATCACCGGTATTGGACTCAGAAAGCAGAAATATCGCCGCGGTTTGGTCAGGGATGTTCTCAAATTCAAACAGAGTATACTGTGATGAGGCGTTTGTGTGATATTGGCAATTGCGTCTCACAAATGGATACACCGTTGAGGCGGCCCATTGCTTTATGGAGGGGTAGTCGAGAAATGGTTGGAGAAGTTCGGGCAACTGTGATAATGCTCCCATTTCAGTGTTAATTCTGTATGCTCTTGAGAAAATGAATTCGCAAAGAACATCGCCCTTGTCGCCACTTTCTGCCTTGTCTCTCGATAAAGGTAAAAGGCGAAGCTTCTTTGCCTGCTTTGTCGCGGTTTCATCGCTGGTGGTGTCGAAGGGTGAGGTATCTAACTCAAGATCGGCCGGGATTCGCGTTTCTCCGTCCGCAACATTGCGCAAAAACTCGGTATATACGCGCGGTTCCACTGTCTCTGGGAGATATGTAAGAAGCACGCGAAGTAGAATCTCGGGGCGCAAAACATGGTCGTTCCGGCGTGCAAGACAAGCTAGCCTGCCAATGTCGCTTCGGGCGGCCAAATATGCTGCCTGCAGGAGAACCTTGGCTGGTGATAGCTCCTTGCCCATCATGAGTACCGTTCTTATGTCCTGGTTCAAACTGCCGCTGAATTTGCAGCTCTTTTGCATGGGCGATATCTTCACCTCCTGTGACGTCTGCACCGTGTTCTGATCGATATGCATCTATGGGGGCCATTTGTCTGCCAGCGAGTGGGTACCAACGGGGATATGTCACAATCAGAACTCGTCAGCTTTAACATGAGTACACTAAGGAACTATGTTCCTACGCGCTTATGCATGTATAACCATTAGTATGCTTCGGCTTTGCCGAGTATACTCCGGATTCAAATTGCCAGCTTGCGCCTCCAAACAACATGATCCTCACCCAACATAGGTCTCGAATCTGACGAAAGCAGCGATTCGATCATAATGGCGTCCGGATATGGCATGCATGGAGGTATATCGCCCTTACATCTATCAAAGCTTACTCCATTGGGAGAAATTGACTCGTCTTTAGGCGTTGGCCGTTGCTTCTCCTTCTGGCAAGAAGTGATGGGCTGTTATGTCGTCAACACCTCGGCCGATGATGACTCCGGCAAAAAGAAGTGCTCACTAGTGCTTGAGGACTATTACGAATGCCTACATCATAAGAAGGAGGTGTGTTACATCATTATCTACGTGAGACAATTAATGCTTACGTTGGAACAGCATGCTAGGGCTTTGGCTATGCAAGCCGCGTATGCCCGATCAGAGGCCGCCACCGCGCGAGACGATGCGCCGACTGCGAAACAAATACGCAGCCTGGGCCTGCTTGGAAAGGAGGAGGAGTCGAAGCAACTACTGGGGCGGAACTAGGCTCGATTGGTATTTGCATTGGTAGCCACGGCGATATACGGACTGCTGTCAATACAGCTGGATTGTGCACTTCTTTTTTTTGTTCTCTTTATGTTTTTGGGGGGGGGAAACGGGATGTTGTCTGGGTGCTGGGGCGTAGCATGCTCACTTGATCCATTGGCTACGTTGTTTTGACCCACGACTACGTAGTGTGGCACTTGGCTACTCTATCGCTTCCGGCTGGCTTATTTGAGGCGGTTCAGGTTCTCTTCTGACGGCTGTGCTCTTGGGGGTGGAATTTCTTCATCCTACCGACTCGTCTAGCCACGTGCAACTTTATTCATTGCTAGCTGGGCTCATTGTAGTATGTTTTACTCTACAATTATTGGGCTGTCACGCCAGCGGACGTTCCGCGGGCTTCCAATGCGGTCTTTTGTGACAAACACTTACAAGTCCGATGCCTTGCGTGCTCTGTTTGGGTCTGAAATTTTGCTGGTTCGAAGCCTTGCTCTCTTGCCCCCCTTCCGATCAACATTCAAAAATGGTTGATACTTGGTGAGTAGCTTTGGCTGTTTCCTCTGCCTGGGTTTTATGCGGCACGTAGTGTCGCGTTCTTCCGTGGTGCACCTCGTCTTGTATTGCGAATGTTGATTCGCTACTTTGTTGGAAATAGGGCTAGTCGTGACCTCCTCCCGTTTGGGGTGATATGCCTTAGTCTCTGTTGCTCCCCTGTTGATAGAGTGCGTATATAAGCGTGGTCGGACAATCTCACCGAATTGTGTTGCACCTGTTGACATACCTGTTTGTGTGGATGGGAGTCGTGTTCACGGGTAGTACATTGTGTCTCTACAACATCATCTGGGCAGTCAGTAGGGGAATTCTGTGTCGTGTTCTTTGGCTATGGTAAGCCTGGCTATGGATCGAATGCTGAAGCCGGACAATTGTGAACCCATGGAACCTACATCGCGAATATATCTAACAGAGCAACCCACCGGAATAAGAAACAGGGTCGATACACCCACCACATCAATAAGCACACTGGAACCAATGGCACGTAATACACACCCGTCAACCCGCCCAACCCGCCCAACCCGGCGCGATACTCTGCTGCTGTCTACTTCAAACTACCCTACCGTTGCCGTGATCCACAAACCACGAACCACCTCGAAGCCTATCAATCATCACGACAATCACGGGTAGGGGATATATGATGTCGGAGGTAGCAGTTTATGGGAGAGAGAGTGTGGGGTTTATTGAATGCTTTTCCAGCCCATGAAGCAAAACCACTTTATTAATGGTAACTACCGCCATTGAAACTAATAAAACAAACATCTCGGTGTAACGGTGCGGCTAGTGGCCTATCGGCACCCCCCCCGGCAAGCCGATTTGTTTTCTCTTTCCCTCCCGGGTGACTGGTAATGTGGCTCGGGCTCTCAAACCAGGTCCCCGGTTCAGCGACTGACGTAACAGAGTTCGCGCGTGCAACGTGCAACAGCATTGCGAAGTGCGGGGGTTTGGCACATTGGACCTGACGAGCGCAATTGATTGGCCAAAATACGTAGTGGCCAGGGTTCTGCGCTCGGTGCGCAAGTTACAAGTAGTAGTATGGAGATTTACAACTTGGTCAGCATGGGCTTCCACAGAAGCGGGGAGGCTACCACCCCTCACTTATTATTAATGAAAGGACAGCTGCGTGCTCAACCAACAAGTCTGCCTTTCTACGTCTGAGTCCGGCCGCGAGAGAGTTCACCTGGCCGGCAAGACAGTTTCTGGGGTAGTGAACAAACAACCAAAACAAAGAAAAGAGGCAGCAGAAGCGGAAGAAGATAATAACGAATGGCGAGGACATGGCTGAGGGGTACATATTTGCGCACGGCATTCAGGGGAGCTCCGGGGCTAAAAACACACACCCCTCAGGGTGAGAAAATCCAACGGCGAGATAAGCGAGAACCGGTAAGCCCAGATCGCTGGGACGCGTTAGTTACAGAGGAGGGATCACAGAGCGAGAACGCTTGGAAAAGTAGAAGAAGACACCGCGAAACATACACCGCGAAAAGTTGATATGTGTGTAGCTAAAATCACTGCATTGCAAAATGGGAAAAGTTGTTACATACTCCGGCGTAGGAAGGGCAGTAGACATACGGCACCAAATGTGGTCGCCGCTGAAAAATATCGATCTCCCCCAGCATGGATCGAGAACCAACACATTCACCTACACAGAGCTAGAAACACGACAAAAAACTAAACAAGAAAGAAACACACACTTGATAGTTATTTGCCACAATACCTGTTACGACATGGGCGTACTGGCAAACACGGAATGAGAGATGGTACTTCCTTCACTTGCGCGCTAGTGGATGCTTCGGCCATGGTACAAATAGTAAGCACCACGACTTGGGGATAATATTGCTGCCTGGCAAGATGAACGCTAGTGTTGCGGTGAGGCAGAATCGAGGCCTGAAGATATGTAGAGCTGCGTCGATTGGACCACTGCCCAGGCGCCAGCAAGCCACACAGCACCGTACAAGGTTCTGGGCTGCTTGTCTAATGCCTGCATTCAGCTTTGCTGCATGCTTGGAGTCGACGCAACGGATGATCAGGACGAGGACGGACACGGATTGAAAGCCTGCAATGCCACGAAAGGCAGCAGCCGCGGCAGCAGACAAGATGACACAAGCGCTTGTCAGGTTCATCCTAATACCTCTATTTTTACCTTTGGTCCTTCGTATTTTATTTCTACTCTCTCTTCCTTTTCATCCTTAATAGTAACTTGAATACGCTGCCTCTACTGCAACAAAGTTTTTTCGTCCCCTGGACTCTAGCAGACTAGGTGAGACAGGAAACTATCCCCAGTACGACTCTGTATGCGCTGGGCCCAAGGACGTGGGTTGAGTTGTCCGCCAAGCTACACTAGCGGGCAGCCAGCTGGTGCCCGCGGGCTGTGACACCTGGTTGGACAGAAAAAGCGAGCGCTCAACCAAAAAGCATAACCATATTTACTATTCGGATAGTGTGTTAGGGTAGGTATATAGAAACACTAAAAATAATGATAATGGTATATTATTTGACTACTAGTCTATGTAATTGTATCGTACTCGAAAAACAAGCAGTTGTGTTTTTATGGGCCCTCGCTTCTTCTGCCCCCCCTGGGGGCTGGGGGTGCGAAAACGTGCGGAGCCGTTTCACAACATATCCGGTACGTTGACAGAGGCCCGAAAAATGTCGGTCGGTTGTCGCACTCCGGAACGCCACAAATCAACGGTGCTGCGTCTGACAAAAGCCACAAAATCGCTGCGGAACGGTTGTTAGAGCCACGGGTGGGCCAGTTGGCCGGCAGGTAGAAACAGGGAGCGTCGAGTTGGTGGGCGGCGAAAAGCACCAGGCCAAAGCACCCCCCTGACCCTCGGCCGCTGGAAGATGGCACCGTTTTTGCGGTCGGGTAACTAGGTACCTACCCGCTTTCAAGGTAGCCCTCCGGTGCCAAAATCACTAATCAGTAGTCTCTTTGCCTTGCTGCCCAGGGACAGCGAGAAAGGACTGGTAATGTTCCTCGGCGCCTGGTTCAAGCCGGCGGGAATTTGTAACACTGGCAATATTGCCTGACTAGACACCATGACACAAAGGAAGCAAGTGACAGCGAGAAAAGCCCAGCATCCGCGTCAGCCTGCGCTTTCTATTCAATTTGTACAAACAACGACCCAAAACTGAACCTGTGGGGAATGCCACATGTACTGGGCAGACGGCACAGCATGGCCGTCCCAAAATAAATAACTTGATTGCTTGAAAGTACTGAGTATTAGAGTTCTTAGTGTGAGTTGGCACATTCGATTAGGCCTCTAGCAAAATAAATCTCCAGTTAATGATACTATTATCTCCCTTATTCTTCTTATTATCTTAAGATATTATCTGCCTGGCCCGTTTATTTTGTCCCCCATATGTAACTATGGCCTCTTACAAAACGGGGTTTTTTTCCCCAACCTCGACAGCGGTGGCACGAGGCGCTTGCCGTAATAAAGCCAGACCATAAATTCCAGCAAAGATGAGGATGAGCCAAAACGGCGAGGTTCCACATGGCACGCTACCACTAAAATAACCGTTTCTCGGAGGGAATCAATGCGAGACCCGTCTAGCGGCAGGCACGCACATCAACATAGAGTCCTCACAAATCACTCTAAAGGACGATGCGGGATTATTGATACAGAGTCTATCATCGTGCATCCAGTGGTTCCATAACTACATTGTAGCATTGGCAGGAAAATGGTCATAGTAAACATCAATGAGCCTGTATGGTATGGAGTACTTCGCATGCAAGGCACGTACATGCCTGTACTAGGTAGGTAGGGTATGCACAACAAAAGCGCCAAAGCACAGCCTTTGAAAGTAGCTATGTACCCAGAAGGCCAGAGCCTAATACTGATTCAGCTGCGCAACATCTTTGTCCTGTGGAACAACAGGGCGGTTGCGGCCGGCTGGTCATGCCTTACCGGGAATGGTGGGGAGAGGGACAGGTAATAAAATGAAAACAAGGAAAAAGACAAAAAAAGGTTTCGTTTTTGGGAGGACCGTTGCAGCCACCAATGGGGCTCCCGGGCAGCTGGGCCCGAAATACGCCGGTGAGAAACGGTGACTCCTTGCAGCCTTACTTTTCCTCAACCTGGCCCAGCTAGCTAACTAGTTCAGTCGGGCGTTGCGAGGGGGGGCCAAATGATCACAAAGGTGGCAACGGCGGTAAAAGCCGAGGTCCTCTTTTAATTCTCCAGATACTGCCTGGTTGGGTGGCTGGCTGTAGTTCCAAAATGCCGGCCGTTTCCCACAACCAAGTCATCCTTGACCCCTGTTCGTCTGCCGCCGATATTCAACGGGCGCGCCATCCAGCGGCCATCGCTCCACAACATGCAGACCCGGATCCATCCAGAGCGCTGTTATAGGCTGATCAATGATGGACCGGACGGTAACTAGGCGGTTTCTGTAATAGCGAATAGCCTGCTGCCACTGAATGCCATCACTTCCTCTGCATGCAAAGCTAACTACTCGCTGCCTTGATTCCTTCAATAAAGTCACCCGCTGGCTGAGACTGTCGAGGTCGACAAGACTCAGAGAAGCACAAACAAGTGATAGAGACAAGAGTTGTGACAGCATTGTAAAGTACATGCGTGTGATGGGCGATGACCTCGAGGCCCTTCTCTGAAATAACTTGGTCAACATCAGCTAGGAACTGCATAAGCCCTCTGCATATCTTTTCAACTTCAGCGTTGTCTCGTTCTTTGGCCTGATTACTGGGATACTTGGATCACGACGTTACAAAGTTACGGGGGTGGACTTGTGGATGAAGGCAGGACCGTTGCATCTTCTGCGGCACCGTCGCTGGTTCACTGCTTGACTGCTTGACTAACCAAACTCGTCACTGCCCAGTCGCCAGTATGCGGTCAAGATACGGAGTAAACTGCGTAGTGTTGATCAGCTGCTGCTCGCATTTACCTCTTGCGGTTAAGCAATGCTCAACCGCCAACCATTTAACGTCTTTATAGATGCGTGCTTATACCTGTTGCGGGTTTCCGCCATGTCTCCGGCCTGTCATTGACGTTAATGAGGCGCTGGCTGCACCACTCGTCACAACGTCCGATCCTTATCGGGATTCAACGGTGCGACCAAGGCTCGGGCGTGGGTTGCTCGTGACCTACCAGTAAATCTAAATATTAGTTAATATGGCACTCTCGTCGAGCCGAAGTTTCTCGGTAACAGGGAGGTACTGAAACTGGAGTGCTACCTTCGGACTCCGCTATTCAGCAGCACGAGGGTTGTACCTAGCTTCCTAATGATACATTTTAAGGAGGCCAATTTTTACTGGCTTGCGGCCAAATTAGCAAGGGACCGTGATCAAATCCTGGACGGCCCAAGAGCAGCAGTACAATCAGCGAGGGAGACAGACGCCATCGACGAATGATCAAGTCAAAGGCTATCTACGCCGCAAAACTCCCAACCAAATGTACTCTTCCTTTCAGGTCCTTGTCGATGCTCCTCGCCGTGTGTGTGGTAGTGTCCAGTGGTCGATCCCGTCGCGACCTTGTGGCGCGCCTACTAATAATACAGCATTCCAAATACTTTGACCGTGGTAGCTCACTCAAAAGGCTCAAAAGGGTGCCCTTGATCCTTGTGAGGGCTCGGTACAGTACGAAGCCCCAGAAAGAGTCTGACTGCCAACTGGTGGTGGGTGGTCTTTTATTAACGGTTGGAGCCTGTCTTGCCCTTGCGTCTTGTTCCGGCAAGAGCCAAGTACAATCGACCAATAATCCATCGAGAAGAGCTTTTCCTCTTATGTACATATCTACGTACTGGTACATGTACATAGTTCAGATCATGGTACCTCGACTTTTTTCCCAAAGCAACACCTAGGCGAATACCAAGCCAGTTGTCCTGGCGGCCACCGCCACCTGAGTTTGTATTTCGCGGCTCGACCCGCCCCCTGATATTGCTTTTGAGCCATCATGATTCACCATGCAGCCCACTTGGCGCTGTCTGGGATATTTCTTGATTAGAACACGTCGACTGTTACTTTTACGGCCATCATTGGTATCAGTTAAAACCCCGCTAGTCTTCATTGGTATCCATTTCCGTGCCTAAAGAGGCGACCATCTTCCGTCTGCACATTCTCAAATAATCCAGCCCTGGCATAGCTCAATCATACATTAACAAACAGTACAGGGCCGCGACCTATAGTAAACCAAGTGAGGCGGAAGACACAAGAGCTCCAGAATACACACACCCTGAAAAAGAAAAGGAAAAAGAAAAAGAAAAAGAAAAAGAAAAAGAAAAAACCCCATTGCGCCCGTTTTCCATGAAGTTCATGTCGCATCAGTTCGATGCCCTCAAAAGTCTCGAGATAGAAGTAAGCCCATCGTCTTGCTTTTGGCATGGGTATAATATGGTGAGCCTCGAGCCTTTCTCCAGAGTGTTGAGGCTAGTACGCGCGCTCACCTGGCGCTGCAGCAATTACTCACCTACCCTCTGATGACGATGTTTTTCGTTGCGGTTTGTCGGTGACAGCTGAAAGTGTTCATCCTAGTAGGGAGGAAACTGATATTCTAGACTTCTTGCTCTGGTCAGAGGTCTGCTGTTGCTGAACAGGCGAGTTCGGTGCCGTTATCAGTTGAGACCGCCTCTGCGTATCATTGTAACATGGTTGTGGAGCAATTGTACCAAGGCTTGGTAGAACACCGTTCTGCATAGGAGCGATGATTTCATGGCGCAACGTTCTCAGGGGAGGAAGCTCAAGCGGCGGAAGTGATATGAAAGCAGCTCGACTAGACGATACACGGTAGTGATGGCGACCGTCGATCTCCGGAGACTCGGATGAGCAAGGCGACGGTAGAGGGGCTTGGCCGTCTGGCCAAGAAGGAGTTGGGTGACGGTGATCAAGAGGAGACTGCATAGCGCCTGGCAGCGGCAGTGTCCGCTGTGCGCCTCCCACTGACAGGGACTGGCGGTAGCAGTCTTCACTACTGGGAATGCTGACGTTGCGGCGGCGATCATATCGCTTGCGACGATTCTGGTTGCCATTCCACCAGTTTTTGACAGCGTTGTCACTGCGGCCAACGAGCAGGCGAGCAATGTCTGCCCATTTCTTGCCCCTTTCTCTGACCAGTCTTTGGATTTGAGCTCCTTCCTCGGCTGTGATGGGATCGTGGTTCAGAGATGGTTTGAGATTTTGATGATAGCGCTCGCGACATTGCTTGGGTGTTCTTGAGTTGACAGCGCTAGCAATGCGGACCCAGTTGATGGCTCCATTGCCATCAACAAGGGTCATGAGCAACTCGTCCTCCTGTTGGGACCATGGACCGCGTCGGTGGGCTATCCTGGTAGTTTCTTCTTGCATGGAGGCGGTTATGCGGTGATGGGTTGTGTTCGTAGTTTCGAGGGTTGTGTTCGTAGCGTTGAGGGATGTGTAAGAAGGGTGCGTAAGCCGGCAATGTCAGTGGCCACGACGTTATAGATCTTGGGGGAATAAGTCAGGCGGAAGGAACTCTGGCAATAAATAAGAAACTTCGCTAGAAGGCGTTTGTCACCGAGAGTATATTCGATGAAGTTGCAAAAAAAAAAAAGAAAAAAAAAAGAATAACGGAAGACAAGGGCGTGGAGGCGGGTGTGAAGTGCGGCATGGGCAGAACAAATACCAGTTCGGCCCATGTAGAAGCTTCGGGGGATCTGCCATCGGACGCACAGTGAACAAGTGAGTGGGTTCCTTCCCCCACTCTTGTGGATGAAGGGTGAGCGGAGCAAAAGATTTGGAAGGCGTACCTAGGGCGTGTACCAGTGAGCGGCCTGAGGGCGTGTGGAAAGAAGCGGAGCGGACAGCGGGCGTAAGTGGGGCAGGTATGCACCCTGCGCAATTCGGAGCTCAGTGCTTGGCTATACAACTGCATACGGATGAACGGAAAGCACTTGGGCTCATTGCAATGCGCTCGCAAGATCTACCTGTCGATTCATATTGCATCCGGGAGGATTATATACCGCGTGATACAGTGGGTAATTTAGCCCTTGGCACTTTATTAACAAGCGTCTCAAAAAAGGCTCCTCCCCGTGTCGCTTTCATAGTGCCTGATGATTCATGATATATGTGCGCGTCGCGTCGCGAGTGGTTTACGCTGAAGCTTCTTTCTGAAATAAGAATATTTGTGACGTTGGACCGACCAAGTCCCAACCCCTCTCTTCTACGATGATTCATGTCGCAGGCGCAGCGCGCCGTACGCGTCCAAACTGAGTTTGAACAGCCTGAGTACTATTGAGACTTGGGACACGTGTTCATACAACTTTTCTAGCAGCGGTGGCGGCGGCGGTGGATTGGCGCCTATCGCCCAGTTTGAGTTTTCAAGTATTTATATTCGGCTTCCTGGTATATTCTACATGCACGGTTTTTGTTGGGCGCCAGTAGCTGAGCAATACCGGACCGATTTGGTGCGTAGTTGTGTTGACAAGGCCACCTTAACAAATACACCTTTCTGCAGCGCATCCTGATGTGTGGGATATTGGCCCCATGAAGGGGCAAGCCTGAACGCATGAAGTTGAAAATAGCATGCAGGCGCATGTAAGGTATCATGCGGTGTATTGAAATAAGATTCGCTCGTCGCCTGCTAAAACATACATGATGAACTTTGTGATATGCTTGTAGGCAGGCTCCAGGTGCCAGAAAGCAGGGAAAAACCAACAGATTCGGTGCATAACATTCGCTACAGGTAAATATCGCCACCCTCTCCCTTTTCCCAACGCTTCCATGCCTCCTCGTAGGCAGTTTCGACGTCTCGGACCCATCGACGAGTATCGAAAAGACCGCATGTCCACTTGCTATGCCATAGCAGTTTACGCAGCTCCGCCAGTCGACCACTACCCGCAACCCCCCCGGAGGATGTAAGTGAATATGACAGCCCGCCAGCTAGATCAATAGCCACTTTCTCGTACCTTTTTTCGGACGTGGCAATGAGTTCCCCGGCAGCGTGTCGTCCCTCGGGCGATTTCGGCAATGCCCCTCTTAAAATGGACGCTGCCATTCGAGAACACATCTTATACGGGTAGCGAGGGAAGGTAAGTAACGGTGTGCTAGACCAAAGCACATCTGCTGCAGTAGTATGGGCATTGCACTCCGGGGTGTCGAGGAACAAATCGCAAATCCGGGCACGTGAGATGTGCTGACTCTTTTGAGCAACATCAGTAAATATCAAACGGCTTGCCACTTCGGGACCTGCCCATAGTTCTGCTGTCCTCCGCAGGTTTGCTTCGCCAGCTTCTGGAAAGCGGAGAAGCCAGAGTACTGCTTTTGGTACCTGTGCCAATATTCTGAGCCAGGACCTGAATGTGCTTGGGTCAATCTGAATAGCGGTATGGTTAGCTGATTTTGCGCCTTTGATCGCCCCGTTGAAGACTTTACCTTATAGAGCTGATTGAAGTTCGCTAGTATGACTCTGTCTTCTTGTAGATCAGGGAACAGTTCCTTTCGCATTGACCATCGCCGACTTTGCTCATCGGCCCAGGTCATACCCCTTTCCGTGGCAGGCGACGATTGAGCGTGATCACAACAAAAGAATGTATCACGACAGAAGATGATGTTCTCCGTGTACATCCACTCCCCGGAATCGGCCTCGGAGTCATCATGAAAAATGTCTTCCAGTGTTTGATTCTGACGCCACGGGCGCAAGGTGCTTGGTGGTATAGCCGTTGTATCTGCGAGAATGTAGTCACACCATTCCGCCCCAAGGGTGCCTGCAAAGCCCATAAAAGACATTTGGATTGGAGCGGGCCGTGCAGCAAAAATCTCGTTGCGAGCACCTCGAGTATAACCATTGAGATTTACCAGAATATGAATACCATCATTGCTGATTTGCTTTATCAAGCGCTCTGGTGTCCAGCTGCTGACATCCCTAAAAACAGGCGCCTCCTTTTCAATTCGTGCACGGTAGCTAGATTTGTCACTCGATGTTGTTGCATAACAGAAAGCCCGTACTCGTGTCGCATCGTGAAAGCCAAAAACTGACTGCATCCTGGTCCATGATCGTTAGTCTCAAAATTTCGACCATGACGAGACGTATACGTACAAATGCGCTAATGGGTGGTTATTAAAATCGGAGGAGACGTATCCAACGTTAAGACAGGAGCCAGGTGGTGCCGGTGGAGGTAGTATGGTCTCGGGAAGCCACGGCGCACGCAATGTAGCACAAGATATACGCATTGCATTTCGCTGCGAAATAGCCCTTACTTCTTTGGCCGTCAATGGAGAAGTAAAGGTATGAAAAGGGAGAACAGTTGGTGCCGATGGTACGGTCAGGGATGGTGGAAGCCGGGGCCGAGCGTACGTGATTCTTGTCCTATTAGGTAGGATGTGCTGGTCAAGATACCATTTTCGAAGTAAAACCTTTGTAGCTCTTTCAATGAGTCGTACCAGCCGTGAGCCGGCCCATCGGGAACCACTCCATTTCTGTAAATTCTTCTCGAGATCGAGTGAGGCATTTGGACCGAGATGGGAGAGACTCTGTGTCAACAGTCGAATAAACGATTTATCGATAATATCCCGGCCCCATTGCGAGGCATCATCGAGCTGTTGACGAACAATGTCAGTCACACGTTGACTAAGGCCAGATGCAGTCTTAGTGATCTCTGCATCAAGTAATCGACCGTCATCGTCAACATGCCATCTGTCATACTTTCCCAAGTATAAATAGACACCGCCACGACCTTTCCAGTCGCAGACAGAATTGAGCGCCGTGAATAACCCGCACACGGCTTCAGCAAACCCGGGATTGGCGGCAACAGCTCGACGATAATAGCCAATTGCCTCACTTATCCTACCCTTGTCTTTGACAGCGTTGGCAAGGTTTGTTAATGCAATGTCAAAAGTTCCATCGCACGCAACAGCGCGTTCGTACATTCGAATGGCGAGATCGAGTTGCCCAACGTCCTTCAGCAAGCTGCCAAGATTGGTGTGTAGATGGACGTGCTTTGGATCCAAGCGAAGTCCATAATTGTAGTAAGAAAGTGCAAGAGATAAGCCGCTCCCCGGAAGTATCCCTGGGAAGCTCGTTTGTAGATGCAATGACGCCGCACTGTCGAGATTTGACGCGGTCTGAGGTATACCGGCAAGCAGAATACCCACATTATTGGCGGTCGACGGGCTCTCCTGTAGCGACAATGAGAGATAGTATAGAGCTAGAATATCGCCAACGCCAGATGACGGTCGTGCTAATGCAGAGACCGTCGAACCACTAGCCATAGAGTCTTGAAATATTTTCGCTAATGATAGGAGCGAGTTACTTGTAGTTTGGACGGCCGCTCTTCTGGGCGTGAGATCGTTCACCCATCGTAGTCCAGGGAGCTCGCCATCGCCGCCAAATAGAAGGCGAGCCGCATGGCGGGCCTTGTCAGGAGTAAGCAACAGTGGCTGCGCAGCAGTCGCGGGAGGGGCCACGGGAGAGAGGGAGTCGCGGATGCCGCGAACAAGCTCGCGGATTCCCTTAATACTCCGTCCGACGCTGATCAATACCGCTTCTTCGAAAGCCCGAGCAGCGCCATCCACATCTTTCAATCCATAGAGCATAGTGCCTTTTGCATGTATCAAGGCAAGAATTCGACCGTTCTCGCTTCCAGGTAGACTATAGCCACTGGAGCCAAAGCCTCCCGAGGAGAAGTCATCTGGTTGTCGGGTTAAGTGCCCAGTGGCCATCTGAGAGTCAAACCTGTGATCTGCGGGATCGCCACGAGAGTTGACGACTGTGTGCGTATGACGACCGGTATCTGCGAGCGCATTTTGAACATAGCACACAATGTCAATTGCTTCTTCACTGCGCTTCTTGTACAGAAGTCCAACCAGATGCTCAACAGCCTCCAGGTAGCCGGGCCTTTGGTGTACTGCGCGGAGCCAGTGCTGTTCTGCCTCTTCATGGCGACCCAGACAATAATATGAAGCAGCCATGTTTGCCAATGCTTCAGTGTGGCTATAATCTGTAGTTAGATAGGGGAACGGTACATGGATAAGAAGAGAAAAGTGAATACCTGGGATCCAATATAGTTATTCTTGAAAAGCATTGAAGAGCATCTGTATACTGCTGCACAGCATATTGAAGGCAGCCCAATACAAGCATGCCTTCGACCCAGGTCCACTGGCTTTGCTCACAAAGGTGTTTAAGGATATCCAGGGAAGATCTAGCGTCATTCACTGAGGGTACACCATGGCTAGTCATATCAAAATAATCAATCAGCGGAATGTGCCCATTCGGTACACTTTGTAAAGCGCGAAACTGATCCACTCCAGCGAACATAACGTGTCTGCTGGGTTGTTGAACGGATGAATCATGATGACCGTGTGCCGCAACTGAGTGAAAATATGCCGACGGCAAGATTCTACCGGGAGCAGGAGTGTATCGAAGGTTTCTATTCAAGCCATTGCTCTCTCGCCTTGGCCTGGGAGGCTTTGGAAATATCAGATGCTTTGATGATGCATGATCTGCACCGGGGTAGTCCTTGTTTATGCTTGCTCTCGCAGTTGCCTGGATATGACCGACAAGACTGGTATAGCAGCGGTAAGCCTGAGAGAGAGTTTTATCCTTGAAGTCTGAGTGAGTGTTGTAGTTGACATGGTTCAATGCGTATGCGCTGTGGACTTTGGGCTTAGAGCCCTGCAGTGAGTAGGCCAGGGTGTGATTCGACGCAGGAAGGAAGGAATCCATTAGATTTGGCGTATACTCTGAATTGGGTACCGCTGGATATGCAGCACGCGGCACTGCGCTGGCGCATTGTGCTGATGGATAATCCCAAACAGATAGACCTTGCTGCCAATAAAGTTGCCCAAGCGTCAGGCCGCCTACTAATGATGGCGGTGGCGGACAAAATGCTCGGACATTATATTCATTGGCTCGAATGACTGGCTGATAGACACTCGCAAATGGTGCAGCAGGTTGCTGCGAAGATGACTGATAACTTGGCCCAACAGGATAACCCGGTGGGCGCCAAGGTGCTGCTGGTAATGGCACACTGGTGCTTGCGATATCCACCATATGGTTTGGGTGATAAGATCGAACATTGGGCAAAGGATGTTCAAGCGTGTTGACAGGTTGACTGGGAAGAGCCAGCTGCTTCAACGGCGGCTCCCCACTATATGACTTCGTAGAGGATCCATCGTAGCCAGCATCAATCGTTCCATTCGGAGTCTTTCGCCGTAGCTGGTGTTCACGAGCTCTGTGCGATGCGTTCACATTGTAGGAGCTATTACCAGAGAAATGCGTGTGCGAGTGGAGTGTTCTTATGGGAAATGATCGTTGTTGATATGGGCCGACTTCTTGTCGAAGCCGTTCGTCGTGTACAGGTTGTCCGTTAACCGGGTGGGGTATACGATCGAGGTTCGCGGTCGGCACCGTCTGCCGGTGCGTCTGCAATAATGGCAACATGCCAAAAAGCTAGGTGAAGGGTCGTTGGGTGAATGGAAGGTTCGTCGTCGAGCATAATATCGAGAGACATTGGCAGGCGTACTGCAAACGCTCATTGCTTCAGTTATAGCATGGCGGACACGCTGCCAACTGGCGTTAAGCAGACAGAGCGGAGATACCGCGGCAGCGCTTCAGTTGAACGACCCGATAGCGGTCTTGAGATAAGACGTGAACTGTCAGCGAGCTAATAATAAGGGCCGCAAAGACGATTGGTCTTTTCAACGGAAGCCGGACCTAGATGCTAACACTTCGCATCAAATTGTGGAGTTTGGGTGTGCAGGCTGCACGCAGTGGAGACAATTCATCGCTGGGCTCCCTAACAATTGCGACTAGGTTTCAAGTTCCAGAACCTGCTGACGGCACGCCACGATGCGAAGCGAGAGGTACCCGCAACATACCAATGAGACATAGCTGTTAGTAAATTCGGGCATACGTTCCACCTCCTACCTAGTACTACTGGACAGCCAGCATTTAGATAAGACTTGCTTCAGATATAACGACGATGTACAAGTATAGTTGTGACTGGCAGAACTTTTGACGAAGCAGGCGAACGCGTCTAATGGTTATATTGTGATATTCCGAGTGATTACAGTGTTTGCCGATTTGGCTGCCGCCCTACCTAGCAATGCAGAGAGTACATTCTCTCAACCAGACCCCATTCGTCGATCAGTTTTTACAAGAAATATGGAGATATATGTTGATCCGATCAATGGACCGCTATGACCAATTTGATATCAGACACATGGCGGTGAGTAGTGGAACTAGGCTTTATCTACCTCGGGCAAAAATTGAAATACACCATGGAGCAGTGGGTGATTTCAGAGTGTAGCCGAGGATCGTGAACATTCACTTTGTCCGTAGAGACTTCGTCATATGGCTCATCGATTTCCTCTATTCGTAGCTACATCGAATCGCGGTCGCATTCAACTCGTATTGTAAATTCGATATCCACTCGCTGGATGGCTAATGTTTGGCCTGCCCTTCTCCCGCAGGTTTGCTTATTCTTCGGGAACTATAAGCTCCGTTAGTACTCATTCGCATGACAGATATCCAAGTCCAACTTACTGTCGATCTCGCCGTTGTCGATGGCTTCGATGATGACCTTGGGGGGTTTGCCGTCAACACGGCATCCGACACTGTAAGCAGTACCGAGAATTTCCTTCACACCGCCCTTCAGATCTTTAGAGAAAGACTTGTAGCGCATGGTGCGGGCAATCTCAATGATCTCGTCAAGGGCGACAGACTTGTTGTGCTTTATGTTCTTCTCCTTCTTGCGATCACGAGGAGGCTCCTTCAAAGCACGAATGATCAGCGAGGAGGCGGTCGGCACAACAGAAACCGCGGCCTGACGGTTCTGAATGGTAAGCTTGACAGTCACGCGCAGGCCTTTCTGCTAGCTGTTAGGGTGTATTCGGCTCGAATTGAAGAGCAAGCGGAGGCGTACCCAGTCGCCAGTGGCTTTCGCAATGTCTTCTCCGACCTTCTTGGGCGAAAGGCCGAGAGGGCCAATCTTCGGTGCAAGAGCCGAAGAGGCGCCGACTTCACCTCCAGTGGCACGGAGGTGGCTAAGAATTGTTAGCCGATAGAAGAGGGCGAGACGATTGGGTGAACGAACATGACCTTGATCTCATTTGGGTCGATCTTGGGAGCTAAGAGGTATGATATTAGCGGCGAAATTATGTGCTATAATACGAAAGTAGCGTACGCATTGCGACGGTGTTTTGTAATGACAGAGGCTCGTGGTTTGCTTGTCGTGCGATTGAAGAGAGAGAGTTATTGCTGAGAGAATGCTAAATGAAAGGGAAAGTTTGCGGCATCCGCTTATTAATGAGAAAAATATGTGTGCCCCCACTGTCTGCCCTAACGACAACCGTGCAGCACTGCGCCATATGGGCGTAGGTAGGGGCGCATTCGCTCAGCGCCAAGATTGCCCACCTAATATTAAAGGCTATTATATAATCCAGGAGATCCACTTCCCATTTGTACATTAGTCACGAGGGACAATATGTAGCCGATGAAAGTACGGATAGTTTTTGGTCTTTTAACCCTCAATGCTAGTAGCTAGTTATGTAGTCATTTAGCTGGTGAATCAACCGCTGAGGGGCTACCTAACATTTTGGAGGTAGAATCCGCGTCAACGCCATGTAGCGTGCTAGAGAGCTACTGCTGGACTAGAATCTTTGCGAGGCTAGATTCAAGGGGCGCCAGAGATCGAGCATAATACAATCAGTTAGTGCCACTAACAGCGAGTCTAATTTGAAAATTGAAAATTAGCAGGGACTTCTCATCACGCAGGTACATTCCTTAGGTGCCTTACTTCATCAAGTGATCCATGAACGTTTGCAAAGACACGTCGTCGGTAAAGATCGTTTGACCAGACGCGGCTCCAGCGCCGCCATATGGTCCGGTCGTATGGGTGGTAGACGGGTTGAGTTTGGAGAGCAAGAATCGGGCTTGGGAGCCACCAGCGTCGCAAACAATGAACCGAGGTAGTGGAAATCTGTCCGTGATCAGATCCTATGTCGGAGTTAGCATGATCCTGAAAGCCTGGTTTCACAAAGGTCGGTCAACCCACCCTGGCATCTTCCTTCGGTTGCTCCAGCAAGGCGGCAAAATTTTCATAGCCATCCTGCTCCTGGTAGCCGGCCTTTCGCCATTCTGCAACTGTCTCACCATGGAAGATGAGGATATGGAAGAAGGTATCCAGGAGGAGAATGTGCGTAGGCTGAATAGAGGCGGAGTCGAGAAGCACAGGTTGACCGCCATCTTGATCAAAGGTATAAGAGTCAAGTGTTGGTTGGATCATAACGAGCGAATTGCTGACATCCTCGTGGTTCAGTACATGCCGGTTGAAAGCTGTCTCATCTGGTGAGTTGTTGAAAACTTGCAGAAACGGACTTCTGCGCAGATGGAACATGAATTGCGGGTAAAGAGTAAAATTCTTCTCCAGCCTGAATGAGGACGGATCATCTTTTCGGTAATCGGCGAAGCGCGAGCATAGCCGAATAAGCATCCTGTCCACCCATCGAAGCACGTCCGGCCCATCATCGACGTCAGCTTTGAAAACTGCTATTCTGCTCATCAGCACAGCAGCGGCTTCCTGATCGAATGACTGAGCAATCGCCGGATCGCCGGCCGGTCCGCTCAGATTGCGCGCGATAGTGGTGACGCGTAGATGGAATTGACCAGAGGAATGTTGATAGTATGTTAGAAATTGCATCATGCCCTTCTGGGGTCCTTGCTGGTGAGGACTTTGGCCTTGGTTGGCAACCTCAAAATAGACACCATAGCTGGCTTTGGGGTCAATGCCGCACATTTTCCAAGAGCAGGTATTGCCAATACCGCATTCAGTCTCGCCAACAGAAACCGATTTCTTGTTGAGGGAGACAGCATGCCCGATAAGACCAGTAACCTTGAGCTCCTTCGTGGTCAGGACTTCCAGCACGGCGTTGAAGCCCATGAGGAGGTTATCGTCACCATCCTTTTCGAAAACACGGATAAAAGACTGCTTAAACATGGATGATGTGAAGCTGTCGGTCAAGATCATGTGACCGCCGGTAGAATTACAGAGGCCTTTCATTTCTAGGAGTCCAACCTGGTCCAAGCAGCCCGCAAAAATGTCTATAATGTGGCCGTTGTGCGCTGTGCGCTTTGCTAATGTCTCGTAGAACTATATAGGTTAGTTGTCACGGGAGACCACGATTTCTGTTCTTGGCAACATTACCTTCAAGGCCTTTTTATAATACTTGACATTATCGCGATCAATATCGTGGTGTGATCTCATTGGCTCCCGCAGTTCAGGACCAACAGTCATTCCTGGGCCTTCTGTAGCTGGGCCTCCGGCAAAGAGCATTATACGCCCTCCAGCATTTTGGAAGGACGACTCCATGAGCCCGATCGCCACGCTCAGGGCCACACCGGTGCATCGTAGGTTACGGTGGTCATTTGCAGTTGGCCATGGGTCTTTCTGAAGTGCCTCCAACGCTTTTGTAAGCTGGAACTCCGCTTGCTGGACCGGCATGAGAAACCTGGATGCTGGGCCTATGGGCATGGGTCGACCGGACTGCGGTTGCATCCCCGGTCGAGCTGTAGAAGACGACAAGCCAAGCATGTCTTGAACTTGCTTGGCAGAGTAGTCCTTGTTTCCTCGGAAAACATACGATTTCGCGCAGCCCTCGTAGCCGATCTCGTGTACTTGTGCCTAGAAACCGTCAGAAAAGTGCAGATTCTATACATATTTGGTTGTATCTAACCATTGTGCCATATGTAATCAAGCCGACCAAGGCATTCTCCGGAAGCAAGCTGAGGCTCGTGACCAGGGACTCTTTGAGCGCAGCCAAACCGTCATCTTCCTGGCACAAATCGACAACATAGAAGAAAATGGGCGGAGCTGGGGCCGGTCGGGATAGTCGATATTCAATAGTCGTGTTTGCAGGATGCAGCTCGGGTGGAATCGCGTTCTGGGTAATGTCCTTGTAGTGTGGGGGAAGGGAATTCCTCGACAAGCAGAAAGGACAAATCCAGACCCGAGCACGAACATCGACCTGGCTGTGTATATCGTTAGTCAACAGAGACAGAGAACAATATGTACAACGGGGAGTATTTAATAAAATACCAAAATGGGTTCAAAACAGAGCGGCACGGCTGCTTGCAAGTAACTGGCTCGAACTGTAGCAATGGAGTATCAAGCTTCTCTTTTAGCGGAGTGTAAAGAGCACCAATCGGCACAACCAACCGCGACGCTTCCTGTCCATAATTAGCCATAATCCAGTGACCGATTCCTTCCCACGCTCACCATGCGCGAGCTTGGGAATACGTTCCAGCTCAGGCGAACACCATCGCGGTCCTCCACGTCGCTCCATTGCTCTTTGAGTGCCTCGTACTCCATCTTTCGGTGCTGGGAAACAATATCGCTGGCCTCGGAGGTCTGATCTGCGGCTTCTTTTCCCCCCGCAGGTTTGCTGCTTTGTGTCAAATTCAGATCGATTCGTTTGCAGATGTTCCCGAGGGATGTGTGCCCCAATTTCGACACCTAAGTGAGGACACATCAACCACACTGGCAGCGACTTGTGTGCCCCACATTTTCTTCCGGCTCCCAATATGTACCTACGTACCTACGTAGTATAGACCCGGTAGATTCAAGAGACACACCCCCTGTTTACCGGTATATAATATTCCCCTATAGCGACACTATCAGGCTACTAGTTAATTTTAATAAAAGCTTCTATTTTTTATTCAATATCTACTATAGTACTTAATAATATCTTTATATATAAATAAATAGTATATTTAATACTATACTACCTTAACTTATTATTCTATAAAAGGTAAAAGAATTAATTAATAAAGTCTATTTAAATAGAATACTAAATAAGTTATTCTTTTAATAAATACTTTTCCTTTATTAAAATACTATTAATATTTTTAATATAACTTATAAGTTTTTATAATATAATAATTCTATAATATAAAGTTTTATATAAATTAATATATAAATTATTGCCAGCCAGCGAGCCACCTTGGCCCCGGCCCGGTCTAGGCGCGCCAGCACCTTAGTGTTGGCGCGGATGGCTGCGGCCAAGGCCGGGTCGCGACCGGCAGGGGCCGGCACGACCATGACCTAGGCCGGACCGGCCACGCCCCGGACGCGGTAGGCGTTGCCCTCGGCATTCGCGTTGCCGGCCTAGTTGCAGGCGCGGTGGATAGCCGCCATTAGGCAGCCAAACTTAGCGTTACCTAGGCCTAGGGCTAGGCTATCCCTAGTGTAAGCTAGGAGCTAATCCTAGGCAGTAGTAGCTATAGGCTTAATATTATTAATAAACTATTAATAAGTTAATTAAAATTAAACCTAGTTAGGCTTTAGACTAGAATTAAAAAGACTTATTAATATATAAACTTTATTATTTTTTATATACTTAGTATATATAAATATATTAAGATTTAAGACTAGATTAGAATAGGGGCTATCTTAGTATAGTATTAAGATACTTACTAGCCTATTTAAAGTAAGTAATAATACTAATATTACTTATATACTTAAGGTACTAGTTATAAAGGATTAATACTAGTTTACTTATAATAATAACTTAATATAAATATTTAATAAAGTAATAAAGGAGTAAAGAAGGTAGTTAGCTAGATTAGTATTAAAATAAAGGTAAATAATAAATAAGTAAAGGTTACTTATATTATTAATAATAATAATAGTAATATTAAACTAATAAAGTTAAGAATAAGATAAGGCTAGGTATATACTAAGGATAAGGTAACTTACTATAGTAGTAATAATAGTAATAATTAAAAAATTTATTTTTCTAGAAAGTATTAATAATATTAAGATAAAGCTAGGGATAGTCTAGGTATAGCTTAAAAAGGTATATAAAAATAAGAAAGAAAAAAGTATATAAGTATAATAATAATAATAATAAGAAATTAATAAAAAGGAAAGTTAATATAGTTTAGTAATTAAAGTAAGAATAACTTAGCCTAAATAAGGGTAAAGGTAATAATAAGGTATAGTATATATACTAAAAGTAAAGAAGATATATAATTATATATTATTAAAAGAAAAAAGAAAAGAATAGAAATTAAAGAATTTAAGGCTTTTTAAATATTATAATAAATAAGCTAACTAACTAAATAGTAAGCTAAAAATAATAATAATTAAATATATATAGTTATAACTTTTTCTTTACTTAGTATAGTAAATATAGTAAACTATATAAAGGCTAATATAAATCTAGGGGTTTTAAAGAGATATAGAAATATAAATAAAGTAATTATAAAGTAAGAAGTAGAAATAGGTATAGAAGTATATAAAAGTAGGAAAGTAGTAAGGCTATTTTAACTAGTCTTAGGTTAAATAAAGCCTTATAAAGAGTAAGGTTCTTACCTATTTAGTATAGATAATATAGAAAATAAACTATAAAAGCTAAAATAAGAATAATAAAGGTAGGTATTATAGCCTTCTATAGCTATTATTATACCTATTTAAACTTTAAAGTATTTAGGGATTAGGATTTAGAAGGGACCTTAACTATATATAGTACCTAGCCTAGGCTAAGATAGGGCTATAAAGGGAGGAGGTTAAGGGGGTTAAGTAGGGAATAGGTAGGTTTATTAACTTATTAAGTTTTATATATTTATACTTATTATTATTATCTTTTATTAAAATAAAGAGTATACTACTCTTTATTAGGAATTACTTTAGGATTATACTAAACCTATACTAGAGCTAGGGTTTTTCCTCTAGGTACTCTAGTTTTTTCTCTATTTTATAAGCTATAAAGGTATTAGATAGACTAGCTAGTCTAATTAGTATAATATAATAATAATAATAATATATAAATTATTAATTTAAATCTAACTAAAAATACCTTAAATAATTTTTTTAAAAGTTAAATAATATATTATATTTTATAACTAATTTATAAAGAAATATAAATAAAGTAATTAAAAATAAATAAATTTAAATATACTAATTAAGCTATTTTTTACTTATTTAATATCTTTATAAATTTAATTTAAAAATAAAAAAACCTAATTAATTAAAAAAAAACCCTCTTCTTTTTTTAATAATATTATTATATTTAATATATATAATAATAATAATAATTTTTATATACTAATTAGGCTAAATAACCTATCTAATACCTTTACTAATTATAAGATAAGGAAAAACTAAAGTATTTAAAGGAAAACCTTATCTATATTTTATAGAATTTATTATAATTTTATTTTAAAGTATATAGAGGTTTAATAAAACCCCTTTTAATACTATATATTAGGTTTTTATCTATATTCTAACCTATATCTAGCCTATACTACTTTAGCTAACTAAGCTTATTAATTACCTTCTTTTTTTTAGGTTTTTATTTATATTAAAAAGGCTATATTTAATCTTATATATTTTTAAACTAATTAAGCCTATTATTCTTATAACTTCTTAACCTTTTAATTCTTTTTTCTTTTTTTATTTTTATTTATATTAAGAGGAATTATATTTAGCCTTATAAGTCTTTAGGCTAGTTAAGCTTAACTATTACTATAGCCTTCTAGCTTCCTTAATACCTTTACCTCTTTCTTTAAGAGTTTCTAGTTCTTATCTTTACTTACTATCTGTTAAGGGCTGGGCTACGGAGCCCGCCCTGGTCCTTCTAGAGTGGCTGGCGCGGAGCCCCTAGGGGGCCCCTTATAGGTATAACCAGACAACAATCGTGCTAGTATTGTTATTATGAATCCTTTTGGCCTTATGGTTAAGAGGGTTGTGGCCGTAAGGCTACTAACGGCTGTGGTGCTGGTTACTACTAAAGCCCCTGTGGGGCTAGTCTATTACATACAACAATACTAACCTAGGGTTATAAGTTTAAACTATGGCGTGTGTAGTTATGCAAAAGGGGCTGGCGTACACGTTTTAGCCTAGGCTCACAGGCTAGTAGATTAGAGCCTAGGGGGTTTATAGCCTATCTATAGGCGCGCTAGGGAGAGAGAGGGTATGTTAAGGGCTAGGCTATAGAGCCCGCCCTGGTCCTTCTAGAGTGGCCGGCGTGGAGCCCCTAGGGGGCCCCTTATAGGTGCAACTAGACAACAATTATGCTAGTATTGTTGTTATGAATCCTTTTGGCCTTATGGTTAAGAGGGTTGTGGCTATAAGGCTACTAACAGTTGTGGTGCTAGTTGCTACTAAAGCCCCTATAGGGCTAGTCTATTATACTATCCTCTTTTACCTTTAATACCTTATACTTTATCTATATAGGTCTAAGGTATATCCTATAGAGGATATTATAGTAGTATTTCTAGGGGTTACCTTTAATTCTTACTATTATTAGCTTATATTATATAATAGGACTTAGTAAATAAATAAATATATTTTCTTTATAACTATTAGCTCTTAATAGGGGCTATATAAAAAAAAAATAGTTTTTATTTAAATAATATTAGGTTTATATTTAATATAATAAGATATTAATATATAATAATAATGTCGAGGTGGCAGCCTGGGAACCTGCTAACCGAGAATACTGAACACTATTGAACCTACCAGGAATTGTTACGCAATAGTAGATTGGCACGCAGGAGAGGCTGGTTTTCACCCGGGCCGGGATAGTGCCTAGTATGGTAAGGTACGGGTACGAGTCCGCTGCTACGGTTTTTCCAGTACTCACAAGTTTATCAAGGTACTAGAAGAACCATAAGGTCTAATTAGGGTAATTGAATAAATAAATAAATATATAATAATAGTTTAATAATATTATAATAAAGAAAAATTATATATTAATTAAAAAATATATTTAAAACTTTATTAGAAAATAAATCTTATAAATATAGATATTTAAGTATTTATCTAAATACCTTAATATTTATAAATAGTTTTAGAGTTATTACTTATAAATACTTATTATAATTATAATTTAAAGTAAAATTTTAATATAAATTATTTATAACTATTATATAATATACTTTTTAAAATAATATAGCTAAAGTACTAATACCTACCTTTTTAATACTAAAGTTACTAAAGGTACTATTATATTAAGAACTAGCCCTAAGGTATTTATAGATAGGTATTATAATAGTATTAACTCTCTTATAGAGTAAGAAAGGAGAAAAAGCTAGTCTATCTATCTACTATAGTATATAAAAGGGGCGTACTAAGGGTATACCTATAGTAGCCTTAGGCTAAGCCTAGCCTAGAGTAGGCTTAAGCCTAACTCCTTTATTACTATACCTATAAACCTTATACTACTTATAAATATAATATATAACTAGTAGTATATAAAATATATATAGGCTATTAAAGACTAGCCTTAGGATATTTATAGATAGGTGTTATAATAGTATTAACTCTTTTATAGAGTAAGAGAGGAGGAAAAGCTAGTCTATCTATCTACTATAGTATATAAAGGGGACACGCTAGGGGTATGCCTATAGTGGCCTTAGGCTAAGCCTAGCCTAGAGTAGGCTTAAGCCTAACTCCTTTATATAAGCTAAAAATTATAAGTAGTAATTTTAAAAGCCTAGAAGAGTATTCTACTTTAATAGCTATTAGGTATAAAGAGGATATATAGTGACTTTCTTTTATGTTAAGGCTAGTGGCTATTATAAGTACACTACAGTGGGGGGACAAAAGTTTCGCGTCAATCCCCACCGGCCCTTATGGTGAGGAACACGGAACTTGTAGTGTTTTACTCTTGTATAACCACCTTTTTTATTAGCTGCACTAAGTGGGTTGAAGTACCACGCCTACATTATTTCAAGGGGTAGACTGTATACCTGCACGCAAGTTCATGGCGGCCGCCGCTTGAGGACACATGATGATGTTCGCTTCTTCCCAAAGGATGCTGATTACTCCTTGCCATTTTCGTATCGTCGGACTGCGAAATGCACAACGCTCCGTTCAAACAGCTTCGCGCTTGAAGTTGGCTTACGACCTTCACGAACCCCTGAAGCCACGAACAACACCAGAGGATGCGCCAATTATCTTTCTGCATGGCTTGTTTGGATCAAAGAAAAACAATCGGGCCATGAGCAAGTGAGTGCTTATCACCCCGCGCCTTAGTATGGCAAATGCTGACAGTTTGTAGGGCACTGGCCCGTGATTTAGGCAGATATGTATATGCTGTGGTACGATGGTATCGCAAGTTACCCAAGAGCGACTTGATTAACCATGTTAGGACCTGAGAAATCATGGCCAATCCCCTCATGACAGACGGCATGACTACCTGTCCATGGCTGAGGATGTCTTCGGCTTCATCAGTGATCGTGGCCTTCAGAATACCACCCTGATAGGTCACTCAATGTAAGTTGTATCGGTGAAGACTCGAAATCCCGATGCACTCAATCACTTACCATGACCCTCTGTGAATGCCTAGGGGAGCAAAGACTGCTATGGCATTGGCTCTACAGTTTCCTGGCAGCGTAGCGGACATTGTTGCCGTCGATAATGCCCCTATAGATGCATTTCTGGGCTCTGATTTTGCATCCTACATCCGTGCCATGAAGAAGGTGGAGCAGTCTCACGTCATAAAATTAGCAGAAGCAGACGAGATACTGCAAGAAGTAGAAAAGGTTGGAAAAATTCGCGCGATGGTCCTTGGCGGCGCCTGTTTGAGGCTAACCTGCTTACAGTCGCTTGCGATCCGGCAATTTCTTCTGGGGAATCTTCATCGTGAGCCTGGTCAAAATATTCAGACATTTCGAATTCCTCTTGATATCCTGGGTGCTGCTCTGGGCCACTTGGGTGATTTTCCCTTTAAAGACCCAGGGCAAGTTCGGTTTGAAAAGCCGGCTCTATTCGTGCGCGGCACAAGGAGTAGATACGTGCCTGATGAAGTGCTCCCCACACTGGGACAATTCTTCCCCAAATTTCGTCTAGTAGACATTGAAGCTGGTCACTGGCTTATTTCAGAGCAGCCGGAAGAGTTCAGAGAAGGTAAGCTATCATCCTCTTGTTCAAGCGACAACACAACTCTGCTAATACAGCCCCAGCTGTCGTGGAATTTCTGCAAAAGCACAACTGAGTTGTACATCTCGCAGACGACAATGAGGTTGTTTCTTCTACACTGCATATACGGTCTTTGCTGCCCATGAATTGAGCGGTTGCGACATGTAAATCGCTACTACAAGGAGACACCACACAGGTGAAATTGACCCGAGACCAGAAGCTGTCAACTGAGAATATCCTCATTGGAATCACTAGGTACTCATCAGATGGCGCGAATTTCACATCTATTCGTAAACTTCACTCGGGTAGCCCCCTTTTTGTAGAACAAAAAGCCTTGTGCCGTATCATTAGCGACATGATCTAACCCCTAGCCGCCGTAGAGACAATACGCCATTTGCCATGACCGAAACAATGCCTAAGTGAGGTCTCAACCTCGGGGCAGCGTAAAAATTTTCCCACATGTTTTTCATTTTCACATTTAGACCTCCTCCAAGACACGCTCCTTGAACTCGCGCTCAACCTTCTGGCCCTGGTCATCCGTCCCCGACTCGCCATGAAGAGCCATCAGTGCACCCAGGTCGAACTTGGGAGCCTTCAGAAGCTTGACCTTGCGGATGTGTACCTAGAGTTACAATTAGTCTTGCGCTGTACATCATAGTTTGAGAAGCCAACATACGTTCTGCAGGGGGTAGATGCCTTGGGTAGCCTTCTCGATCTCGCGGCCGATCACCTCGGGGATGAGCTTAGAAGTGAGCTGGGTGAGGGTGCAGGTGGAAGCCTCGCGCTGGATAATGTCGGTCATCTTGCGGCGGATGGCACGGATTTGGGAAGAAGCGGCATAAGTAGTCTTCTTAATCTGGTTCTGGCGGCGTTTGGTGAAGCCGATGGCGAAAAGACGAATGAGGTAGTCATCCGTGGTCTTGACGGTGATGTTGGCCTCAATGAGGGACTGCCACTTGCGGACGAGAGAGCGCAGCTTGTCGGATGTGAAGTCGAGACCGTGGAAGTTGGTGAGGCAGCTCTTGCCCTGCACCTCGTCAATGCGGAGGCGAATCTTGCGGAACGAATGATCTTCATCCTTCTGGAGGTCAGCGAGGGAGACCTCGACAATACGTCCCTTGAGTGCGTCATTGGCATTCTTCAGACCGGTGGTACGGTTGACGAGAGTCTTGCCGACACTACCAGAACGTATTAGTTTCGGCTGCATCGTCGGTCGATTGTCGCGTTGTGTGTAGAACTCACTCTCTGATGTTGAATGGGTTAGGGGCCTGTATAAAGGTTGTTAGTCCCAATTGCGACAAGGTTTTAGCTGTCGAGGTATCTGACCTTAATGGAGTACCAATCTTTGCGGGAGAAGGGGTCGACAGTCTTCTTCTTGAGGCCCTTCTTGCCCTTGGAGAGTCTCTTGTTCCTGAAGGAAGGTTAGCATCCCGAAAAATGAAAGATGGGTTCGGATGTTCCTACTTTCCAACCGCCATGATTGCTGCCAAGTGTATTGAGCAATTAGAGATATCAAGGATGCAAACGATGAGATGGAGGGGGAGAATAATTTCAATTTCTTGTGTGCACCAGCTTAGGCCTAAGCGAGCCCACAAATAATCAAGTCGGCGGCCTGTTTATCCGGATCCACTAACTAGGTAGGTTTTGTCGGAAGCTTTCCAGTTATCACGTGATCTACGCCCAGCAAGTTTAAACACGCTTTATTCTGCAGTAGTCGGCTCTCCAAATACCACCTAGATGATTTTTTTAAACTCCAATTATACCGAGCACATTACAGGAACCTCTCCAAATCCCCCTTGAAAAATTGTTTCCATTGCATGATATAGGCTATTCAACGATATGACCGGGGGCATAAGCTTGTCCACATTCTTCCTACAAGGGCCGGCATCGCTCACTATCACTCGGGCGGCCCGACTTCCCTGGTTTGGCCATGTTTGGTTATCGGCTGCACCTGCTTTCCATGCCACATCTGTCGGTGCAGTCAATGATCGAGGCTATGTGTCATCATTAGCGAGACCCGACGTACAGGTAGGTGAAACTGGGACGTACTCTTCCCACATCCTGCCCTGGACAGACTGGAGTTCTTCCGACGTCAAGCGTTTGCCGGCAGTAAAATATCCTGCCGCTTGTTAGGGCTGTCTCTTGCACATTCTCGCACTAGCACCAACCAGCGGTAATTTTGGCGTCAATCTCTACACGCGAATCTGCGGGGATCAGTTCGTCGGGTAGCTCGACTCTCTCGCGGATAGGGATTCTACCGAACCAGTCAGCACCACTAGCTACTCGATACCTATGAGGTGGTATACCCTTGACCGACGATGGCATCGTGCTTCATGCTGTGGAACTTCATTCAGTATAAGTTCTGTGAAAACGGCTGTGCTCTAGCTCACTTGCTCATGCTAAGCATGCGATCGATTTTCTTGACGCCGAGCCAGTGGAGAATATCGGGCATCAGGGCCTGGAACCTCATGTCCTTTACTCCAGCAATATTCTCTGTGCGTGTGAAGTAATCCGAAGCTCGATCAGCTCCACGCTTGCGGGCATTGTAAACCACTTTGCCAGTTAGTAGAGTAGAGACCTCGAGTCCATGCGTCTGCCTTACAATACTACAATAAAGATTAGCAGCGCTTCAGTTGCGTGGAAGAATGTTCATGCGCCTACTTTGGTCACCTCGCCGAGGGCTCGTCCTTCTTTTCTGAAATAGATGACGACACCGCTGCCCCCATTTTGGGCTTCCTTTACTGCCTCTTCTATACCGAAGATCAGGTACGGCCGGCAGGTGCAGATATCCGATCCAAACACGTCGCTTCCATTGCACTATACACAGGTTACCAGTTAATCCTGCTGATCGTTGCCCAGTCACTCAAGGATACATACCTCATCATGAATTCGCAGCGAGAGACGGACAGACTCGTCCGACATTTTGCTGGGATCGCCAAAACAGTAAACGGTAAGGCCTCCTTTTCGAAAGTCAGTGCATCATGCTGTTTACCGTTGCATCATCTCTGGGAAACCACGAACCTATCGGTGGAAGGAAAACCTTGATATCTCCACGAGTAATCAACTGAACGCAACTGTGAGTTTGGTGTTGGGTGCCATTGGAATCTGAAATACTTACCTCCGGATAGCTACCGCCCGTGTGTTCGAACAGCGAACGGCGGAGAGTTGCTTCGTCTAGGCAGTAAACATGGGTAGTTAGAACGAGACAATTCAACAAATGACCGGAGGTTTTACCTATTCCAAATCGCTCAGCGACACCTGGGAGATACCAGACCTAGAAGAGGTAAGCTCAGTGCCGGACCTGACGGGCGCGGTCGGTTCGTACCGGTTCTACCGCAAATTTGGTGACAGCCAATTCTCCTTGCTCATTCAAGCAAACTTTTCCATCGGGAACACTACCTTTGATTAGCACGGTTGTTAACTTAAGCGTTCTGCTCCTACATACAGTCTGCCGGATCGGACGCTCTCTTCCAACTCCGGGAGCTGTCAGGATACGAAAGGTCGGTCAGTAACGCAGGAGCCGATGTGTTCTTTCTCCGTTGAGACTTGCCTTCATGTGCGCTTTTGTTATGGCAATCGTTGGTCGTAGGTCAACTGGACAGATATTTAAAAATTGCTCTTTCAGGCCGGCGTGATTTGAAGCACACCATTTTCTTTCTGCATGACGTCCTTATACTGCCATGGTGTAAGATGGCCCCATGGATCCATAGCTACAATTTTCTTCTTATCACCCCATTGAGGAAAGGGCCCGATATTTGCGGCAGGTTCAGTATTGGTGAAATCAGGTCTATTACTTCGTCAGAATGAATATTACGATGCTAGGCTTCAGCAGTACCTGTGGTCCGTATTCAGCTCTTTGCTGGCGACTGCCAGCGCGTAGTACACCGAGTAGGAGCCGCCGCTGCGAGACGATGTCAGTGCTATCACCACGCCGGCACTAAGAATATGCTTACTGTGCTATAATACCGGTTAGTCTTGGGTCGCTTCGAACCGCGTGAGCAAAGGATATACTTGCCTCCGACAGCTGTCAAGCTCGATAGATGATCAGTATATGCGCCTTGCAGTTCCAGTAAGGGTAGCAGGAGACGAACCGTTTCTCCGGCGTATAGTACTTGGGAGTCGAGAAACGACAACGGGTCCTCGCTTCTCGGGGTCTCCGTTTCCCCAGTCGAGGGGAATTGGGTCGATACCAATCTGCTTTGGATACGTGCTGGCCTAATAAGCTTTTCATCGTCACGAATTGATACAGCTGTACAATAAAAGCCTACGTAAGCACGATCCGGGACGTAAAGCCCGACTTTTGAGACAGTGACGCAGGATTCTGCGGTTCTGGTCCTGTCTCGCTGGTGTCATTTTGGCCGGAACCCCTTGGGTCTCCCGGAAATGCGGCCGACAATGTAGTTGCGCCGGTTTGTTGCTGCATGCTGATGGCTGCTGTGAGCGTATCAACAGCCGCAGCCAGCTGAGACTGCGCAAGTCGAAGCTCGCTCAGCGAGCTAAGGATGTTCTGGTCGTCGCCTGAGTGTGCCATTGGAGCCTCTTGTTAGACTGAAGCTTTACTGTCTTACCACAATGCTGACAGGAAAATATGGTGCAGTTCACGTCGTCAAAGTCTTGGGCGTAGGACGGAGAACGAGCGTGTTGTGATCAAGAAGAGGGGAGAGACCAGAGAGGGGAAGGTCCTCTGGCTGCACAGTTGATAATCGGCTGCCTTAAAAGCTCCCGGTTGAGTACGCCACGCCAGGTGACCGCCACAACGCTAAGGCACTCAACAGATCGGCCAATTACGAAAGCAGGATACCGATACCAGCCCAATGACCGTGGAGCCAAGGTTAGTGTCGTCTTACATGGTGTCTGCCTACCTACGCGAGTAAGCGCCTGTTTTCTTATAGGGTTTTATATAGATCTCTTATTTAATATACAATTTCCCCCTATTATTATATAATAGCTACTATTATATATTAAAAAAACATTATCTATTTTCTATTAACTATATTAAATATATATATTAAAAGCTAAGCTATACCTACTTTAGTCTTTTTAAAATAGCTAGTATAAAGCTCTTAAGAGGCCCCTTATAAGTATAACTAAATAATAACTATATTAATATTATTATTATAAATCCTTTTACTTTTTATAATTAAATAAGTAAAAGGGTTATTATTATAAAACTATTAATAATAAATATTAGTTATTATTAAAACCTTTTTAAGCTAATTTTTTTATATATTATAATATTAATCTTAAAATTATAGGTTTAAATTATATAATAAATAGTAACTATAAAAAGAAAAAGTAAATAAAGGTTAGTATTATATATAAATCTTAGCTTAAGTTTATAAGTAATTAAATAAAACTTAGAAGATTTATAATCTATTTATAAGTATATTAAAAAAAGAAAGAGTATATTAAAAGCTAAGCTATATTTATCTTAATTCTTTTAAAATAGCTAGTATAAAACCTTTAAAAGGCTTTTTATAAGTATAACTAAATAATAGTTATATTATTATTATTATTTATTTATTTATTAAATTACCCTAATTAAACCTTATAATTCTTCTAATACCTTAATAAACTTATAAATATTAGAAAAACTATAATAATAGGTTATACTAGTACCTTATTATACTAAATATAGACCTAAGACTACCTAAATAAAAACTAGTTTTTTTTATATATTAATTCTACTATTATATAATAATTCTTAATAGTATTTAATTATATTCTTAATAAATAGGTTTCTAGGCTACTACTTTAATATATATTCTTTTATATCTTTTATTAATTATTAACTATTTAAATATATTAATTTACTTACTATTTATATATATATCTAAATAGTAAAATAGTCTTTTATTATTAGTATTTTTTATAAGATTATATATTATAGTATATATATAGTTTTAGCTTTATTTTATTAATTAAGAATTAAATAGTATAGTAGTTAGTATATATTATTTTTTACTTTTACTTTAGCTAACTTTATAGTTATTTTATTTATATTATCTTTATTAATTAGTTATAAGAATAGGCTATACTATTTAACTTTTAAAAGAAAATTATTTAAGGTACTTCTAGCTAGATTTAAACTAGTAATCTATATACTAATATATATAGAACTCCTTACTATAGAACTATTATACTATAAAGGCTTAATATTATTATTATAAATCCTTTTACCTTTTATAGTTAAGTAGGTAAGAGGGTTATTATTATAAGGCTATTAATAGTAGTAATACTAATTATTATTAAAGCTTTTCTAAGCTAGTTCTATTATAACCTAATAGTATTATAATAAGGGAAAATTATATATTTAGTAGAAAAAGTATCTAGTAAGGGTATTAATAGGTCTTCTATTTAATATATTATTTTCCTTATTATAATGCTATTAGCTTGCTACCTAGTATGTGGTAAAAAATCTTATATTTTTATAAGCTGTATTATATACCTTATAGCGTTGCTAGTGCGCGAACCAGGTTACCCAACTATCAGAGTAGTTCAGGTGCGGAGTACAGAGTACTAACTACTAAGGTACTGGCCATAAGTTCTACCTACTCCGCTCAAGGCCATGCGTGGGACACCTGCGAGCTACGTATGCAATATGCGGGTTGTGATAGGTGGTGATAGAATACCTATGCAACTAACGCGTGTGTCTGCCCGCGAAGGCCTCCCGCACTGTGCAGGGGCTCGCGGAACACTTCTAAGGCTCAAACACCGCCAAAGTACAAACGAGCACTTCGGCGCAGTCAACATGGGCAAGCGCAAGTCGTCACGGAAGCCCATGGGTCCGAAAAGGGTAAGGAACTCTGCGTGAGCGCATCAAGAAGAATTGTATTCTAATAGTAAATAGGCCGATCCGCTACCGACCACATTTACGTGCCTATTCTGCAATCACGAGAAGTCAGTCACAGTGAAGCTCGATCGCAAAGCAGGTGTTGGCCAGTTGGATTGCCGCATCTGCGGCCAAAAATTCCAGTGCGCCGTCAATTGTACGTCAGAATTTGTTACAGTATGCTGCGACTACTCGTTGATATTAACCTGTGCCTATAGACCTCTCGGCCGCAGTGGATGTGTACGGAGAATGGGTAGACGCGGCTGGTATGACATTTCCCGAACCCGAACGACTCGCATACACTAACCAGCAACGCAGAGGCGGTCGCGAAAGAAGACAGCGCACGCGCTGGCTATACGGGCACGGCAGGGGCGACGCCCTCAAGGCGAGATCGAGAGGTGGAAGATGCGACAAGCGACCGTGAAGAGTCTCGCCGATACGGCGGCGAAGGCATCGGAGCGGACGACGAAGACGATTGAGCCTTCGGGGATTCTCTCGCGAATCCCCGCTCATATACCCCCAATTCCAGCCACAGGGCAATTAGCCCGGCTCTCCGCGAGCCAATCGCAGCCACCTACATGGTATAGAAGCGATCACCAAAGTCGCCTAGACCAGGAACGATATAGCTAAACAGCAAATGTCAGCACTGGATTATTTGTTCAGAGCGAAGGTGTTCTATCCGCGCATACTTTTTTTCATCCAAGCCCTACATGTCCGGGGTCAGCATTCGTCATCGGGCAAGAGAGTTACACTAATAGACATATACCTCGTCAATAAATGCCGTCACCACTTTAAGCCGAGGGAATTTTTCTACGAAGTTGTTGATACCCTCAGGGCTGGCAATCAAGTTGAGGAATAAGATTCTGTCCTCGGGCACGCCCTTCGCTTTTAAGACCTGGACAGCCATGATGGCCGAGCCACCTTGCACAGTTAGCCGCTTCTGCGTGCATGATCGCTGCTTTATCGTCGCGTCCCCTCTTACCTGTGGCAAACATGGGATCAAGAAGCATGACCCAACGGTCAGCAATATCCTCGGGCAATTTGTCATAGAACAACTTGGGCTGCGCGGTATCTTCGTCGCGCTGGATCAGGATCTTGCCGATGCGAACGGACCGGCAGCAGTCTCTCAAGCCCTGTTCCATTGCTTCGCCAGCTCTCATAATGGAGACGCCACAAATCTTTCCCTGGAACATAAGTCCGTTGTAGACACGGCCGACGGGTGTGGTGATGTCGTGCTCTATCACTGGTAAGTGATTCAAGCCTTCCTCCACTAGCAATCGTATAATGCGGTTCGAGTAGAAGATGAAATCCGCGCGATCTGTTGCCTTGTTTCGAATAATTCTTGAGCACGGGAAGTCAGCCGATGCTCCCGTGATAGTGGAAGTGGTGTAATCTACTCACGACAAAAGAGCGATCAATTGTGGTGTCTGTGGTAGAACATGGACATTCTCAAACGAAACTTCTACGGACAGCGTCGCTTTGAGGCTTTGCGCCTTTCTCTCGTAGGTTTCGACGACATCTTTTGTCGTTACATGCTGTGTGCAGTTGCCCGCCATTTTGGAACTCTGTGCGTACGAGCGGTTGTTGGTGGTCAAACGTATGTGCGGTTTGGAAACTACAAGATATTAGTGAAGCCCATAGCCAAATTGTCGGCAAGATTCGGCCAATCAAAGAAAGCATGGCCCCTGCCCCCGCCTTCTCTATTATGTCTAGATTTTATGAGATAGATGTGTGAAAATATGTGCATCTGGCGGGTGGGCGCCCCCACTTTGGTTGGCACACTCGTGTTTATGTGTTCTGACAGTGTTGCGAAATCATAAGCTACAGTTTAGAAGTCGACAGCGCTGGTATAAAAATAGTGGGTGGTACGTGTGCGTAGTGCGTACTTTGCTGCTGTAAGGTCGTAATAAGAAAAACTATATACAAAAGTGTAGAGCCGGAATTAAATAACTAAATTGGGGGGGGTAAATACTTTAAGCAGATCTTAGGTCTTGCTTAACTTAGTATGTAGGTGCTCTATACTGCATTTATTTTATTTATTTTCCGACGTATCCTGCTGCCTAGTCAGTAGTTTTAGTGTTAGCCTATACGCCACCTGGTAATATTGTTATAGACTGCAGGAAGCTCTTTTTTTTTTCGCGGCTACTCGGTAGCCTAAGCACGGTGTCTACTTGCAAAAGAAAAAGAAAGAAAAAGGCCATATAGTAACAACAACGTCGGAATCGAAAAAAAGGCACCCTTTGTTAAGCTTAAAACCAACATCGCCTTTTTTTTCCCCTAATGACTTTGCATGCGATTCGGGGCTTCTTTATAGTTACATCTCTTTTCTCTTTTTTTCCCCTACCCTCCCCGCTAGCAAAGAACCGTCAAGAAATGCAACAATGAGAACCGCCTTGAATTACCGCTGCCAGATCAAGAAATTGCTATTAGGTGTGGTAAGCAAAATGGCCAATCAGCCTACTCCTCTGCTAGAAGGAGTCTTCTAAAAGAGATTGTAGGATCAGGACTGACTCAATAATACAACGCAAGCAACTAACTCTTCGGAGGCGGTATCCACCCACCTACATTAGGTTTGAGGGTCACGACAGTCGAGGCACTAAACTACTTCAATTCAATTTCTTGAGCATCTTATCTATTTATCTATTCAGCAAATAACCAATCGAACATCAATGGCTCCGCATGTACATTTCATCACAGGTAACTCCAACAAGTTACGGGAGGTGAAAGCTATTCTCGAGCCCGAAATCGAAGTACGAAGTCTTCCTATCGACTTGGAAGAAGTGCAAGGATCAATGGAGGAGGTAACACGGTCAAAATGCCAAAGGGCGGCAGACATCGTGAGTAGCTGAGCCTACTGGCACGAAACACCTGCGAGCTCTAATCTTGACGGGTCGTGTTTGCAGGTGGATGGGCCCGTGTTGGTAGAGGACACTGCGTTGTGTTTCAATGCACTAGGTGGTCTGCCCGGCGTCTACATGTAGGCGAGCCTTTTCATAACCCCCCCCCCTCTCACTCTGCCTTTCGAAGCAAACTGTCTTAACAATGTACTTCTAGCAAATGGTTCCTTTCAGCCATTGGTCTCGAAGGCCTGAATAACCTCCTAGCTGCGTATTCAGACAAATCAGCCGACGCAGTCTGTACATTTGGCTACTCAGAAGGCAGAGGCACAACACCAATTCTTTTCCAAGGTCGTTGCCCGGTAAGCGAAAGTTCTTCGCCAATCAGCTTTTCTAGCAGCCATCAGAGCTCGTTTTGACGCTCTATTTGCGTATAGGGCAAAATTGTGCCTGCACGCGGCTCGACACGGTTCGGTTCGTTGCTAAGGTTGCTTTTGGTATTCGATATATTGACAAAGAGCTAGGATGGGATCCAATTTTCGAACATGATGACAAGACGTAAGTCCTTATATATACTGTTCAGTAGCTGACCTGCTCCTTCTCCTAATATTGGTCAGCACTCGCAATTGTGTAGGCAAGCTGACACGATTACCTCCAGATTCGCTGAAATGGAACCTGAAGACAAGAACAAAATCTCGCACCGAGCTAAAGCGCTCGGCAAGCTGCAGGAGTACTTCAAAGAGCATGTAGCTGGCGCCTGAAGAGAGTTCGACCCATGTCCCATATCAATCTGTGGCGCCCGAATCGAGGCTGCCATTGGAAACTGTTAGATGGCAACGACCACGGTCTCTACTGCGGCACATACTACAGTAGTTCAAATTCGCTGTGCCTGCGCAAACTTTGGGGTCGGAGTCTATACGATTCAAGTGTATCTTGCTTCTGTCTGTGTGAAAGGGAATCGAATGAATGCGTGCTGTCGTTATAGCGACGTCCAGGGTCGAAGACCAGCAAATATCGTTCATTGTGTACGGTCTTTTCAAGGCCAACAATGGTTAAGGAATGGCCTGTGTAGTTTGAGCATAAGTTCGCGCATTATTCGGCACGCAACTGACCTGGACGCTGGAAATATATTGGAGGCAGCATGGTCCTCTGGACCTTGATACCGTCCTGGTTTAGATTTGGGCGGGAATGTTGAAAATAACAGTCAATGTCGTCGACGACTTGATCTAGTGCCAAACATTCGGTTGAATCTTGAAATCTTCGAGCACTACACCTGATGCTTGTCAGTCCATTTTAGATTGGCCACTGTTTATACGTGTCTTACTTGATCTTCAGACTGGAGAAGAGCGCCTGGGCCTTGTCACCGTGAGCTGTGGTCCCATACAGGCGATGTCGAATGTACGCACCTCCTGTGTCCCAATAAATTTTCTCGTGCCCTTGATACCGCCCGTTTCGTTGCGTCCTCTCGAGTTGTGGCCATTATCCCAAGCGTCCTCTATTTGATCCTGCAGTTGAAAGATGTCGGGTACACCATTGGGGAAAGCACGCGGGCCGGTCTCGGTTGCCAGAATAAGATAAGAAATAAGCATCTGGATATTTCGATAGCCGCAGAAACTGCCTGATCTAGTTGTTAAAGTCATGTCTTGAGCATTATAAGCTTATACAGCGTGTCTACCTTCACAACGCAGTTTTGTGGTACGGTGGATGGAAGGATGAGCCAGGGAAGCTGATCTTGTCTGGCTATTATCGTTCAAAAGATCATACACCATAGTTACCATCCCTTTTTGTACTTGTCAGATCCTGCGAGAACTGCATGTAGTGGTAGGCGATACTTGCCGTCTTTGCTATTGTCAGGGTGAGACAGGAGATAATGACGTAGCCAGGAGGGCATTTGCTCTTCATGCGCGAATTTCCCAAGCTGTTCCTAGAACAAATGTTGGTGCAAGGGAAAAAAAATTGCAGTGTACCATATGATACCTTCGAATCCGCTTTCTCCGGAGTGTTGCCTTGCTTTTGGCCGTTTCGATGTCCGTTTAATCGCCAGAGTTTCTGCCTGACGCGGGCAATGATTCGATCCCAAGGAACAGCGAAATGCCTCAACTGGTCTTCTGAATGGGTACCCATCTATATCAAGAATATATAGGATGTCGCCTGGGATGATTTTTGTGATGCGGCTGCCCTGTAAGTCGCTGGAGGTGAAGTGTTGCAGGTGCTCAGTTTTATGCATCTGGATTTCCCTGAGCCACCAACTTCGTGTGGGCCACTTATTAGTGACTTTATAAATTTGTCGTGCACAAATGCACATGTGAAAAAAAAACCTCTGGCGAGTCTACATATTTTATGCTGTCTGATGGCAAGTATACAACGCCTCCTTCTAGCTAGTTTTCTATTTCTTCGCTCGATGCGGCAGGGTCTTCTGGATGCCAGCGGCTTCCTTGGGTAGCTCACGCGCGAAAGGGATGAACTCCGGGGTGCCGGGGAGATATTTGCGAAGCGGCTCTGGAACGCGAATACCCTGTTCAAGTCAGCAGGAGGGCAGCCGTATCGTAAAGAGCTTCGGCTTACATCCTCGGTCTGGTAGTTTTCCAGGACACAGCATAGCGTTCGTGTCGTGGCGCACAGTGTGGAGTTCAGGCAGTGAACATATTTCTTCTTGGTGTCTGTTTGAGTCTTGGCACCAAAACGGATATCCAAGGCGCGCGACTGGTAATCAGTGCAGTTTGAACAAGAAACCAGTTCCTTGTATTCGCCTTGGTGGGGGAACCAAGCTTCGAGGTCAAATTTCTTGGCGGCAGCATTATTCAGCGCGCCGGAAACGATGGCGATAACCTGGTAAGGAAGTCCCAGGGACTGGTAGAACTCCTCAGAAACACCAATCATCTCCTCAAAAGCTTCCCAGGATTTCTCCGGGTCAGTAAGGACAAATTGCTCAACCTGTGTCTTGTTTAGCTAGTATTCATATGCTTCTGATCCAAGGAGCCGGTACCTTTTCGAATTGGTGGACACGATAGATGCCCCACGCATCTCGCCCATGAGAGCCAGCCTCTCGCCTATAGCAGGTACTATAGCCGGCATACCTAAAGAGACTGTTACTGGATCGTTCGAGATAATCATAGTCGAAATAACAATATACTTGATAGGTAAATCCTTGGCGATGAGCCATTCATCGGCGTGGAAGGCCGAGATTGGCTGTTCGGAGGTGGCAATGAGATATTTGTCGTTTGCCTCGTCTCCATCGAGAACCTTGTAGAGCTGCTCATCGAAATCGTCCAGCTGAGCAGTCTTGGCCATGTATTCCTTCAGCATAAATTGGGGGGCCTGCAGAGGGCAGTATCCCCGCTTGGAGAGAAACTCAAGTCCGTAGTTGATGAGTGCTTGGTTGAGGAACACACCCCACTGTCGCAAGAAGTAGCCGCGATGGCCGACGACCTTGACGCCACGATCTGGGTCGTAGCCATCAAGGCGAAGGAGCACTTCATGGTGAGAGAGCACATTACGTTTCTCGATGGCAACGCCTTCCGGTGCCCAAGTTCGTTGCACGGCATTGTCGTCCTGAGTGCAGAATTAATCAGTCGCCTTGCTTTTACGCCGCTCGCGTGATAATTATTACCTCGTTGTTGCTCACGGGTACGCTGTCGTCGACAATGTTTCCGACGGTCGAAATTTTTGCTCGGAGAAGCCTTTCCTTCTGCGCTGCAGACTCGGCGGTAAGCTTTTTTTCCTTTTCTAGCTCGATCTTCTGCTGTAGCAGATCGGACGCGTCTTCTTTGGCCTTCATTGAGCAACCGGTTAGTGTTTCAGGAATGCCGACGGAACAAATCATTACAGACAAATGTACCTTCTTTTTGGCTCCAATCAGCTTTTGCACCTCATTGATCTTGCTGCTGATTTGCGAGGCACCGTACTGAGCTGAAAAATTTAGCTGTTAGCAAGTTTTATATCCGAAGGAGACCTGCCCAAGTGCTGACTCTTTCGGTGATCCTCAAATAAAGCAATAACTTGATCGACTATTCCCTCGTCGGCGAAACGGCGACGCTGCGACTCTCTGATGCGGCCTGGATCTCCTCCGCGCTCCGTAATGAAATCGTTGACGTCGAGCATATTTGCCTAGTAGATGATTTCGAAAATGTTGAGAGGTGTTCGACAGTATCGCTTCCACTTTCTCACGTGTAAAGTCCTATAGTTGTTTGCGAGAGCGAAGTGGCAGAGAAGTGGTACCCCTCCATGGTGGGGTTTTGTGCCCTGCCCCTCTGACTCAATGAGGCAGAGTTCAGACTCGATTCTTCGGGCCGCAGATGTTCTACGGTATCGCTCCAATGACCTATCTCGCCGGAGGTCGGAATAGACGAAATTATATTGAATTAAGATGCACTCCCCACCTACCACTATGTAGCAATTATTTTAGGATAAGGGATTCTCTCTCCCGGAGCTGTATCCCTGCGGATGCTGCGGGGCAAAATTCTAAACAAAAGATCGTATAGTGAAATAACACAGGCATGCCATAGCGACCTTCCCAAAACAAATTACTCGTAGAGCAGATCTGAGCAGGACACGACCTCACATTATCAGACAGTTGCTCTTCTGCGGCGGTTCTCCAGGATTCTGTGACTTCTCGATTTGCTCTATTAAGACTTCAAAAGCACGTTCCACGTTTTCGTTGTATCGGGCGCTCGCTTCGGTCCAGCCGCATTGCAGCTTTTCGGATAGTCTCTTTCCATCGTCGGCACTGACTTGCCTCTGTTCAGGTCGTAGATCGCTCTTGTTTCCTACAATCACAATGGGGACCGATTCCGTCCCCTAGTCGGTAAGTTTGAGTTAGGGCTCGACATTCTCAAATTCTTAAGCTTAGTATGACTTTGAGTGCTTACCAGATGATTGAGGATCTTCTCTCTAATGACTTGGACCATCTCAAACGAAGGTAAAGAGGAGACAGAGTATACTAGCATGTAGCCATGAATACCGATGAAGTGCTTGGAATTTAAGATACTGTATTCATCCTGAATTTCGTGTTAGCGTTGACGAATGCGTTATGTGGTGTAGTAGAAGCGTACTTGTCCAGCCGTATCGACTATTTCAGTTGAGAACTCTTGGCCTTTGTATCGAATTATTTTGCTAAAGGTGTTTTCGATTGTTGGATAGTAACTGTCTACAAAATGACCGTCGACGTATTGAACCGCTAGTGACGATTTGCCTAGCCGGTATTAGATGCATTCGCTCGATTCCTTTGGCTCAGGGCTCTCTTACCTACAGACCGGCTGCCCACAATGGCGACTTTTCTCTGTTTCGGGGATGGCATCTCAACGCTTCGTTGCGATTTGACAACCGACAAGCAAATGAAGCCAGCATGAAACGGCCCCTGCTACGCCTATAACCAGAATTGCGGGCACTGATGCTGACGTAATGAGGTTTGTGTGGAGGTGGATATGTGCTCACATAACTACCTACCTAGGTACCTACCTAGGTACCAAGTACCTACCTACCTACCTAACTACCTGTGCTATTCTGTTTCCGGCAATTCCTGAGATATAGAGCAACAGAGACACCCACCACTCAGTCACCTCAACCAGATCGCAAATTGACGAGTTTCGCTTCCATATAGATATGGCACCATCCTTCCCCATGCGCTAGTACGCAGTGCTCCTCAACCTTCTCGCTTTAACATCCACGAAAACCCCGTCAACCTCCTACACAGAAGACCACTTGACCCAGAGGCTTCGAATTGCCCACAAACATCGTTCCGAAGGCTGCTACGTTGCGTAGGCGCAAGACACCCATAACGATGCAACCAGCCCAGTCGGCCGCGAAGCCTGCCCGAAGTGTTTTGCCGATGGCCTTGGATGCCAACGATGATGATATATACGACATACCAACTAGTCGCGAAACCACACCAACATCTCCGGCAAATGGGGTGTCACAAGCTGGCTCCTGGAGGAACCATGGTAGTGGGAAAAAAAGAAAGCATACCTCTGCGTTCTCCAGCGCGTCCAATATGAAGCGACCGCAACCTTCGCGACTTCAAAGCAGAGCTGCATCGGGCCCTGTACTCGTGCCGAAGAGAAGGTATGCATCAGCTACCCCGTTGCCTGCCAAGGACACGCAGCGAGAGACGCAAGATAAGGAGGTCGGGCTGTTGCCAGCAGCGGCGATTCAAGCCACGCGGGGGGGCAATTCTTCCAAAATCACGAAGTCAACGGAGCCAGATATTCGTCAGACAATGAAAGGAGTCCCACGCCGTCAGCGTCTGATCGATACCTTGGCCGCGCAAAGGGCCGAGAGCCCGGCCTCAGATCAGGAATCGAACCCAAAGTCATCTCCTGATGTCAGCACAGGTATTTCGAAGGCGCGCGTAACACACTCTCTCACGGACTCGACCAACAACCCCCCATCACCCCAAATTCGACCTGGGGTGACCAGGACACCTGACCGGCGGTCTGGACCCACCAAGAACAACAAAATAAAGTTGACTTATAGTAGCTCAAGGAGCTTCCTGAGTGCTTCCCAGAGCCAACCCGAATCTGGTGTATTCGACGATGGAGAAGGAGTCTTGCCGCAGGGCGAAGAAGACCCTTTTGCGGCCCCCTTGAGCCCACCTGCTGCCGACTACGACTTCGAAGACGATATAGACAGTCCGAAGGTTGGCATCCAAAGTGTTCATGAGCTTCGTCGCGCTGGCGCCAACAATCGGTTCTCGGACGAAATGGATGATTTACTGTCTCGGATCGGCAAACCGTCTGTAGCCCCTTCGCCACTCAGACGCAGCGCTCTCTGTGAGCTGGCATTCAAGTTGCAGCGTAAGGATTTTGCTGGCCAATTCCGTGATCACGCAGCCCGCGACAATGTTGTTAAAGCCATCGGAAGCGAATCAGACATCATAAGCGGATTTGCTCTCACAGCCGCGCTTGTTACGTTCTTGTCCTTCAGCCCAGCTCCTCATTTACTCCGTCAGCTGACAGTTGAGAACATCGGCCAACTCTTGAATCGTTTATTCCAAGAACGCCGAGATGTGTTGGAGATTTCAGCGCAGAAGCATTTGAATATATCCCGAATCACCAAATCTTCGCTTGAGGATCTGAAACTGACTATCCTGCAAATGGACATTTGGCACGGACAAAAGCCGGTATCGCTTACACCCCGCACACTTGCATTACAACTTCTTGTAGTCATCAGTCGCTCCGCAGATATCCAGTGTCTCGAGCATCTCACTGGTGACATAGAGCATGAGATTGTGCCGATGGCACAGGCCTACTCGACGGAGCGACCTCCGCGACATATCGACTATGTGTTGATAATACTGGCTCTGGAAGCCCAGTCCAATCTGATAAGCTTGGAAAGTGAAAGATATGCCACCGCTATCAGAGGCTGCCTTCGGGCGACTCTCAATACATGGTTGCTACAGGACGATATTTTGGATAATACAACACTCAAATTGGCAATCAACATAACCAACAGCGAAATTGGGGCATCTGTGTTCGACGATAGCTCATTGCTGTCAAAACTGGTGGCCTCGATATCGGAAGGCTTGGCTCAGATCCAAAGTACCGTCCAAGAGGGTACATTTCAGAATAAGTTATATGACGAGCTGCTCTTGATCTTGGGTATTCTGATCAACGTCCTTGAGCACTGTCCGCTAGCACGAACCTCTGTAGGTGGGCGCTCACTAGATACAGCTGCTGCTCTTTGGTTGGGTAACATGTCATTTGTCAACGACGTGAGTTCTCATGCCGATAAAACTTACTAGCCCACATGCTAACCGTTTCATAGGCGGACTCTGTCAGCAAGTCCAAGATAAGCGTTGCACTTGGTTATCTAGCTATTGTGCTAGGCTATTTGTACTTGACTGCATCGGGGCGCTCTCAGATGCGGAAACGTCAAGATTGGCCTGGGACACCCTATCTGGTGAATTCTATCGAAGACTTCCTCCGTATCTCGAAAACGATTGGGAATAGAACGCATGAGCTCGAGACACTCGTCAGCGATCTCCGCGTGCAGCAAGCATCTGGAGGCTGAAAAACGGTGCATGGGCAACGCATTAAAAAACACTGGTTTTTCCGGCTAAACTGCTGCATATTTCTGAAACAGTGGTGGCTAGAAGATATATGAATGTAATTCTCATTTGCATTCGCCGATGCTGTCTGTATTGGCGACACACACATGTATGTCTATGGTAACTATTCGTGTTACTTTTTGAATTTCATCATTATTAGCTTGAATTGAAGGAGCTAAGCCGTGGTAAGTGTGACCCAGGCTAATAAACTAATAGTTAGAAGTATTTTATTATTAGTGTGTGAATGGGCACCGTAAAAAGTACCTACATACCTACGGGCCCTGATCATGAGAAGAGATAGTGGGGCGGCCTAGTACTATCGATAACAGAGAAGAGAAAAAAGTTACCAAAGCTTGCTTGCCCTTGGTCTTCGCGATTCTGTACCAGAACAAATATCATTTTCTCGAGAACGAAATGGGTCCAGGACGTCGCATGAAGAGAAAGCAGGGTGCACCAGAGCCCCTGTCTGAAGAACACTTTGCGCGCTTGAAAAGAAAAGCCGGCATTCCTGTTGACGAGGATGAGCTCGCTGCCAAAACCACAACGCCAAAAAGACGCCGGACTGCCAAGAAGGCTGCGAATGCCACGAAGATCAAGAAGCCTCTAATCGAACCCAATATTAGAGGTGATTCTCCGGTACAGGAGGATCTCGATGATATATTTGCGCACGACGCGGATGAAAGATTCGGTGATGGCTTCATCGGCTCCGGAGACTCTGTCGTTGACTCTGACGAGGAGATTACCAAGAAGAGAGAGCGATTCGTATTTTCTGACGATGAAGACGACAGTGACAAAGATGAGGCTTTGACTGCCGCAAACATTGAGGGACTTTCGAATAAGCTCGATCTGCAATTGGAGAGAGAGCGCGCCGAGGCAGATGCCGAAGTTCAGGAATCGGCGCTGCAGACAAATTTGGATGGTGACAGGCCAAAGGTTCTGGGCTCCTTGGAAGAAGAGGAGGATGAGCCAGGAAAGTCAAATTCACTTCTTGCTCCCGATCTCCAACTCCTCCGCCAGAGAATTACGGATATTATAAGAATTCTTGGAGACTTCGCGAAGCTAGCAGAGGAAGGGCGCTCTCGCGCTGACTACACCTCTCAGCTCCTGGACGATATATGCGCTTACTACAACTATTCTCCATTCCTTGCCGAAAAGCTTTACAATCTTTTCACCCCCAGGGAAGCCTTTGCCTTCTTCGAGGCTAACGAGGCTCCGAGACCAATAGTTATCAGAACAAACACCCTACGCACTCATCGCAGAGACCTAGCACAAGCTTTGATCAACCGAGGTGTGACTTTGGAGCCGGTTGGGAAGTGGAGCAAGGTCGGATTGCAGGTTTTTGAATCGTCGATTCCTTTAGGTGCAACACCTGAGTACCTGGCGGGTCACTACATCCTCCAGGCCGCCTCATCTTTCCTTCCTGTCATGGCACTTTCACCTCAGCCGTAAGTTTTATGCCATTATCCGTACCAATGATATTTTCTAACGACGTTGAAGCGGTGAACGAGTCCTCGATGTGAGATTGACTTAGTACTCGGACCTTGTTGGTCGTACTGACCTGTTCCTAGATGGCTGCGGCCCCTGGTGGTAAAACAACGCACTGTGCCGCCATGATGAAGGTACGGTGACGCTTACTATGTGTTCTATCCAGATGTCGCTAACGAGTCACAGAACACCGGTGTCATTGTGGCCAATGATCCCAATAAGGCTCGTGCAAAGGGTTTGATTGGTAATATTCATCGCTTGGGTGCTAAAAATGTCATTGTCTGTTCATATGATGCCAGAGAATTCCCTCGTGTCATGGGAGGCTTTGATAGGGTCCTTCTGGATGCCCCGTGCTCTGGCACGGGCGTGATTGCCAAAGACCCGTCTGTTAAGACAAACAAAACGGAGCGCGATTTCATGACTCTACCTCATACCCAGAAGCAGCTTTTGCTGTCGGCTATTGATTCAGTCAACCACGCAGGCACTGGCGGTTACGTCGTTTATTCAACTTGCAGTGTCACGGTGGAGGAGAAGTAAGCAACCAGTCGGGGAGGCCATTGCGATAACTCCGCTAACAGATCGGCAGCGAACAGGTTGTGGCTTATGCTCTTTCTCGGAGACCTAACATTAGGCTTGTCGATACTGGGTTGCCGTTCGGTAAGGAGGGCTTCACAAGTTATATGGGCAAGACGTTCGACCCAAGCTTGAAGCTGACTCGCCGTTACTATCCTCATACTTACAATGTTGATGGCTTCTATGTTGCCAAGTTCAAGAAAATTGGACCTACGCCGGCCAACGCGTCTAGGAACAAGGCCGATGCTGGGGAGCCTATACTCCCCGTGGACAAGACTCCTGTTGTTGAGTCTGACCTTACAAACAGTGGTCGCGGAGCTTCAGGCGACGAGTTTGGTGGCTTTGATGAAGATGAGGACAGGGAATACATGGAGCGAGCAAAGAGGAGCGCGATGCGGCGCCGAGGCATCGACCCTCGCTCCCTGGATCGCCCTCGGGGAGAAAGGGAAAGGGCCAGGGCTGCGTAAACCTTTCGACCGTTTCCATCACCGTTGGGGTTTCTGTTGCTTGGGCTCCATAATTATGTTTTGTATGCACTACTTATTTAACCATTTCGCACCTGTCACTGTGTGGCTTGTCTCGCTTGGCCTGTTTCACCATTCCCGTAGGCTTGTTATTTGTTTGTACATGCTGCGAAATACTGTATGGGGTCGATGTTATTTATCAGTCGCCCAAACCTACCTCTGGCAACCGACGCTCACGCGCCGTCGCAACACTGTCACGGGTTGCTGCTTCCAGGTACTCGTTGTGTTCCATGTCATTTTATCCCACAGCTGGCCAGCTACATCACTAGTCATGGCGAAATCGTAACAACACAAAAACGGATCGCAATTTTGGTCTCGATGGGATGGGGTGGCGAGTTGTGGACGAGCACTACCCTGTAATGTGTATTTTGTTGCTCGGGTGGGTTTCCATCCAAACCCAGCCATGTATACTGGATGTGCTTGAGTACTCTTGGGGTTTCTGGTAACTGCGTGTGGTTGCAAATACCATTACTGGGGTTGTCGTTGTGTTGTTTTGGCCAGCAGCGGCACTCCTCGCAGGCAGCCAATCGAACGGGAGGGAGTTAACCAAAGACTAGCACAACCAACGTGAAAACAAGGCCACCATCGCATGGAAGACACCGTAATTTGAAAGTAGACTAATTAATTATTATCCGCCATCCATTGCTTGACCCATGCCTCAATTCGGTCCACGTTCGTCTCCATCTCATCAGAGGTGTTACTGGTGAGCTCGATGACAATCTCCTCGTCGTAGGCATCCCTCGCCTCCTGCAAGAGTACCTCCATAATCTCCGAATCCAGATTTTCCTGAAGCTTAGCCTCGGCATAATTTCTACGTAAATAAGTCAGAGAGCCCGCGCACAAGCATCGTATATAGTCCAACATACCTTGCCTTGAGTCGATCGTAGAGAGTGGTAGAGTCTACCCGAAGCACAACGACGAGATCAATCCAACTCCTCGGGAACAAGTCGCAAGCATGCCAGTCTATCAAACAGCCGCCCTGCTTCGCCTCGTCCTCGATTGCGTCCAGTAGCTAGTCGAATATAAGCATACACCGGGCACATCACCTGCCATAAACAACGCTCACCTTATCCTCGTCGACAATCCAGCTCTGATAGTCATCATCCCAACCATCATGGCAGTCCCTATCTTTGACGACTTGATTCACAGAAACATGTCGTAGCCCCAACCTTTCCGCCAGGCTATCGCAATGGGTAGTCTTCCCTACACCGGGGGTGCCTGTTATAATGATGTTCGGAGATTGCCTCATTTTCACCGACAAGAAAGGCCACTCAGCCAACAAACAAGCCAAAAAAAAAGACACAAGAATACGTCCCAAACCGAAGAGAAAAATCGTGGATGTAGTATGTGAAGTCCTGGTGAAACCTGTTGCGCCTTAGAAAAATGTTGACCTCGCACATAGATTTTTCCCAGCCCCACCCCAAAATCGCAAGTAGGTTGGGGCAATTTCCATCCAGCCAACTGCAACATTAAACTACACGCAGATTGCCATATTGGTATGCGACAAAAGATTACTGGCCGTGAGATTCATCCCTACATCATCCCTACTTTTATCTAGCCATTCTAGGGGCGAAATTCGAGTCCCAACATCAACACCAATGGTACATGCGAAACCAACTGTCATCAGCACATCGCATCGACATGCCGCGGCCACCCCAAAAGAAATACATAGTCGTATTCATTGCTCCGCCCCGGTATCCAGCTCATCAACCTCGGCTATGCTCGCAGGGCGATTGAACTCGTCACCTTCACCGTACTCCAGCTTCTCCTGCTGGGCAATGGCTTGTGCGGACACAATCTCAGCAAGGCGCTTCAAGCGCGGTGTTTGTAGCCCTAAAAATAATATGTCAGCTTACATACGTATCACCAGCCCCGCCCGTATCTACTTACAGGAAGGCGTATAAGTTTCCAAGGCAGTAATGGCACGGGGTTCCGCAATTTCGTATGGCCCGCTGTCGTCCATGTCGACGGCCTGGAGGAGGAGGACATCACTCTTCTCAGTAACGCGAGAAGCAACGGCCTTCATGATCTCGCCATTGATGGGCTGCTCGTAGTCAGCAACCAAATACTGATTCAGCAACTTCTGAATCTGATTTGGCGATAGCCTATTGATTGGTCAGTATTCCGTAGCTGCCAACCCGGTAAGGGGGCGGGCCACTTACATCCAACAAATATCTTGAATGATTTCAATGTCATTCAACGTTGCCTTCTTCAACTGCAATAACTTGGTAGCTTGCTGTGTGACATGTTAGAACAGGAACACACAGCGTCATAGCGATCAAATCCGCTTACCATTAAATGCTCCAGCTGCAAAGTGCCCTCCGGCATATCATGGCTCTTGCACCACTCTTCGATGCGAGTGATATTGTAGTTGATCTGCAAACCACGCTTCCAGGACAGGAAGTTTCGCCTCATCAGCAAGTCATTGAACGCGGTGACACCGACGAGACGCAAAAGTTCCGTGACGGTCTGCGTAATGATGGAATCCTCCAGATAGTAGGCCTTCATGGCGCGAAAGACGCTATTGAGCAGGCTCAGGAGATTATCCATGCTATATGCGGGCTGAGAGTTTGATTGCAGCAGTTTTCCCAGGAAACGATTACTCTCGCTTGTGATGAAGCCGGGCAGAGACTGCGATTCAATGATCGCAGGAATGATCATCTTATGAAGCTTCTTCTTGAGGACCTTCATCCAAGTATGATAAATATTGAACTCGAGGCTTTCAAGGTCGTGCTTAACAATCTCCAGGAGGCGATCGTATTCGTAGTTGTCCGTCTTCTGAGTCTCATACCAGTCCTCGGCCAAGAAAACGAAGGACAGCATTTCGTGGACATTTGAAAGCCAGAACGCGCCAGGGCTGATAGCATCGTCGCCGTCATGCTGCATAACTTCTTGCTGGATAGATTGCATAACGTTGGCAAGGAAGCGTTCGGATTCCTTCACAAAGCCATTGTTCCACATCTCGGAGGTAACTAAGTTGATTAAATAGGACGGGAAGAGTACTTCCTTGTCGGATGGCGGTGGGTTGCTGTTTGGCGATGGGATCTTGAGGTTGCGAATCAGGCCCATTGTAACTTCCTCGTTCAAACCATCCTCGTCTGCAAGAAGGGTCTCCAATTCCATCTCGATATTATCAACACCTGGAATAAATGTCGTTCCAGATAGGTTTTGCCTGTGAGCAGTGCTAGTAACGGCCATTGATACCGGGCGAGGGTTGTAAGCTCCGCTGAAGCGATCGACATCACGGGGCTCTGTGCCGGCACTGCGACGCTTCGGTTTCTTGGAAGAAACCAGATTGATGAGGCCAGTTGCCACAGACTGGGCCGGAGCAGTACCATTCGCCAGTTCACCATTGATAGGCACACTTCTCTTTGCGACTTCCAACGCGTCTCGCAGAGACTCTAGCTCTTGCTTCAGGCTAGAGTTGTCTTTATCCCTCTCAGTGCTTACTTGTTTGGCGGACTCCAGCTCCGAATTAGCTATGCGGAGCGACTCACGAAGTTCGCGTTCCTCTTCCTGCATCCGTTTGATGTTGGCGGTGGACTCGTCAAAGGCCTGCTGGAGTTTCTTCATCTCGTCTTCCATGGCCTCGAGGCGAGCCACGGCAATACCAGCCTGATTAGCCTCGGTTTGCAACTCCTTTGTTCGAGCCTCGAGAGCGTTGTGGCGATTCTTCCACGACTTGATCTGTGCCTCATAGCTCTCAACTTGCGAAATAAGGCCCTTGTTCTTCTCTTTCATGGAACCCAACGACTGGGTGAGTTCAACTACCTTGTTTTCGAGCTTGTATGAAATTTGCTTAAGGTCTCGGGCCTCTTCCCTGACTTTCTTGTACTCTCGGCGGGCACACCTGCCCCGCCAGAGATTCTGAACCATGACAACTTTCTTACGGTACTGTCTCCAAGATCGTTTCTGCAGACGAGACCTCCAAGCTCTCTGAATGACGAGAGCAGCATTACCGACGCGGGCTTCCATAATTGCTTTGCGACGGAGAAAGCCCTTGGCCACGGACTCAAACAGAACCACGTCGTTCCTAATGCGCAGGAACGACTTTCGCTGCTTCTGCCCACGCCAAACTCGCTGGATGGTGGTGGCCGCCCTGATCGTACGGAGTTCCCGGGCCTTCCGCCTTGCAATATAGGCCCTAGCAGCCGCTTGAGTGTGGATAACAGCGTCGCGGGCTTCCAAAAATCGGCGTCGGTAGTACTTTGCCTTTAGGTTCTTCTGAATCATCACGGCACATTCGTTCAAACGGTTGGTGCGAAGGCCCTCGAGGAACGCCAGCATACCGGCACGAAAGAAAATCTTGGTCAAGCCCAGCTGGTACTTATCAAGCCCCTTGCCAGTTGAAGTACCAAGGGCCTTCGTCAAGATGGCATTGGCCATCTGACGGATCTCAGCGGTCCATTGGCTGGAGCGAACCAGCATGTAGTAACGCAGAGCAAATTCCTCGAAAGTCCACCGTGTAGGATACCCCGCGCAACTGATTCGGACGGTCTCCAACACACCACAGGCGCGGAGCTGGCTGAGAACCATTGGACCTTCAAACTTCCAAGCTTCTTTGGCTTCATTTGGCTTGATGCATCTGATGTAATGAACATCTGTGTTGTTGATCGTGTTCATGAGCTCGATCAACGAAGATCGGAAGATACCGCCAAGGGTTGGTTTTCGATTGACAGCTACTCCGATTTTGCGCCCACCAGCTGGCTTCACGGCGTTTGAGGAGGCCGAAGCAACGTCTTTCTCACGGACAGCAGAAGCAGCATCTAGAACTTCTCTCAGGAAGGCGTTGCCGGTAGAACGGAGAACGGCCATATGCTCATCTGGGACAGTATCACGGTTCTTTTCGATAAACCCTTCGGATTCGTAGGTGACATCGATAGCGTAATGGCAAACCGTGAATGCGGTCTTGCCGAACCTGGGCTTCTTGAAGAATTGATGTTGCTTGTCGGTACTGAAGTTCTGATACAACTTGCTGACAAAACTCTCGTCGCTACCCATTGGAAGTCTAGACTCTTCATCAAGAAGTGAGAGTACGCCCATCTTGCCTTCGATCAAATCGATGCAGGGCTGATTGTCGGAGAAATCAATGAAGGTCCAATCTATCTGCTCCCTCAAATATTCTTCTTGCTCGAGTTTGAAAACATGTTGGTTGAACTCCTGCTGAAGCTTTTCGTTGGCATAGTTGATACAGAACTGTTCGAAAGAATTTTTTGCGAAATGCTCGAAGCCGTAAATGTCCAGGACACCGATGAAGTTTTTGACACGGTCGAGCACCTCAGGAGTAGCCAAGCTGTGGTTAATGATGTTGACTAGCCAGTCAAATAAACTGGAGTAGATAAACTTGGCCACGGAGTCGCGGACAACGACGGCCTGAGCTTGGGACAAGTTGGAAGTGATTTTCTCGCCTCGCGTGATCAGCTGCTTTTTCACGATCCACTTGGCAAACTCAGTTGCATTGATGCCCAGGATTTTGCAAGCCAGCTCTAGAGACGACTCTGTCGCAGCGAGTACACTGTCATTCCTGGAGGCCGTGATCTTGACATTTCCAAGGTGAAGTAAGCCAGCCAGAAGCCTAAATATATCGGCTTGTTGCTCTAGTGGAACGCCGATGGTCTGCAGACTCTTTTTTGTTGCCTCGAATTCAGCCTTATCGTCAACGCCGTCAATTGTAGGGCAGCCCCCCTGGTTCAAATAGCTGAATTTGTCGATGCTAAGAATATTCAGCTCTTGACGTTCTTGATCCGAGGCACCAGCAACAAGCTGATAGAAGATGTGATAGTTCCTCTCCTTTGACGGCTGAAAGACGAGGCGGGAACGTTCTAAAAGATATGTTCGGATCTTCGCGCCGATAATATTCGTCTTATCATCGAACATGATCTCGATATATTTTCCAAATCGGGAGGAATTGTCGTTTCGAGTTGTCTTGGCGTTACCGAATGCTTCCATAATTGGATTCGTTGCCAGGATTTGCTCCTCAGTTTTACTCATGGCTTCTGTGCCGCGTTTTGAACGGGCACCAGGGTTATCTGGAGCCTCTCGTGTAGCAAAGTAGCGCATGATGTACTTGGCACTGACAGTCTTTCCGGCGCCGGATTCTCCAGATACAACGACTGTTTGATTCTTGTTGTCACGAACCATGTCCCTGGAAAGTATTAGATCTACTCGGAAGCCACGTTCTCGATTTGGCTTACGCGAAGGCCTCCTCGGCGATGGCGAAGAGATGTGGCGCCTGAGTTGCACGGTGGCGACCGGCATAGACCTGCACCATACCAGAAACGTAGAGCGAGTCTACACGAGCGAAGGGATTGGTTGCAATGAGAACGATGCCGCTGTAGGTGTAAATCTCCTTCTGTAGATATCGTAGCCGAATAGCCTGTAACACTATTCGCAAAGCTTAGGTTAGATCGATCATTCAATGACGCGCGTGTCTCCATTCAGGGCCGTACCAGCAGGTTCGTTGAGATGCGAAAGATTTGTCAGGTCGTCACTGGCTTCAAGGATTGTCGGGTTCATCAAAGGAGGCAAGGCTGCGTCCGTGCCTGTTTGCAGTGCCTCGGCCGCAACTTCGATGGTTTTCGTCTGTTCAGATCAGCGTCGGCACCGTACCATAGCCATTGGGTTGACGAACCTCGCCATTTTCCAATTTAAATTCGAGCTTGACCTTTGAGCCGTCCTCGGTCTTGCTCACGAGCTCGGAGGCGACCCAGCCCTCAGCAGCGTCGGGCTGCCAAGCTTTGGTGCCGACATCGTAGGTCGACGCCATCGGAAAAGGAGTCGACGATGGTCGGTCGGTCGGTCGGTCGTCGGTAACTAGACGTGTTGAGGAGAGGTTGACGCCAATACAGAACAGAAGAAGTTTGCAGGTATGATGAGGTGACCATCAGCTGCAGCTCACACTGGACTTGGGAAGCCGCTGTCTGGTAGATTCCGTAGACCACTGGAGGTTGGAATGGAACAGACGAATCAAGGCCAACAGCTTGCCAAGTAGTGCTGAAAGGCAAAAAAACCAATAGTAGAAGAAGCGCTGGAACTAAGCACCCATTTGCGGGCTCACTTCACGATCAAGGGGTTGCTGTGGCGGGAACAAAAGGTTACCTGGTCTGAAAAGGAAGCGATACAAGCAGACAGACATACCGCGGCGGCGGTCACGGAGCACTGGAGCACTGGAGCAAGGGGCGTCACCGTTGGTTACTACCTACCTTAGTACCTACCTCCTACCAGGTACCTACCTAGGTAGGTAGGTACCGGTGCTCAGAGGCCCTGAACCGAGTAGTAGCCCCTGATGCCTCAGCTGGTCCGTGCCTGGTTACTGATTTAGTACCTACCCGGGTACCTGGGCGGTTAAGAGCGCCAGTACCTTAAGGTCCTAACGCGATAGTGTTACAGCCAGCACCAGTGTCTGTTAGTGCTCCAGCGTACCAATCTCCCACAGCACAGCGACGGTGCTCCACCCTGTGCTGGGACTGGGAAGTGTGACTGCCTGGGCGCAATCGAAAAAAGGGGCTCATGGTGTCTACGTTCGTCGGGCCCCTATTAACTAGAACCTCCAAGGTACGGATCTGTATCTGTCTACGCTTTGAATGCTTCATTAACTAAATAGGCCGGTGTGCTTGCACAAAATTGCTCACTGAGCTATGACCCAAGTCCCTCCCCTCGTCCTCTGTAACAACAGTCAGTCAACCGTGGCAACAAAACCCCCCCCCCCCCCCCACTGATTTTTTTAAAAGGTCACCGAAATTAGGGGAGTAACAAGCTAAGAATAGCGAGCACGGGCTTGAAAACAAGGGTCAGTCCCAGAAAGCAATGAACAGAGCTAGATGATGGACGTACTGAATGACAAAAGTTCATGAATAATATTCCCTAGTTGATACTTTCTAGTTGAGAGCCCCAGTACACCAAGAAACTCCTTGGTTTGCTTTGCCGAGATGGGCTGTATAAAAAACTCCTACGGTATAGCAAGTCGTGAAAGTTGAGTTCAAACATGCCACTGAGTATATGTCTTAACTTTTGCCTGCGCGTTATATTTGGCCTCGTTAATAGAGAACCCGCGTCATGATACAAGCTATCCCAGAATCAGTATACTCTAGCTTGTGAAATTGCAGGCTGCCGCTGGTACTCACAACTGAGGGCTTCAAGGCTTTCCGTAATGTCCTTGATTTGCTCGTATTGAACGTTACTGATATCCGCCATCAGATAAGCAACCTGCACGATATAATGATTAGAGTTCGTCCTTAGCATATAAGCACAGAGGCGCTACTCACGTCCCCACGGCTGTCGCTGATTTGCTTATCAACGTTGTGATCTCCGAGGATTTCGTTGACTGATGACAGTGTTAGATATACCTCTAATGTGTTAGTGTGCATATGCTGCGACTTACCTCTACGAAGGACACCTGGAACATTGCGGTGGATATAGATAACCTAACGTTTGATCAGAGATTGCAGAATTGCATTGGGAGCGCTCATATCTTACTCGAGCATGGTTGGGCTCATCGAGAGTAAGCGATCGCAGCTGGGCTTCAGGCATGTTTACACTGCCAAGCGTGATACCCTGGTTGATGTAACGGACAAGGGCATCGGCGACTATACGAACATTAGCCGTACATTCTTCCAAGTAAACAACGACAATTTATACCTTCGACCCCGATGGCTCGCTGGGCCTCTTCGGTACTGCCGCCGATATGTGGAGTCAGAATGATGTTATTCAAAGTTCGCAGATCTTCTGCCCAGTGATTGAGATTATTGGTGAAGTAGTCTCCGTTACCAGCAGGTTCGTCAGGGTAGACATCGAGAGCTGCGCCGGCAACCTTTCCTGATCGCATAGCTCTGACCAGTGCCGGAATGTCGACAACGCTGCCGCGACTTGCATTGATCAGATATGAACCATCTTTCATGCATCCTAGCTGACTGTCGGATACCATGCCTCGTGTCTCTGGAAGGTCAGGCACATGGAGCGTTACGAAATCTGCTTCCTCGAGCAGAATTTCTAGCGTTGGAACTTGACGGGCAGTGCCAAGTGCCATAAGAGTAACAACGTCATAGTAAATAACAGTCATACCCATCGCTTCTGCGAGGACAGAAAGCTGTGATCCGATGTGGCCGTAGCCAACAATCCCTGGGGCTTCGTTAGCGATGCAACATCGCAGTAACTAGGTGGCGCAGCTGCATACCCAAAGTTTTACCACGAATCTCCCAGCATTTAGAGCTGACTTTATTCCAGGTTCCACGGTGCATCTCATTAGACCTATCGCCCAGCTGTCGCGCGAGAGAGATGATCTCTCCTATAACAAGTTCTGCAACACTGCGAGAATTCGCAAAGGGAGAATTGAAGACCGCAATGCCATTGCGTGCGGCGAATTCGAGGTCCACTTGATTTGTGCCGATACAAAAGCAGCCAATAACAAGGAGGTTCTTAGCTTCGCGGAGAACGCGTTCCGACAGTTTCGTCTTCGAGCGAATTCCGATGACTTGGATATCACTACCATAGCAATTAACAAAATTATTTCGGAGGGTGAGAACATGGTTGCAGAGCAAGGTGACATACCGAATTTTCTCAATCAGCTGATCCTCGGGCAGCGAGGACTTGACGGTTTCAACTTGATACCCCTGGCCTTTAAGAATATCGCATCCGGCTTGATTGACATTTTCCAACAGTAGAATCTTGACGTCCTGGGTGTTGAACGGCTTGAGCTGTTTCGGAGCACCGCGTTGTGGCAGAGATCTTGCCCAGCTTGGTGGGGGTGACTGAAAGGTTGCGATGGGAGAGACAGAGAGGTTCTGATCCCAGCTGTGAGACACAGATTTTCTCTGCGTTTGGGTGGCTTGGCCCCTTTCGATGTCTAGCGGAGGTGTCATTGTGGCAGCTACTTTGCAATGAGGGTTTTTTCTGATACAAAATTGGAGGCTGAGCCTATTTATGTATGAGTTGCTTCTTGACCCAGTGAAAGAATGATGCATGTGGGGTGGATGCTCCGATACTGACTCCGGATTAACTACCTGGACTTTTGAGTTGACTCAAAGCCCGCTAGCACAACTCTTTTCCTACATCAACACCGACTTTTTGGAAGTCGGGATGTAGGCATAAAAAAAAAATACTGCCAACAGCAAAAGGCTGTAGTATATTTTTGTTTCTTAAAGGGATTTAGAGAGTTCACCTTCCGTATCTGCTACGTATAGCAGCGTATTCCACCTTACGTTAGTAGGGGCGTAATCTGCTACGTTGACGGCAGCGGAGATTAACACTAAGAGATAATAGGTCACGTTATCCACTATATACAGCGGCGTTTAGTTAATAAGATAGCTTCTACTAATAGTAGTATTCTTATTAGCTTCTTTAAAATAGAAGGGACTAGGAATTACTTTAGATATAGGAATTATAATATATATAGGAGGGATGGTTTTTATCTAGGTAGGTAGGGCTAGGGCTAGGGGCCGGCTAAGTTAACTACCTTACTATAGTTTTTCTAGCCCTTATAAATTTATTAAGGTACTAGAAGGACTATAGAGTCTAATTAGCGTATATTAATAAATAAATAAAGCCTACTAGCAGCTCTCTATATCCTGGTAAAGGCCTATACCTACCTACCTAGGTAGTAAGTAGTTATTTATTAAAGCATACTAATTAGGCTCTTTTATTCCTTTCTAGTACCTTTATAGTTTTTTAGGGCTAGAAAGACTATAAGAAAGGATATAAATCCCTACCTAAATAGATAATACTAATAATAATAATAGTATATTATATACTAATTAGGCTATAAAGCCTATTTAATACCTTTATAGTTATTAATTTATAAGAATATAAGAAAAAATAAAAAAATAAAATAAAAAACCTATATTATTACTTATATAATATAACTTATTATAATTCTTAATATCTTTATATATTTTTATTTTAAAAAATATATTTAAAAATATTATTTTTAATAAAAAGTATTTTACTACTTAAGGTATTATTATTATATAATAAAATAATATAATTTAGTTTTTAATATTAATTTTATTATTATTAATATAATAAATTATATATTTATTAATATAAAGTAGAATATATTATTATATTATAGTAAATATAGAAAGTAAACTTTTTAAATTTTTTTTAAAAAATAAAAAATATTATATTTTTTATATTTATATTCCTTTTTTTAAAAAAAATAATATTAATATAGAAAAAAAGTTATACCTAAGTAAATAGTAAGAAAATATAACTTTAATATTTAAAAGTAAAATAATATAAGCTTTCTTTAAAAGGGGAACTTACTATTTAAGTATTTACTATTTATATATTTATAACTCTTTCTATATTAATACTATTTTTTTTTAAAAAAAAGAATATAAATATAAAAAATATTCTTATTATTTTTTATTTTTTAATTTTTTTTAAAAATTATTTTTTATATTTATTATAATATAATAATATATTTTATTTTATATTAATAAAAATATAATCTATTATATTAATAATAATAAAATTAATATTAAAAATTAAATTATATTATCTTATTATATTATAATAATACCTTAAATAATAAAATACTTTCTATTAAAAGTAGTATTTTTAAGTATATTTTTTAAGATAAAAGTATATAAAAATACTAAAAATTATAATAAGTTATATTATATAAATAATAATATAAAAGTTTTTTTTTTTTCTATATCTTTATAGATTAATAACTATAAAGGTACTAAATAGGCTTTATAGCCTAATTAGCATATAATATACTACTACTACTACTACTACTACTTATGTACCTAGGTACCTAGGTAAGGCCAGCAGTCCGGGTGCTATTTCCCTTGCGCCGATTTCAGGCCTGGTACGAAGTGCGGACTTGCCTAGTTAATAAACGGCACCTTGCCGAAGCAGGAAAACGTTGCAGCAAAAAGGCCCCATGTGCATGAGCACCACCCGCCCCGTCTCAACTGATGGTATTGCATCATTTCCTGTTAAAGCCCAGTAATTCAGGTGCTAATGCAGCAAGAACAACGCGGGGCTTATTATTCTGCCTTGTAAAACTACAAGTTTTACTGGAACCGCCATAAATCAGTCAGAGCCGCCGCTTTCCGATGCGACCTACAAACCTGCAGACAATGAAAAGAGACTAGTCCCCTTTCGGAAGCCCCCCTCTGGCGATCGGGAGGTTGTACCTGAGTCTAGGTGCACATCGTCGATGCCCACATTTCGTAGTTATGCCCTGATCGTTTGTGGACTCATGGTAGCGAACGGACGAAGCATATAATTTTCATTAGTTAGTTGTCGACTGGAAGAGATAATGTCAAACTGCCGAGGTTCTTTTCTCGTCGTTCCCACTAGTCAACATAGACAGCCATGTATCCATTGTATGTTGCAATTCCTTTTATTCCCAGAGTTGAGGGTGCCTATATGTGCCCCAAGAAAGAGCCTTCAATCTCGCACATAAAATAGATAGCCGTTCCTACTTCTACAGGGTCTGCAGTCAAGACCCAAAGTTGCTCGCTTAGCTCTGCTTGCACTCGGCGGCCTCTTGCTTGGGCTTTCCAGATTCGTCCTTGAACACGTTAGCGGTGAAATGGTGAGAATGAGCCTCGTTCTCTTCACTTACGTCATCGTCCGTCTCCTCCTCCTCATCCTGATCGTCGCTGAGATCGTCCTCGTCCTCGTCCTCGTCCTCTTCATCATCAAAGTCCGGCTCCTCTAATTCACCATCATCGATTTCTTCATAGCGAAGAGCCTCGCCGGTGAACCAGTCAACGGCGCGAGGAATAAGCTTCTCCTTGATATCTTCTCCAAGGTGATAGTCCAGTTCAAGGCGCTCCTCGATTTCGGTTGCGGCGTCCTCGTCCTCTTCATCATCCTCGTCGCTCGGGGGTTTGGGCGGAGAAAAGAAGTTGAAGAAGGACTCAGTGGGTACCGTCTTCTTAACGATCCGGGTTTGCTTAGTGTCTGGAGGTGTTCAGATTAGCTGGATGCGATTTCCGAAGCGTCCAAGCACTGGCTTACTCTTATTTCTCTGCTTCTTGGCTTCAATGCGGACAGTGAGGTCCTTGCTTGGGAGCCACTCGATCTTATCGCCCTCAGCATGATCGTAGATAAAATCGCCACCATATCCGCTCTCGTTTTGGTAAAAGTAGGTCTTCGTGAGAGTCTTGTTGGAGAAGAATTCGTTTGTAGAAAATTCGAAGATCAGTCTAAATCCTGGCTCCTGCAAATATTCCATTCGAATATCAGTCAAGTGCTTGAGAGCAGCCTCGTCACGGTCTGTAATGATCTCGGCAAACGTCACCTGGTTCTTCATGGCGGAAAGCCAGAACTCAGGAATACCGGCAACGCTGTCAGGAATGTCGAGTTTGATGCCCTCCTCATCAGCCTCGGTGGCCTTGGGCTGAACCTCGAAGTTTTCATCCTCTCCAGCTTTGATCTCGTCCTCGGTAGGTTCAATCTGGCCGTTGACGATGGAGGAGCGCTTCTCATAGAGCGGGGTGAATTTGGCAAAGTACTTCTTCTCGAGCTGAAGGACCTCTTCTTGAAATTCAGCCTCCAGCTTGGCGTGATCTTTCTGGATAGCTCGGAGGCCTGAAACTCTGCGGCGAACTGTAGGTGGGAGAGACTCGATGTATCCAGATGAACGGCCGATAAGAGAGCCGAGGCGGCCTTGAATCATCTGGACGAGCTGGGGGTTCTGGGCAAAGATGGATGCGGCGGCGGCGCGTTCCATGTCATCTAGGTGGTGATTCCCCATTAGTGATGTTTTGATGACCAGTATGAATCATCGGCAACGAACCCTCCATGATGCTTGCTACGCCAGGCTGCTGGGCTCGAGAGGAGATGGGCGCGTTTGTCGCGGGAGTGTTCTGAGGCGTACTGAAGTGGGGCTGGTCAGCATTTGCACACATGGCTTCACTGCATCACGACTCACGGAGCCGTCATTTGGTCAGGTCGTTTGCCTGGGATTGGTTCGGCCATAGTAGCTGAAGTAAGAGGAAGCGACTGCGGGACCGTTGAAAATGATGGTTGGCGTTGAGAAAGAGGGAAGGAAGAGAGAAGAGGGGTGGTAATGAATATGCAGAAAAAGCTGCCACAGAGTGACTGATGAGGTTTGGGTGGGGGGAGCTCCGAGCAGAAAAATTTGGATGTTTTTGGCTGGCCGGGATTGTTGAGAGGCGAGTTCGGTAGTTTGGTACCTAGGTACTTGGGCCGGGAGTGTACCTATTGCTGAATGAAAGGTACTTGCTTAGGCCGACTGCCCCACATGCGCTGGCCCTCGCTAGTACTTCGGTACATACTTCTTCTACGCGACCAGGGTGTTTTCTGTGATGCCTAACCTGCGGAGGAGGAGCAAGCCAGACAGATAGTCTAACTACCAGGTATCCAAAAAAAATAACAGTACTTTCAGCAAATACAGAAATTAGCCTAGCTATAAGTACTATAGCATAGGCAAGTATAAAAGGCTATTTCTAATAATACTTACTAGGGATATTACTATAATATACTAAGTATATAATATAAATAAAAAATAATTTAAAAACTTAAAAACTATATATAATAAATATAATATTTCATCTTTACAAGTAGATACTAGGCCTAACCTACCCTACACCTACCTATAGGCTAAAATATAAAAAACAAGTTTAGTAAGTAAGTTAACTTAATAACTAGTTAGTCTATAAATCTAGAAAGTACCTAGCTTATAGGCATAGTAACTATAAGTAGAAATATTAAAAATATAGTTATAGAACCTATTTAGGGGTAATACCTATATATAGATAGCATATACCTAGCCTAGCTCCTACTAAGAATCTTTAAAGAAGACTTAAAAAAAATACTCTTCTTAATACTATAAAAGAGTCTTAATAAGGTATAAAAACTTATAAACTCTATCTACACTATATAGAAGAAGATAGCTATTATAAATATAGAGCTTATCCCCCTTAAGGCTATTTAATATATTATAGTAAAGGCCTTTTAAGAATACCTAGTAAGTAATTCTTAGCCTACCTCCTATATAGAGATAGCCTAGAAGCCCCTAGGCCTCTAGGTAAAGCTAGTTCTAGCCTACTATAATACTAAGCTATTAGTTAGCTACTACTTTTACTTAGAAGAAATCTAATCTCTTTACCTATAGGAGCTTATTACTAAGGCTAATAGGGCCTTAAAGGTAGACACTATTATAGCTACCTACTAACTCCCCTTTAAAGATATAGTCCTTTCCTTCTATAAAGAGGTAAAGAATTATACTAAGAATAATAAATAGGTTAAGGTAGTTTATACTAAGGAAGTATACCTTACCTAGTAAGAATACTTTATAGTAGTTAAGAGAGTACTTATTTTAAAAATCTTATAAGATACCTCTAACCTTACTATAAAGCTCTTAGTTACTAATAAAGTAAATATTATATTAGTTAAGGCTATCTAAGCCTATCTAAAAGCTAGATTAAAGACTACCTTTATTATTAGAGTTTATAAAATAAGTATTATTAACTACTTTTATAATACTAAAGTATTTTTCTAAGTATAGGCCTTTATTTATAAACCCTTTTTAAAGTCTATTTAGCCCTACTAATATTATAACTATTATACTATAGGATATATTACTTACTACTATAATAAGAAGGCTAAGTATAGCTAATACTTTAGTAGTACCTACCTAGAAGGGGAGGCTTACCTAGTAGTAGCTAACCTAAGTAAGGAAAGGTGCTTAAACTATAAAGGTTAATATCTAGCCTAGGCCTAAGCCTATCTAGTCTAGGTAAAGTACTAGAGGGCTACTAATATAGAATACTACTAGTAACTAATAGTTTTTACCTAGTTATAGAAGATCTAGTACTTACTATACTCCCCCTAAGCCTTTTTACTAAATAAGAAAGGCCTAGTAGGCTAGGTAAGCTAGTTAGTAAATAATGCCTTATTAAACCTATTAGGCTAGTAAGCCCCCCCCTTAGTCCTAAGAGGGCCCCCCCCCCTAGACTTCTTACTAAAGGCTAAGAGGGAGACCCCCTAGCTTACTAAATAGAATTAATATTACCTTTAAGCTTAATAGGCTAAATATAATAGTAAGTAAGTTACTCTCCCCCTTTTAATAGGTTATACTAATAAATTAAGCCTAGAGTATAGATAACTCTACTAAGAGAGTATAGGTAAACTCCTTTTTTATAATTCTAACCCTTTTCTTATTAAGAGCTAATATAGCCTTAGTTATAAGCTCCTCCTTAGACTTTTTATAAATAGATATTAATATAATACCCCCCTTATTAGAACTAAGTATTTAAAGTAAGTTATTACTAATAGTAGTAGACTAACTAACTAGTAACTAGCTAGCTAAAGACCTATAAGTAGCTACTCTAGCTACTATATCTACTATACCTATTATACCTAACCTTTTAATAGGACCTAGTAAGACTCTATAAGTAGCTACCTAGAAGCCTACTAGGGTAATAAAGAATACTAATATTATAACTATTAATAAAAGTACTATTATAGAATATTAATAAAAGTAGTACCTAAATATAGCTAGTACTTTATAATAAATCTAAGCTAGATATTATTACTATATAGGAAATATTAAATAATAAACTACCCTTAACCTTAGTATTAGCTTTATACTAATGCCTTTAGGGAAATAGGAGAATAGTAATATATATATATAAAAGGATAAGTATAAAGAACTATATAGTCTTCCTTAAGAAGGATAGTTACTATATTGTCTTTTTTAACTTACTAGTCTATTTCTTTAATATTTACTCTAAACCTAGTATAGATCTAGTATAGCTCCTTTTCCCTCTAAATAGGGAGTTAATATATATTATAGTAGGGGATTTTAATATCTACTACCCCTTTTAGGATATTTATAAAAGGACCTTACTAATATTAAAAGGAACCTTATTTACCTTAAAGTAACTTAGGATAATACTAATTACTCTTTAGGGAATAGTTATAAGAGAAAAGTTTAGTAAGAGATTAAGTATATTAAACCTAGTCTAATACTCTCTAGACCTTAAAGGCTAGATACTAGATTCTCTAAAGGACCTAGTAGGGTCTAACTACTATTTTTAGCTAGTAAAGGTTAGCTTCTTTATTCCTCCCCCTATAACTATATACCTATCCTAATATAAGATAGATATAGACTTAATATAAGTAAAGGCTATAATTAGGTTTCCCCTAGATTCTAATAAGCTATACTAGCTATCTATTCTAATAAAGATTAATACTATATTTAAGAACTTAGATAGGATTCTAAAAAGGATCTTATTAGTAAATATCCCCCTCTAAGCACTTCTATAAGGCTAGGCAGCCCCCTAGTAGATACCTAAAGTTATAATAGTAATAAAGAAGGCCTAAGAGCTCTATAGATAAGCTTAGAGGGTTAGAATAGAAAAAGACTAAAAGAGAGTATACTAGGTAGCTACTACCTAGGATAGGATAGTTTAGAAAGTAAGGAACTAAGCATAAAGAGTTTACCTAGATATAGTTACCTAGATACTAGGTAGGCTTTAGAGGTATTACTAATAAGTAAAAAAGTATACTAAAGGTATAGGCTTTAATATAGTCTTACTATTTAAAAAAAGAGGGGACCTCCTAGTAGCTAAGATAAGATAAGAAAAGGTTAAGGTCTTAGTAAAAAAGTTCTTCCCTAACCCCCTAATAGGCTTCTATAACCCTTAACTACTAGTAAATAAGGCTCTAGACTAGGATATAAGTATAATATTAAAAGATATTACTATAGACTAGGTAAGGTCTATACTAGTAGGGTATATATTATAAAACGCCCTAGGCCCTAATAAGATTCCCTATAGGTTCCTTAAGATATTAGGAGAACTACTATACCTTTACCTTATAATACTCTATATAGCTTATATATAGATAGGATATTTTCTAAAAAGGTATTAAGTAGGGATAATAATTATTATATAGAAGCTAGGTAAGATAGAATAAGAAAGTAGGATAGCTAGAGGATAAAGACTAATTACCCTCTTAAATACTATAGGAAAGCTCTTTAAAAAGATTATAATAAACTAGGTAGCTAGAGTAGTAGAATCTTATAAGCTCTTCCTAGATAGCTAGATAGGCAATTAATAATAATAGTTAATAAAGATAGTAATTACCTTAATAGTTAAACTTATCTAAATTACCTAGTACTAAGATAGCTTTACCTTAATATTCTAACTTAATATTATAAGTGCCTTTAATAATATAGTTTACTTAGTAGTAATAGCTACTCTCTAGTATTTAAAATTCCCTCCTATTATCCTTTCCTTACTAAAGACCTACCTTTAGGATAAGATAATATAGATCTACTTAGATAGATCCCTATTAAATATCCTCTAGATTTAATAAAGAGTCCTATAGGGCTCCTCCCTATTACTAATTCTATTTATTCTTTTCTTATTATCTTTATACTAGGCCCTAGTAAAGGTTTAAGGGATAATAACTATAGGGTTTACTAATAATATAAACCTTCTTAATATAATAGCGTTCTAGGACTAGGTTATAGCCTAGCTCTAATAAGTATAGACTATCTATTCTAAGTAGTTAGTAACCTATACCTTAATATTCTTTATTCTAAAATTCTAGCTTTTTTACTTCTAATAGGATTAATCTATAGTCCTAAGAAGCCTCTAGCTTAGGGACTACTAGCTTATACTATAGGTAGTAATTTAACTCTTAAGAGTCTAGCTTATACTATTACTAGTATAGATAGTATATATAGCTAAAATTAAGGTAAAGGTTCTCTCTACTTAATAGGCCCTAAAAGCTTCTATTAGGATAGCCTAGGGCCCCTAACTAGGATATATAAAAGAACTTTACCTTTATACTATCTAACTAATTATAGCTTATAGCCTTATTACCTAGTATACCTTAAGAGATAGACTAGTAGGCCTAGCTACTACCCTTAATACCCTCTAGGTAATATGCCTTTATATAGTAGTAGGAGCTTTCTAGGCTATAACTACCTACTATATTAAGGTTAAACTTAATATCCCCCCTATTTACCTTTACCTTACTACCTATAAGGCTTAGACCTTAATAAGATAGGAAGAGAATAGAGTAGTAGCTTAGCTTTAATATATAACTACCTAGGTTATATTATAGATCCTAATCTTAATAGTATAGTACTATAAGATCTACTAATAAGGACTACCCTTTATATATCTTATAAAGAGGCTTTTAATAAATACTAACTAAATAATAGAAGGTAATAAGAAAAAACTAGGAAAGTAGCTCTAGGTTATATAGAATAACTACTAGGAGGATATAGATATATATTACTAAAAGTAAGTTAGTTAGCTATAGATTTACCTAGCCTATTACTTACTATAGGTTTAATATAGAAAGAAAAAGGATACCTTATAATTCCCCTTATACTATATTAGTTTACTAATTATATAGCTTTATATAAGTAAGATTAAGCTAGTAGCTTTCCTTTATAATAGGAAAGTCCTTAGATTCTTTTTACTAATATACTAATATAAGGAAAGACCTAAAGATCCTATCTATATTATCCTCTTCTATTTACTATTACGCCTAGGCCTAGATATAACCCCCCTTTAGAACTAGAGAAATATTCTCCTAGCTCTTAACTACCTAAAGTATATAATAACTATTATAATATAGTTCTATAAATAGTAATAGCTATAATACCTTTAAGTATAGATAAGTAATAAAGAATAATAAGCTAGGCTAGGTCTTAGTTAAGTCTTAATAATAATATAGGTAAAGGTAGGTTTAGAGTATAATATTCTATTATCTAACTAGAGATTCTTATAAATTTTTACCTACTAATATAATAATATTTATTAAAAGTTAAAAAGGAATAAAACTAAAGCACTTCTTATTAGACCTAGGGGTAGGGGTAGTTAGGACTATCTTAACTACTTTAACCTCTTTCTTAATAATATCCTTCTTAACTACCTTCTTAATAGTCTTCTTAGGCTTCTTACCTTTATTTAAAAGGGGCCCCTTCTCCTTTCTCTTATTCTTAATACCCTCTTTAGCTAGGCCCTTTCCCTTTCTATTAATAGGGGCTTCCTTAGCCCTCTCCCTTAAGATCTATTATACTAAGGATAGACTTATAATAGTAGTATAATTAGGAGGAGTCTAGGGTAACTTAGATAACCTTAGCTTATTACTACTAATAACCTTATTATAGGTAGTAGAATTAAACCTATTAAGAAGTATAGGAGTATTATATTAAGGCTTAAGATAATTAATTAAAACTATAAGTAAAGAGTATATTATATATATATTACTAGTAAGTCCTTTAAAAATACTTACTAGTTTACTCTAAACTATAAATATACCTAAAGATAGGTATACCTTATATACTAAAACTAGGCTAAAGGGTATAGTAAGAATAGCTATACTATAAGTATACTTCCTAATTATATTACCTATAGTATAGTATTAATAAATAGCTATATTATATAGCTAGGTATACTCTTTATCCTTCCTACTAAGGAAATTATTAGTTATATTAAGGGGCTAAGTTAAAGCCTTAAGAATAGATTAGGTAACTAGCTAAGATTAAATAGTAATAATAGACTTAGTAATAAATATATAGATATAAAAATAGGAAAGCTTTTTCTTTATATACTAAGGATAGGAGTTTAAGTTTAGAATTATACTAGTTAGCTTCTAAATAGGAAAATAAGGTAAGAAGACCTACCTTTTAGCTTATAGTAAACTAACTACCCTTTATTTATAAAAGGTAAATAATTTATATAAAGAACCTATATAGGATTAATACTTATAGGAGTAAGGTAATATATTCTTTTTACTAGCTTCTTTTCTAGACTCTTATCTACTTTTCTCTTCTTCTTCTTAGGTTTTTAGATTAAGGGGGATAAAGTAAGTAATATAGTCTTTATAGCCTTTATAAGACTAGTAAGAGAAAAAAAGGGAACCTTAAAGGTAATAATATAATATTAAAAGTTATAAAGAAACTAGAAAGAGGATAAGAGGTTAGTAAGGAGTAAGAGAGAGAAGAGTAAGAGTAAAGAGTAAAGTAAAGGCTAATAAGGACTTATAAGAGTAATTAGGCTACTTAGAATAAACTAAGAAAACTAGGTAATAGATTAATAAGCTATAGTAAAATAAATCTAATTAAGAATACTCCTTATAAAATATCCTAAAACTATATACCTAGACTTATATAGAAGCTTTAATATAGAGGGAGATATAATACTTTATAAGTTCTTAACTATTAAGTAAGGTATATTAGTAAGTATAAGGAGCTTAGGGAGTAAGGAAGAGTATATATAAGAGTAAATAGAAGCTATAATACTAATAACTAGGGAACTAGAAAGACTAGTAAAAGGACTAAAAGCCCTTTCCTAGTTAAGTATAAAAATAGGAGTTAATAGATAAGATATTATAAAGTAGCTATATAGAGTTAGTTAATAAAGAATAGTAGGATTTAGTAAAGAAAGGCTATAAGTATAAAAGAAAGGAATATAGAAAGGAAGGAAGAGGTAGAAGAGAAGAAGGAAAAAGATATACTAATAAAGATAAAGAAGATAATATTAATAATAAAAAAAGAAGAAAAAGAAAAAAAAGAAAAAAAGAAAGAATACCTTTTATTCTTTACTAACTATTAACTAGTAGCTAATAAGGCTCTAAATTACTTATTTATATAAAGTCTTACTAGCTATAAATAGAATTAAAATAATAACTTACTAGCTATATACTAGCTAATAAAAAATAATAATAACTATAAGTATTTAAATAAAGTATAGCTAAAATTACTACTTAGCCCTTATTAGGAGCTAATAGTTATAAAGAAAATATATTTATTTATTTATTAAATCCTATTATATAGTATAGGCTAATAATAGTAAGAATTAAAAATAACCCTAAAAGTATTACTATAATATCCTTTATAGGGTATACCTTAGACCTATATAGATAAAGTATAGGGTATTAAAAGTAAAAGAAGATAGTAAGTAGGGATAGGAGCTAAAGACTCTTAAAGGAGAGGGAAGGTAAAGGTATTATAAAAGCTAGGAGGCTATAGTAGTAGTTAAGCTTAACTAGCTTAGAGACTTATAAGGCTAAATATAGCTCCCCTTAATATAAATAAAAATAAAGGGAAGGGGAAAGAACTAAGAAGTTAAGAGAATAAGAGGATAATAGGCTTAACTAGTCTAGAGATATATAGGATTAGATATAGCCCCCTTAATATAGATAAAAACCTAGAGGGAAGGGAAGTAGTTAATAGGCTTAGCTAGCTAAAGTAGTATAGGCTAGATATAGGCTAGGATATAGATAAAAACCTAATATATAGTATTAAGAGGGGTCTTACTAGACCCTTATATACTTTAAAATAAGACTATAAAGGATCTTATAAATATAGATAAGGTTTTCCCCTAGGTACTCTAGTTTTTCCTTACCTTATAATTAGTAGAAGTACTAGATAGGTTATTTAGCCTAATTAGTATATAAGAATTATTATTATTATATATAATAAATAATAAGTTATACTTAAGTATATTCTAAATTAAGCCTAACTTAAGATTATTATAAGTATATTATAAGTATACTCTTTTTTTATATTATAAAAAAGTAATAGAATAGCTTTATAAGAAACTTAATATTATTATAATACCTATATAAATACCTTAGGGCTATTGCTTAATAACTTAATTAGTATTCCAATAGTATTTAATAAATTCTAATTAAATAAATAAATTATAGACTTCTAAGACTATTATAAATTCGAGTGGTATTTTCTATAGGAAGAAAAGAGAATAAGCTTCAGTCTTAATAGAAAACTACTGCCTTCTTTATCCTTTCTATCTTTCTACCTAGGTACCTATGTACGAGGTCGCTCTTCTTCCGAGTTTATTACACGCTTGAATCAATGCCCCGCCCCACGTGGCCGGCCACATACCTAAGTACCTAGCTAGGTACCTAGTCGCAAACCGAGGAGCCCAGAACTTTTCAAGTCTCGCCTTTCCAATTCACACATTGTCTAGAGCATGACACATACGGTGACTGCGTCACTCCAACTCAGACGGGAAGAGATATTAGCCGAATGATTCATCTTGGTGTTATCGAAGGCGGACGCATTTACAGATTGCGCTTCAATAGTCAGCCAGTACCATGAGCGACCACCTACGACAAGGCGAGGACTTACGCCCCTCGCAACCAACATTGTACAGGCTCAACTCGAACCAGAGCATGTCAAGCATTTTCGAGGAAGTAGAAATGGCACATGAAGAGGTATTATCACATGGTTATTCGCTGAAAATCACACGCTGAGCTACATTTTGTAGTTGTACTCCGGGCCAGTTGCCGAAAGCTTACCTACGAGCGTATCAGCCTTCTCGCACCGCAGACACAGAGCGAATTCCACAACCAGCTTCACGTACCACGAAGAAGTGCCCAACGAAGATGTATACTCGGAAAACTCGAACGAACCTGGTCAGGAGAGCGATCTAGATCAATACAGTCGGAGCCACAGCATAGGCAGTGATATTGACGACGTGGACCTTGCAGTCGTTGATGACGAAGACTCGGCTGACCATCAGTACATCATTTCCGATGACGATTATCTCTTGCGGCGACGCTCATCCACGCACTCGCGGTTGTCAGTCCACGCCCACCTGCTTAGGAGGGACAGTACTGCCACTGGAGGGAGCGCTCGACAATGCGGACGAACCAGCCAAAAAGTCTACATGACTAACGAAGACCTCACCATTGCAATTGCAGGATTCTCTACAAGCTATTGGGGCTATGCCTCATACATATTCCTGTGCATTGTGACTGGTGGCATCGCTTTTCTTGTCCTGCGATGGATTCCTCGCTGGTATGTCGCTGTTCTAGGTACAGCCACGGCCCTTCAAAGCTGCGACTGGGTAATCATTGAGAACCAATGGGGTGAGCTTACAATCCTCGATGTCAAGTCGCAAGACTATGGACGTCCTGTGTCCTCAGTATTTGGCGCATCTGAGAAGCTCCTTTCGTACGGCCTGGACGATGAGAATGACCCCCTACTTGATGATCTGCGAACACTCGAGTATCGCTATGTTCGATTCTTTTATCACCCAATAAAGGATAGGTTTATCCTATCTTCTGGATGGAAGGATCCCGATTGGACTGACGTTCGGCTTGTACGAGCGGGACTAGACAGCGATGAGAAGATGATGCGAGAGCAAATTTTTGGCCCCAATCTAATTGACATTGAGCAGAAGTCTGCCACTCAGCTTTTAGTTGATGAAGTAAGTCTTCGCCCCGGAAAGCACCTGCGTCGCCCGGTTACAACTTAGTTGCGTGCGTGCAGAGCTCGAGTTGACAGGTTTAGGTTCTACATCCATTTTATATTTTCCAGATTGCTAGTCTAGCACTGTGGTCGATGGACTCGTATTACTACTACGCTGCATGCATCTTTGTCATGTCAGTTGGAAGCATAATGACAACACTTCTGGAAACCAGGGCAGTAAGCTGGGTATCTGAAGCTGACTGGCTGGTATCGTCGCTAACTTGGCCATAGACTATGCGGAGACTGAGAGAGATATCTCGTTTCGAATGCGATGTTCGTGTGCTGCGGAATGGATTTTGTAGGAATGCACCCGATACTATACAGGTTTTGTTCTCTTTTTTTGTCGCTAACTTGTACTCCAGGGAAATATGTCACATCGAGTGATTTGGTACCCGGTGATGTGTATGAACTCAGCGATCCGAATTTATCCCAATTCCCTAGCGACAGCTTGCTTCTTAGTGGGGATTGCATTGTCAATGAGAGCATGCTCACAGGTAACGCCAAGTCTCACTGTCATGTTAAACTCAAACTAATGATGGAAAAAGGCGAATCCGTGCCTGTCTCGAAACTACCGGCTATCGACCAGACTTTGCATGAAATGAATCTTTCTGCGTCTTCTGTTTCACCCGAGACTGCGCGCCATTTTCTGTATTGCGGGACCAAGATTATACGCGCACGACGACCTCAAGAAGACCTAGACGGTGACGCTGTCGCACTCGCACTCGTTGTCCGAACAGGTTTCAATACTACCAAAGGGGCACTTGTACGCTCAATGCTTTTCCCAAAGCCATCCGGCTTCAAATTCTACCGCGACTCATTCCGGTACATCAGCGTAATGGCGGGAATTGCCTTGGTCGGCTTTATAGCCTCTTTCGTCAATTTCATTCATTTGAGAATGGCATGGCATTTGATTGTTGTTAGAGCGCTCGATATAATAACAATAGTTGTGCCACCAGCCCTTCCAGCGACGCTGACCATTGGCACAAACTTTGCACTCTCTCGGCTGAAGGGAAAACAAATTTTCTGTATCAGCCCTCAGCGAGTCAACGTTGGTGGAAAGCTTGATATCATGTGCTTTGACAAAACGGGAACTCTGACGGAAGACTGTCTCGACGTTCTTGGTTTACGAGTTGTCGCAGAAGAAACAGGGGCGTTCAGCGAGCTCTTGAGACAATCTAGCTCCTTCGGTTCTATGAGTGCACCAGAATCGCGCCCTAGCCTGCTTCAGGCTGCTATGTATACCATGGCAACATGCCATTCGTTGCGCTCCGTTGACGAGGCGCTTGTTGGTGATCCACTCGATCTGAAAATGTTTGAATTTACAAATTGGTCGTTTGAGGAAGGGACACAATCCACTGGAGACGGTGAAGACGACGAGAGCGGCCTCACACCATCTACAGCCAAGCCACCAGATGTATGCCTCCTTCTTCACTGCCGCAACAAACTTCCAACATCAACATCTAACATCAACAGGGTCAATTGGAACTCGGAGTCCTTAAATCTTTTGAATTTCTCTCACAATTACGACGAGCCAGCGTTGTTGTGCGTCAATTTGGTAAGAAGAGTGGCGATATTTTCGTGAAGGGCGCACCGGAAGCAATGCGCGAGATCTGTGACCCAGAAAGCTGTAAGTTTTTGCTCCGCCCTTTCCCAGATACATCCATGCTGAAGAATGATTGAAAGTCCCTTGTAATTATGAAGAGCTTCTGTCGCAGTACACGCACAAGGGCTACCGTGTCATTGGATGTGCTACGCGTCACATTAAAAAGCTAAGCTGGATTAAAGTTCAGAAGATGACTCGGGAAGAGGTAGAGAGTGGCCTGCGCTTCGTTTGTTTCATTATCTTCGAGAACAAACTGAAACCCAGCTCAGCTCCTGTGCTGAAAGAGCTAATCGATTCCAACATCAGAGCAGTGATGGTAACAGGCGACAACATTTTGACAGCTATCAGTGTTGCGAGAGAGGGCGGCATGCTAGAGAAACATGCGCACTGCTTTGTACCCCGGTTCGTCGAAGGTATGTTGCTTTGAAACGTTCGAGATGTTAGTCAGCGATACTGACAGGTTCAAGGGGACTTTCAAGACCCGACTGCTAGACTGCAGTGGGAAAGTATTGATGGCAGTGCACATTCACTCGATAGTTCAACCTTGCTGGTTTGTCACACTGGCTATCTTCGTATTTCCGATCTTACGACTAACCCGCGGTGCAGCCCCGGCCCATGGTTCCCGTAGCCGATCTCTCCCTCCCGTATGAGATATCTAACTTTCGAAATTACTCCTTAGCCGTCAGCGGGGATGTTTTCCGGTGGATCGTGGATTATGCGCACCCAATTGTACTTCGTCGGGTATGCTCACTGCTGAGACGTCTCTGATAGAACACATATACTGACTTGTTAGATGCTTGTACTCGGAAGCGTCTTTGCTCGAATGTCACCAGATGAAAAACACGAACTTGTTGAAAAATTGCAAAGCATTGACTATTCCTGTGGGTTCTGTGGTGATGGCGCAAATGACTGTGGAGCTTTGAAGGCGGCAGATGTTGGTATATCCTTGTCAGAAGCAGAAGCATCAGTTGCAGCTCCGTTTACATCCAGAGTATTTGATATTCGTTGTGTGTTGGAAGTGATTAGGTACGTTGCCCGCTCGAATTTGAAGATACCAAAACTGGATTAACATCCTATAGGGAGGGTCGCGCTGCTCTCGTCACCAGCTTCAGCTGCTTCAAGTACATGAGCCTATACTCAGCGATACAGTTCACATCCGTAAGCTTTCTCTACGCAAAAGCTTCTAATCTCGGCGACTTTCAATTCCTGTTTATTGATTTGCTCCTGATTTTGCCTATTGCTATTTTCATGGGCTGGGCAGGTCCGGCACGGATACTGCATGCAAAACGCCCCATATCCGACCTGGTGTCCCGAAAAGTGCTGACACCACTACTTGGCCTGATGGCAATCGGCATTGCGGTGCAAGCCATTGCATACATCACCGTCCGGGAGCAAACTTGGTATCTCCCCCCGCTAGTCGGCCATGATGAATCAGACATCAAGAATTCGGAAAATACAGCGCTTTTCCTGACGTCTTGTTTCGAATACGTGTTTTCCGGGGTGATATTGAATGCAGGCCCTCCGTTTAGAGAAAGCACAGCTCGCAACTGTACGTAGTGCCCATGAGGCCTCAATGCGAGAGAAGCTAACATTGGCAAAGGGCCGTTCATCGTCACAGTGTTTTTGTCACTCCTGGTAACACTACTCATGGTACTTGGGCCCTCTAGATGGCTTCAAAAGCTAATGGAACTCACGAAAATGCCCTGGGACTACAAATTATTTTTGGTAGGACTAGGATGCGTGTATCTGGGGGTTGCTTGGACATTCGAGAAATATGCTGCCAGTCCACTGGCCAAGTTTCTCGGGCGAGCTAGCATTGCTGCTACTGGGAAGGAAAAGCAGAGGAAGCAGTACAAACAGATCCAGGAGGAATTGCGTATAAGCATGCTGCAGTGAGGGTGATCTTTCTGTAGTGTGGCGCGCTGTATCATCTCGAAAGAGTCGACGTCGGAGCCTTGAGATATATACAATTGAACACGTTAGATGTACAATCTCGCTGGCTAGATTACACCCCATTTCGTTACTTGCATTTTCGCCGAGACTCGTCTCAATACGTATTTCCTTCCTCGCTTGGCCAGCAGGCTTGAGGGTATATATAGTACAACATCAAGAGGGTGGTATTGTGTGCTGGCCTATAGAAGCCAATGCATAACCTGTCGGCGCTCATTCAGTATGTCCATAAGTGACATGGCTAGCAAGCAAGGTTCGCTACACTCCTCGACGTATATCGGCAATTGACATGAAAGATTTACAAGTCCAGCCAGTGTCACGGAGAGGGAAAATCCTTGCTGCGACCTGGTATACTCCATTAGCCGACTGGCTGTATGCTGGTCTTACTGTAAATAGCCAACTCTACGGGACGTAACTCGGACTTTTGAGAACGTGCTTTGGGCCGTACAATAGAATCGACGGCAGCTCTGACACCTAACGGCGTGAAACTAACAACGGAAGAGGGTTGGTGGCCATGTCTCTGCCAGGGAAGGGAGCAAGTGCGGATGATGTAAATTCACTCGCATTCTGCCTCACTCGCATTCTGCCTCATCTGTCTAGTGCCTGATTGACTAGTTACCACGCACTGCGCAAAATCTGGGATTCGGCTTCTGCGGCGGTGTTTCGTCCGAGGACTGGTCTCCAAGCCCTGCCGCAACGTGTATCAAAGATGCAAAGATATGAAAACATTCCATTCGGTTGACGAAGCGTGAGCACCGAAATTCCGGCATCATTCGCGGGGACCTTACCGCCTACGATTTAGGGCCTGAGAGCAGAGTGGGTGATCTTTTCTTGTCGAAAGTCTCCTAGCAAACTGTGATGCGCTGAGTTCGAGAAGTGTCCGGGAAGTGAACACATGTTTAGTACGGTCACGGGTTTCCACAGCCAGTATCATATGTTCGTTCGTTCGTTCGTTTGCTTGTGTGATAATAAGAGATGCCTTTAAAAATACACGGGTGTGGCACCAAATTCCTCCGCGCCGGTCAATGATCCCAGGGGTGCTTCCAGCCCATCAAAACCGCTCCTGTACGATGATGGATTAGCTTCGTTTCGAGTTCGAACCAGTTTCAATGTCCCTTTTTATGCTTAGGCATGGGAAATGGTAATCGTACCGTCTTTCTTCGCTCTGTACATCAACTACAATGGGGTTTCCATCAGTAAGGTTTCGGGATGAGTGGCACGATTGGGTTCGGAGTTTGCTTTACCCAAAACCACATTCCAGCTCCAAGAGCGGTGGCTGTCAAGCGGTATATCGGGGCCCCATGGGGCACGGGAGGCTTAGGAGGGCCCATGACGAAGATTAAAGCGTCTGAACGTGGGATTTCGCGCGATGCGTCACGTTGGCGCCTACAGTCATATGGATTAGCAAGACCATAGGAGGAAGTCTCTAAAGCAATCGCAGATGGCCACACACCTTTGTATACCGATTGAGTGCGATACTGGGAGACTGAGCCTCGAATCTCTGTCGTCGTAGAAGCTGAAGCTGTCATGACAGTTGGGGTCCATCGAAAATAGTCATATTCAGAATGACTAAGCCATTTTGCTTTGGTGGTTACTGGTGTGGAAAAAGTGGTACTACCAACCTACCAGGTAGGTAGGTAGGTAGGTACCTAGGTGTTACAGTAGTTAGGATCTAGTTACAGTGGGTATTGGCGGTAGGTCGCTCCCCAAAAGCACCCCCCCCCCTCCGAGTCTCTCCAGAGTCGAGACACGGTGGCTCGCCGCTCATCACATGCGCGGCCACCTCGACCCTGTCTGTCATCCTTTCTTGCGCATTCTTCCAACACCAACTCTCGTCCTTCCTACATTCCATACATTGCCGCCAACTTTACTGAGGGGTGAGACAATGTCCAGCACAAAGATCTCGGCTATGAGCACTCGCTCTCCTACGATGAAACGGATATGTGAGTTTTCGGAACTTCACTCTGCTGTCTTTCAGTCGCACCCTTCTCAGTCCCGGCCTCCTTCTATTCTACTTTTACTGGTCATCTGCTATGACTATCCGCTGCCTTTTCCCTACGTGGTGCTCTAATATTAATGCGACGTGTCGTAGTACGTGAGGCAGCTGAGATCTCTAACTCACCGTCCCGAGATTACGCAGCTCATCCATTAGAAACGGACCTATTCGAATGGCACTTTACTCTGCGCGGACCACCAAATTCCGTCTACAGCGAAGGTGTCTACCATGGCCGTATTGCACTACCTCCGACGTATCCCCTCCGCCCTCCCATGTTTCGTTTCACCACGCCAAATGGGCGATTCGAAGCCAACCGCGAAATTTGTCTCAGCATCAGCGGCCATCACGAAGAGACTTGGCAACCCGCATGGGGCGTTCGCACAGCACTAGTAGCGTGAGTACACCAATCTGGACCACATTTGCCGACATTTTTACGCGTCATCGTCATGTTAACGCTCCATCTTCAACAAGACTCCGTAGCTTCATGGAGACAGAGGCACGTGGCCAGCTGGGAGGGTTAGAGACTACAGATGACGTGCGCCAGCGGCTAGCAAGGGACTCTGGAGCGTGGATTTGTGCTGTCTGCGCCAAATCGAATGCAGAAATCATCAAGGACTGCGAAGAACGCTGTCAGGGTGCCAACGCCGAGGCCTCTGATGCCCCCGCTCCACAGGACCTGAAGATGGTCTGGAAAGATGAGATGAAACCTGAAGATGATAGTGGAGGGGACAAGGCTACTGGAGCTCCGTCGGAAGACTTCGAACTCGCCGAAGGGTTTGTGCAAACCACACCTCAAGTTTCTGCGCTTGTGATGGAACCTCCTGCCGCTCCGCCGGCGCGACGTCGCCAAACATTACCAAGCCACGATGCTCTGCAGACCGGAGCGCCTTCCCAACGACAACAGCAACAACAACAAAGCGTACCTGCTACAGCAACTAATCACCAGAGTACCGACGAAGCAGTCCCGCTTTGGATTGATAGGGCCATTGTAGTGTTAGTCGTCCTGCTCCTTGCGCTACTCATCAAAGTGCTTTTTGGATTGTAGTTTCAAATCGTTAGTTAGGCGTTCGGGTGTTCTAGGTTGGAGGATGAGGGTCAGTCCTTGCTTCATTGTTCATTTATTTCTCCTTGATTCTATGCACTCGGCCTTGTGGGTAGTAAGTATCAGCAACAGTGAGCTTTTTTTTTATTAGTAAATGTCTAGCCTAATATCTGTGTGCCAGTTCTGTGCTATACCACACACGTCCATAGGCGTCTACCATGACACTAGTAATATATAGTACGCGCTCAACTCCATGGATGCTGAGCCACCACCAGCCACCACCATTCCCCAAGCATAATGTCGGAGTGTTGCGTCGCTCGAACGAATACCCCGGTCTCAATACCCCAAGAAACGATAATTTGCGCTTCAAATACGTCAAGTATCGGTGCCATGGCATCACATATACCTGCGACGGAGGTTACGCCTCTCGTATTGAACGCGAAGCAAACGGCACCCAAAATATCTGCCCATTTTTGCCCATCGAGTTTGCCAAAGAAGTCAATCCACTGCGGAATTTCTCGCGCCCGGCCTTTTCTCGGCGGGCCAACTCGTCGAACAAGTTCAAGTATATCGATGTTGTCGTTGAATAGATATGTTTGGGTAGGCTGAACCTCTAGGTCCATGTGATAGTATGATTTCGGATACTTTCGACTTTCATAGTTGCCTGGTTCAAAGCCAAATGGTATGTTGGGGACAGCCACTGTTGTAATCTTAATTCGTTCGCCAGCGATCAGATTCATTAGTGCCATCATGGCACCATCAGACAACGTATAGGGCACTTTCATGGCGCTGCTGCTTCGAAAAGCTTTGTCCAGGTCCCTTTTAAAAGCGATTGCATCCAAGTACTTTGGTCGATGCGATACCTTTGCGAGAACAGAAATATAGCCTTCATTCAGCCTATACGGCCGTCCGCTAAACGGCGTTCGTTTGCTTTTGCATATGACTTTCTCCCTTGTTAGCTGGTCGATAGCCATCTTGAGCACCGAATTGTTCCGCTGCGGTGTATCTTTCGAGAGCATTGAAAATCTATCTTTGACATCTTGGGGTGTGTATTCGGTTTCGCTGGTACAGCATAGTGAGCGGATCCAGGATCGAGCAATATCAACAGTGCCAAGTGCTGGGTGTTGCTTGTACATTTGTATGACTTCGGCGACGGCCAGTGACCCAGATTCAAGTGTAGCGGCCTCGAAACGAGAATAAACCGATGATTGTGGATGGAAGAATTTCTCCTTCCAATCTTCGCTGTTGCCGCTGCCATCTTCAAGCTTAAACTCGCGGTGGAACTGTTCTCTCGAACTGGGAAGCTGTAGCTGCTCCTGATTGGGGTGTCTCATCGCCCACTGAATGAGGCTCCTCCAGTCATAATCCAACGGTCGCTCATAATCTGGAATGGCCATCTCGTCGACCAGAATTGCAGCCATGAAACTCTCTTGAAAATCCTGCGTCGCCTTCGATAGGAGCGGTGCCTTCTCTTTGCGGATTCTAGCCCAAAAGCGTCGCAGAAACTGCAGTCCAAGTGTCGGGAATAAGTGACCGAGCAGACCCCAATCGATGAGTTTGTCTATGCCACCGAGCAAACTGCGAATGACCACGAATGCTGCCACAAGCTCATTACTGTCAACGTCCGCTCGTTGTTCTGAGACTAGCCTCTGATCGCCCGTATCGAGCGCCAGACTAGTCAGGTTCCGCGAAGCCAGCGTCGCGCGCTTGATCGGTGTTGGCGTCGTTTGATGAGCAGCAACAGAGTGGGAGAACGAAGGTATTCGCAGAGGAGTCGAGGGCGGCTCCGGTTCTTCATCTGCCGAGGCGGAAGAGAAAGCCAATGCGTCACCGTCTGCTCTGATGACAACTTCAGGTGTTATGGTCCGTTGCTTGTCTGGCTTATGCCATTGTAGTCTCGGGATGCGAATATGGTTTCCCATATCACCACCGAGGAAGTTGATGAACACTTTGTGCGCCTGGATAGGTACTTGAGCACTATACTCATCCTGCGTCTCAATATTAAGACACCATTTGAGTTTTCCAACAAAATAATCGAACCGTGAGTGATCGTTGAAAGTAGTTCCAGGAGCTTGGGATAGCGCATGGTGATAAGACGCCCATGAAAACCAGTTAGACCCGGCAATCCAGCTTTTTCGTTGCATTGATTGAGCAAGACGTTCGAAACGACGTGTCTCGCTATTGTTACTACATACTGGCGTCTTTATCCCAGTACTTCCGTGGCCGTTTTGGGTGACATCATCGAAGAAGATGTCCAGACTGACGCCAGTACAAGCTGATAAAGAAGACTGTTGCATGTCATGTGAAGGGAGCGGGATGTTAGCCGCCGGCCAGAATTGCGGGTTGTTCTGCTCATCCCCAGCAGAAGTTGAGTCCTCAGCTACACGCCTCCGTTTTCCGGGAGAGCTCGAGAAATCGTCAGAGTCGGCGGTCCGCTTTGTCGCTATCTGCGCTGCATATACAGGAGCGCTCAGGATCGCAACGCCAGCTGCAAGGGACCTTCTACCCCGCCCACCAACCTTGCCATGGTTGGGGTGCGCTTTCACGATATCTGTTGCTTCTTCTCCCCCTTTGGGGTTTTCTGCATCTTCGGGTGTAAGGGGAGATCCGGGTATTTGGTGCGGGAGAATATTTGCTGGGTAGAGCTGCCGGATGCTTTCAACGAGAGTCCTCGTTTCTGGGGCGAATGCTAGAACCGATGGGATCGTGATGATTTGACATTTTCCTATTCTGCCATCAGGTGCCCTGAAAGCGTGCCACTGGTCGACGATCATTCTTTCTCGGATCATTTGCAGCATCACGGACTTGATCCTTGGGCCGCTGGGGGCGTCTTCCTCACAGTGCCGTAACTTCCATTGTTCACATACAAGAATCTCCAGTGACTGGCCCGTTGGAAGCGCTCCGCTGTACTGGTGTAACAGATCGGTTATGGTTCCCATCAGTTTATGTCGGACTGGGTTCTTAATGCGCCGTGTCTCTAGCGTTTCTTTGGCACTCGCGGTAGAGGAAGCAGTATCTTGCGGAGCCAAGGCAAGAGAGGGCGGACGGGCCTCGGGTACCTCAAAGATGACCTCTTGTAATTCTGGTAAACCATTTGAAGCTTCGGAGTCTTCTAGCATCACATTTAAATGACGATATAAAGTCGACTGTCGTGCCAAAGGTTTTGTAAAGGGGTTAACCTGCCGCGGGGGGGCGGCCGAGATGGCCGTCAAAAGTTTTGCTTGCCCAGACAGGAAAGACACGTCCTCGATGACATCTTGATCCTCAGCCTGACGTGGCTGCCTCTTCTCCGCTGATGAGGTAGCAAGACCAAGCCCCCCTTCCCCTCTTCTAACTAGAGAAGCTTCGCCAACAGACTTAACGCGGACGCTTCTACCATCGGCAGGCAGTTGACTTGGACAATCAGTGGTGCCTTTTCTAGTATGCCTCTTTGGATGAAATGCATGAAACTTGTTTCCGGCAAGATCGGCGTTCTTCGGTGCTGGCATGAGCTGAGGCTTAAAGGAGGGATTGCAAGATGTTTGCGATTTTTCAAGGTGATACTTTAGTCCCACGTCATTTTTCCAAGTACCGCAGCACTTTTCACACTTAAATTGGCGATTGCTGGCCGATTTGGTCTTCAAATTAGGCGGCTTTCGCCCAATTTGGCCAACATTGCGAGTTTTCGGACGACCACGAGCGCGTAATGTTGGCTGAGGTGCTTTCTCGTCTGCCATTTCAGCCGGAGTCCCTAATTCGGATGTCTCTTCGTGGAGTTGTGTTTCAAAACTCTCAACTCCGAGGTCAACGTCTTCACTACTCTGTAGGAGCACAGGTTGAGCAGTAGCCCTACAAGCTTCTCTTGGTGTTGAGTTTTGTGCCAGTGTCGGCAGTTCTGGGGAAAGTGAATGCCGAGGGCTGTTCAGTTGTTCCGGTCTGATCTTCCTTGGGCGGCCTCTTCTTTTTTGGTGAGACAGGCCGCTCTGGCACAGATCTGATAGTGTTGGTGCCCGATCACCAGGGCTACTCCGATTGGCCAGACACATGAAGTTGTAGGGTTCGGACAAGCGGCCTCGGTTCGCTTTCAAGTCTGGCTGTAATTGGTAGATTGACTTCCGATAATCATGATGCCGATGCATTCCTGAGTTTTTCAGAGAGTACCAGTACAATGAAGAAGACTTACCAGGCCGGCCGCGCTCACTCTTCACAGCAAGATGAATTACATTGCTTGGTTGTATGTTGCCTGTCGATATCGAAGCTGTCAAGCCAGCCAGATAGCGAGTGAAACTAGGCCCAATCGTCATTGCGCATAGTTGTGGATTCGTCAAGCCATTGTACCCTGCTTTTTGGATACAGATTGCAACAAGAGCAGTTATTGGAGTGTAAATACACCATGAGGGGCAGTGCGATGGTCCATAGCCTTGGTCGTTCTTCAGCACACCAATCATACTGGTTTCATCTTCCACATTTTCCTGTGCCGGATTCCTCGTTGTTTTTGTAGTCCTTTTGCCAGTGGCCAGAAAAACTGACCAGTCTCTCGCGTTCATTTCCCGGCGAAATCGAATACAGTCTTTGAATACGCGGTTATTGAGCTTCGCGGCGACGTATTGAATGGTGCCTCGAGCATTGAGAAACCTGCATATTTTAGAGACGACTTTCATCTGCCATATCATTCCCAATACTCCAAGCTTTGACTTCAGATCTTGGAGGCGCATAACATTCCACTCTTTGCAGGTTGCCATGATTGTAGTGGCAAGTACTTTGTAGTCGATGGAATCGCTCGTCCATTTCGTATGCCAGGGCACAGGATCCAAACTCTCGACCAAGAATCCCCTTGATAGTGTTATATCAGCATCTGCTTCGCTCCGTTCGCTCGACTCGTCTGGCGTGGAGGGCGCGAGGAACTTGAGCCAGAGTTTGCTTGTTTTGGTACCGCGGACAAGAGTAGTTCTCTTTGTGATATATCCCTTCTCTACCAGGCAGCTCGTTCTCTTTGGGACAGATCGCTTATCTTGACCGACTAGCCTGCCTAGATCCCCTTGCAAGATTCCTTTAGTCATGGTGGAGGCAATGCCTTGCAGGAGAGTCCATTCTGATCGAGGAATGCGTTTGTGGTCGACTCCATGCCCAGTTAATGATTCCCACATGGTGTCTTCAGAAACATATATCCGGATCTCGTCTTCCTTTCGGGTACTTGTTTCTGGGGGTGGCGTGTTCGCCGAATGCCCAACGCTAGGTGTGTTTTGAGCCAAGGAGAGTATCTCCCCCAACGGAGCATCGTTATACCTTCGATTGTCTCCAACGGAGACATCTTGCCTCTCGGTCGCCCACCTCCAGATGACTGCGGTAGTGCGGTAGGCTTCAGACCGTGGATTACCCAATAACTGCAAGAGTTCATGTTGAGAAGGCTCTTGCTCGCTCAGCGAGAGTAGGACAAGAATAGATGCCAGAAACTCCCATACTGCAAAGCCTAATGAAATTATTAAAATCGAAGCACATATATAACCACCTGACGATCTCCCTGGTAGATATTTCTGCATAGGAAATCGATGGGGACTAGATAGGCAGCATACCTTGTTCACCTGCGCAAGCCGTGAGAAGCATTATACGCTCAAGTATTCCTTCGGGGTTCGTCGCCATAGCTTCAGATGCAAAGTAATAAGCACGACATATTGATAGTGATGATGTAAAAAAAAGTTATCGCTTTATCGATTGTTCACAGGAGTCGAACTTGCAACCAGAGCGCGAAGGTCGCTAAATTTTCTTCAAGACATAGGTAAATATGGGGCAGCCGCCAGATGCCTAGATACCTAGGTACCTAGGTACCTACAGTGGGTTGCTAAAAGTTCCGTGTTCCTCACCATAGCGGTGAATTGACGCGAAACTTTTGTCCCCCCACTGTACCTACACGCGTAAGGGCTGTTTTCTAACAAGGTACTAGACATATTTTGTATTTAATAGAATATTCCCTTATTATAATACTATTAGGTATTTAATATAAAGTCTAATTAATATAATATATATATATAACTATAGAATATAAAATTATTAAATTATAAAAATAATAATATAATATTAAATATTTATTTATTTATTTATTTATTTATTTATTTATTTATTTATTTATTTATTTATTTATTTATTTATTTATTTATTTATTTATTTATTTATTTATTTATTTATTTATTTATTTATTTATTTATTTATTTATTTATTTATTTATTTATTTATTTATTTATTTATTTATTTATTTATTTATTTATTTATTTA